TAAACGGCATTTAAATGTGTGTTGAAAGTCATAATGTTATTCTACGTGTTAGTTTGTTTGTTATACGAAACTAGCAGCTAGATCAACATTAGAATAACATACTGACCATATTCTCATGTTCATTTCATCATGTCAAGCTAACGTTATAACATTGATTTGTTTTATGCACATTTGCTCACCTGTGTCTAATAAAGCTGTAAAATCGTGACTCGTGAAGTTGTCAAGTCCAAGTTAGTCACGGACGCTAGCTCTCTGTCGAGTGGAAGTCAGTCTCGGCATCTCAAAAACACCACGCTTATATTGATCCTCATTTTAGTTCTCCTTGTTTGTCCCAAAGTCTGCTTGCCATGGTCTATGTTTGAACCAAACAAGAACTGGGTGCCGCTAAACGTTACTCACTACGCAGTTGTCCATGTCTGTCGCCATGGTTACGTCATGGCTATGGCAGTACGAGCGGAAACGAGGATAGCGCGGATATTGCGTCATTGACAGGCAACATTTTTTTCCGAGACGGCCACTTATTTAAAATTGAAATTTCTCTGAAATAAAAGAACTTTGGAGATTTTTGGGATATTGCAAGTACACAACTGCAGGAAATATATCACACTGTGCAATTTATTTTGGGGTATTTTATTACAAATTTCTTACATATTGGACCTTTAAGTGTCATTCGCATTTTTAATGCAAATATGACATTGTTTGAGATGTCTTTGTTATGACACCTGGACATAAACCAATACATCATAACCTGTCAGTGTCTTTGTCATGACAACTTGAGATTACAAAGACAACACAACCTGTCATAAACATGTCATAGCAGATTAATTATCAAACTTAAGAAACCACCTAGCTTTATTGGTTAACATTACATTAAACTGTCAGGTGGTTGGTTTTGACATTGGCTGACATGAAGCCATTATAACTTTTTAATGACAAATTCAATTAGTACCACTGCAGCGGGTCACGAAAAATATTCATGAGTCATGACACAGTTATAATGGCCTCATGACTGCCAATGTCAAAGCCAAGTCAACCACATGACAGTTTAACTTAATTTAATGTCAATGTAATGTAATGTCAGAAAGAAAGAAATTACGTGTAAAAAAATGTGTGGGCTAGCTAAATGTTGTCACGTTCTGATAATAAGAGAGTAGTTTAAAACCACAATTAAAGGTCTGGTTTCTACAACTTTTACTGAAAATTCTGCCTTGAAACTTGAATGAAATAAAGATTTGACATTTATCGTAATAATTATCGATATCAAATGATATTATATTTTTTATTGTGATCATTTTTGGGGCCATAACGCCAAGCTCTGCTAATACATAATTCAGTGTGAAGTGCAAAAAAAAAAAAAAAGGTTTGCAGACATCACATTGAGAATCCATTTGCTGAATTAAACATGCAATGTAATGAGGTCATGAATTTAGAGTTAGAGCCATTATTGTGTGGGCTGGGCAGTGCATAAATGGTGTGATTGCACTTTAGTCACGGCTCAAGGTCCTTTCACGGTCCAATTGCCTTTTCTCTTCTCCCACGGTTCCCAGCCTGTCCAATTAGGCGAAAAAGCCCCAAAACAAGCTTAAAAAAATGGTGTGCCGTATATAGCAAGCTAGTTTTCCCTTCCAAACATTTCCTATATATAGAACAAACTCATTTTGGGATAGATGAACCAGTTAACTTCCTCACTTCTTCAGTGACTTGCAATTCACATTAAAAAAGTCTTTTACATCACATAAATCAAAACCAAGAAAATAGATGTCTAAAGAAAGAAAAAGCCTCACAGCTGTGTGTATTTGTACCCGCATTGCATACACTCGTCTTGTGGCTGAAGTTCCTCGACAGACTGGACAAACCTGTCCAGCTTGACCAGACTCATGACCTTGGAATGAGAGAACGATTGTGTTCAATGGACAGACTCCTGCTCAAGCTCTGTGCCCTTCATGTATATACTGAGAGTATATGTATATGACACAAATATGACTGTTTACGCATGTCTATACGACATATGGAGGAAGGGAATTTCTTTCCCAAATAAAGAGCTTGTCTATATCTCCTGGCACGACTGTGTCCATGCGTGTGAACAGGGTTGGGCTCCTTATCTGCAAGAACACACTCCGATCTGCTCCAACTAAACAACTTGCTTTGGGTCTATGGCTGGCTCACATTGCTTTACAAAAATATACAATATTTAAAATGGTCATTTAGATTCTTTTTTTAATCAGAGGAACCAAGTAAAATGCTGTCAATTATCTAAAGGAACACTAAATATAACCAACATAAACACGAACATTTACACTTGTTTCAACCCAAATTTGGGTCAAATATGGACCAACCCAAATGTTGGGTTAAAATGTCATTTAAAATTAACCCAACTTCAACTTTCACTTTCAGCTGTAAATTTTTATTACATTTTTAACCCAAATTCGCATATTACCCTCAAAACGTATATTACACTTACTATGGATCTGGTGACCAGGGCTGGATCACGGCCCCGCAAGGCCCCAGGAGCCATTTTTGGAGTCGTCCTCTGGCCGCCGCCACAGGACAATGTGGTAGGCTAACAATAGACTTAACGTTAAAACATTTTTAAATAAATAAATAACATAGCAGTCTAGGCCTGGGTCCCAGTGGTCAGTGTGTGATCAGGGACTGCAAAGGTGAAACAGGCAGGAGGAAATAAACACATATAATTGGTTTCTAATTAGACTCCGTGTGCTGCAGTGATAATTCACAGGTCTGTTTGTTTCACAGTGAGGGAGCACAGCGGTGGAACGGATTATGGCCAAACTGAGCACATGCAAATATGAAAGTACACCTGTACACAAACCCAAACTTACTCTACAGTTCAAAAGCTGGGGTCAGTTTATATATATATTTTTTTTTTATAATAATAGCGTTTTGCATCAACAAAACAACAAAGTTATTCATTTGCGATGACATTTGACAAGCATGAAAGTACAATGGTAATAATAATATTGTAATTATTCATTTAATTGTAACTATTATCGGTATAATGGCTATCTTAACCCCAGAATGAACCATTATAAATACACTGTAAAAAAAAAATATTTTCATGATTTGTAATCACATTCACAACAGTTTTTCTTTTGTCAAATCAACTTGGATAATTGATGTAGTTCAGATAACATAATATTTTGCGTTTCTGATGATTAACTAAATTTTTCCATTTCAATGAACTTAAAATTTTAAGGCAACCAGGTTACTTTTTTTTAAGTTAAACCAACAATATTTTTTTTACCGTGTATAGTTTTACAGCTTGTGTCCAGTCGGTCTGAAAGCAGAACACACAAGGTGTACAGCAGGGTCAGACCGCAGCCAGGTAACGTCCAGATTAAACACTGCAAATAGAATCGCTCACGGCGAGACAGACAGTGACGCATCCCTCACACAGCTGGGCTATAGCGTGTGTCGCTGTTCGCACCCATCCGCCCACTGGTAGACGGTCACATGGGGTGACATGACTGGCACCAAGGCAGAGGGCCATTTGCGAGACCACCCAGTCTACAAACGTCAGCTTCACTACTTTGAGCTTGAGATGAGTTCAACAAGTGTGCTAATTGTTGAATGACTTTTAGGAACCCGGACCCCCAATTACCAATGCCCAATGGACATTGGTAATTCATCAACAAGGAGCGGATCTAAAGATGCTGGTGAAATACAGGAGAGGAAGATTGCGTTTACAGAGTTGGTATACTGTCATGATTTAGAGGATGTCTGAAGGGTGTAGCTGATCAAGGAGGAGGATCAGGGTTCAGATTAAGGACACGGGTAGAGGCCGAGAGGAGGACCAGGGCAAAGAAAAAAAATAGAGACCTCTGCTTGTATCTGACACTACGACTTTAAATCAACAGCTCTGCTGGATGCAGGCATTTATACAGACATTGATGTTATTGAGAAAGCAGAACCGTGAATGGAAGCGTGACTGTTACAAAGGGAGACCACAATGAAAAGAGCTACAACAGCGATACAATAGAGCTACAGATGAACAACGAGCCTTGACAGCGAGTCTGCAATTAAGATACAAAAGAGATTATGAGGGTGCAATAAATGTGAAAAATATCTGCGGCCAAGATTAGCTTTTTGCCACACCTGGCCGTGACCAGAGAATGAAAAACGAGGAGGAATATTACCAACTGTAGTTTGAATGATTTTTACATTTATTTATTTTTTTATAAAAAGTACTTTATTATAATAAACAAAATATATTTTACAATTTAATCATTTTTACCAACCAACTGGTTTTAATTATGCTCTAAATGCTGATATTTTTTTTAGTATCTGTCACTAGGTGAGTTCATTTTGGACTGTTATGGGAGCCCTTTATACAGGGTCAGACTGAAGAAAAAGTCTGAAACAATAATCGTTTTACACAGTTTCACGTCAGTTAAGTAACTAAAGAGATTAAACGAGGGTGCAATAAAACTAGAGAAGAGTTGCAGCCCTTTGTACAGAGTCCTGAGAGGACAAGACTACAAGGTGCACAATAAAAGATGATCATCTTTATCTTCATCAAAGCAAAGCTGCGAAACAGCAGTCAATAAAAAAGTAGGGAACGACACAAATATAAAACAGCTTAGCAACACACAATGAGTGCTCAATTGGAGTGCAAAGTCTGACATTGCAAATCTGTGTTTAAAAAAATCAATTTAAACCTAAAAAATTAATAGATTTAGAAAAAATGCAATAAATATTTGGGATATTTAAGTAAATGTGGATATGTTTTGGTTTTGAACTGAAGCACACAAGATGTTCACAGGATCATTCTCAAATCACACTGGATAACACGATCATTGGGTTTTGTACAATCTCATGGAGCTCATGAAGCTGTAGTGCAAGACATTCTGAAATTCATGTTCATTCTCAATTAAATTTCACACTCAAAGAAAATGCAAATCAGAAGCCTCTTCACTAGACTTTTGCACCCAAGTGTATGCATAAAAAAAACACTTCTAGATAAAATGACTCTTGAGTTTTACCTTTCAGCTGATCAGCAACACTGTGCCCGGCACGCTCCATCACTCGTCCATCCTCCCTCTCATAACAGTCATGCAGAAAACTTGCTGTGACCTCCGACAAGTGTACCTTTCCCGCCACGCCCAGCTGCTCCATAAGATTGGCCAAGTTGACGTCGTTGGACCAGACGTCAAACTTAAAGCGCTTTATTCCCAGAATGCCACAGAGCACAGTGCCAGTGTGAACGCCAACACGCATGTCCACGGTCTCTGACGTCTCCTGGCAGAACTGCTCGATGGCCTGGATCATCCCTAGCCCCATTTCCACACAGCAGCATGCGTGTTCGAGGACCGGCTCAGGGCAGCCCGCCACACAATAGTAGCAATCTCCTAGAGTGCTGATCTTCTCGCAGCGGGTCAACTCACAAAGACGGTCGAAGCGGCCGAAGAGGTCGTTCAGCAGTCCTACCAGTGCATGGGCGGACTTGTTGGCACTCATTTTGGTGAATCCCACAATGTCAGCGAAGAGGATGCTGACTGGCTCCATGCGCTTCATGTTGAAGGGCCTGAAAATGATTTGGCCACGAGGAATGGAATTCTTCTTACGCTTGTTGTTTTTGGGGCTGGACGAGGTCGCGGCGGCGGCAGTGCCGACGGAGCACGTCCCTGCACTGTATCGTTTCCCTGAGCTCTCGCCCTCCTCGTCTCCCTGTTTCATCAGCTCGTCCGCCACCAGCCGAGGCATCACAGAATGGATCATCCGCTCCTTCAGCGCCTTCTCAACCTCCAGATCCTTCCCGTGCATGATCGCCTGACCCACCTTGAGAAAGGTACTCCGAGAGCGCACTTCGGACATGATGAATATGTGGATGCCAATGACGTGCGCGCACAGGTGCAGCAGGACTTTACCTGGGCCGAGCCAGCTTAGATTTTGCCAGTCTGAGCTTTCCACCTCTGATACATAATCACCATCCAACTGAGCAAGCTGCAGCCAACCTAAAGCCTCATAGAGGACAGAATACAGCAGGCCTAGAAGCACCGACGCATACAGGGGCAAATGCAACACACTGTACAGCAAAAGCAGCACCTCCATACAGAGTGAAAATGTCCCAACTGGTGATATACAAGGAGCATTTTGAAAAGCAGGTAGTAGTGAATGATTGCCTGCTTTCTGGCCATCAAAAAGAGCAAAGAGAGCGGTTTGCGTCTGGGGCGCCAGGGTGATGCCAAACATGATCACTGTAAGGAGGAAGGAGGCATGGTTGTAGAATCGTGCATACGGCCTTGTGAACGTAAACCAGAGGAGGAGAAGGCAAAGCACAAGAAACCCTGCCGTGGGTATCAGGAAGGTTGTGGGGTCACACCTGGTGCTATTGATCCCGAAGTAAATCCCCCACAGCAGCGCAGCGGTGGCCAGGTAAAACAGGACGTAGCGGAATCTTCTCTGCATCTGCGGGAAGCAACGTTCCCTGCATGCCTCCTCTAGAATGGAGGAGTCAAACTTGGGGTCCCAGCACTGCGCGGCAGACCTCTCGAACAGCTGCGGGACTCTCCTCGGCCTGCTCAGGTGAGTCCTGGGAACAACTGAGCTGCAGCTTGACGAGATGCTGTATTTGCAGGGTTTGGAGGAGCCCATGTTGTCTTGGTCTGGACCCACCTGTTGATCCCGGCTGTCGTTTATCTGCACAGTAACAGCTCCCCCTTCACTATCACACCTAACTTCGGTCTCGTGTAGCGGCTGGTGCTGCTCTGGCAATGCCATGACAATGAGACAACAATTAACTTTTAATTATCACTTATCACCTACTGCTGACATTACAGAGGAAGTGGCATTTTGATATGAAAAACACTGTTTTGTTTTTGAAAAGAGTACAGCCAGAACGAAATTCCAAGTGCATTCACTATGAAGATGGACCGTCTTGGACTCTTGAGCAGTTCCTTATCCGATTACGTCAGCACTCGAATTTCATTATATTCTATGGCTCAGGGGCACGTGAACGCGCATGTGTGCACTTTTGCTCCGAGAGACTGACGCACTGTCATCCGCTCAGCCTCCTTTTTTGAGCACATCGTTTTAAATTTGCATTCAATACAACTAGAGCAGGTAAGTATGGCTTAAAATATAGGAGGTTGTTTCACATAGGGTGTTCTGAAACGGTTTTTAATTATGTTTGTAATCCAGTTAACACTGTCCCTCAAACAACCTCTCCAATGTTCGACAATGTTTGAATTTACTTTCCATTTCCAAATGACATGCAAATGTAAAGCAAGTTTGTATTTCATTTTTCTAAATTTTACACATTTCTTGTACTTGTTTCGGTCAAATGTCAGTTAACTTAACTGCAAATTCAAAACTTAACGTTGCTATTTGTCGAAAGTATTGTTAAAAGGCGCCATTTTCTGAGAGAAAACTTTTTTTAAATGCACCGCTTTTATCCTTTTTAGTGTCAAAACACACAAAAATGATTTAGAAATATCTAACAGCGTACTCCCTTATGTTCTGACATCACGAAGAAGCAAGAATCGTCCAATATATCCCCTAAACGGAGGTGGGGAAGACGCCTTATAAGACATTAAAGCTGCCCGTCTTTTCCCGTCAAAACTCGGCGCATATCCCGTTACTGCACCACTTCTGCCCCTGTCGAGGGTCAGAAGACGGCCTATCCCCATGGAGGAGCCCCGTCCTTTCCTGAACACACACTCCGGATGTCAACCGTTATTATTCCAGCTTTCAAAGCGCATTAAAACGCTTCCAAGCTCAAACTGACGTCGTGACAATTCCAAATGACATCAGCCGTTCGCGCTAGGGTGCAACGCGGCTGTGCATATCTGCCAACTCCAGAAGACGAATAACACTTATGATTTCAACTTCCAAGAGGAAGAAAATACTGATGACATCGAGGCACTCAGACAAGTCAAAGGGAGCTGAAGTTAAGTTTATCCTCGTTTGTGTGTAATCCCTTTTAACCAGTTACTTGGAGGTAATCTCAATTAGTTTCAATGCAAAGTGTTCAAAATGAAGACGAAAGTTTTGTTTTTTGTTTTTTTGTTCCCCCCCCCAGGCCTCAAGTCGTTTGATCGGGCTGGCAGTTCAACACTCGTGGACTTCAGAAGAAGAATGAGATCACACTCCATTGCTTAAAATCCCACGCCAATTCTCCAACATTATCCGCCTCTTTAATCCCCACTTTGTCTGTTTATCATTCCTCCAAAACTCAGTTCAAGTCCGTTTTTCGTAGACAAGCTCATGCCAGGCGAGCGCACCGCAGCTGTGTCGCGTTGCGTCCTCTTCCGTTCGCTCTCGGTTCTCCTCCCTGTCTGTCTGCACGAGCCTGTTGAAGGGAACGGCTGGTGTCGTGAGAGCCGAACGGCTTCAGGTAGGAGTTGAACACCGCTGGTTGGCGCTTACCCGGGCGCTGCGTTCACCAGCAACACCACCATGTTCTGGGCACACTCGGAAAAGATGGTTGTGGGCGTGCGGCGGGGTGGACAACTTAACTACAGTGTTGAAATGTTGAAATATAGGGGAGGGGGCAAGTTACAGGGGAGCGCGCACGCTGGGCTCTTTTAACGGCGGCGCGCACGCACGAGAACTCTTCTCTGAAGTTCTCTGGGCAGGGTGCCCATGTGATGTCATAAAAAACAGGTACGTTGAGTAGAGTCACGACACTATCTTGAACCTGAGTTGACCTGTTTCAAGTGATAATTGTCACTGTGGTAAATAAGTTAGTATGAGTAAAGTATGGAGTCAAAACCATGACACAGATTTGCAAAAGAATAAAGTATTGTAAAATAAAATAAAGTTTTGCCAAACAAAAATAAATGAGCAAAACAAAAGTATTCATATACTTTGTTTTATCCTTTGCAATTCTTTATTTTTGTTTGCAAAATAAATCAATAATATATGATCATTTATTTTACTGTATCCAATCTTTACAATCCTTTTTATGACTTTTTAAGATTTGCATTACTTTTCTAGGCCTCTAAATCACTTTTTATTTTGTCCACATAGTTCCAGTTTTAATAACTGGGTAACATACCTGAGATTCTGGGTGTGTTTTAACCTATCAGTAACAAGCAAGTGGTAATCGTCCCTCACTCGCCGTGTCAGACATTCATCATGTCCAGTTTTTGAGACATGCTGTGTTGTGTCAGATGGGAAAGTTTATGACACAAGAGTGTGTTAAGAAATATGACCAACACAAGGCTGTGGACTCGCCTTCCATGTACAGCTTTTATTTCTTGGTGGCCACTTTTGGTCTCTTACTATTGAAGATTGTTAAACAAATAAGAGAAGAACTAGCAACACAGTATTTAGTGCAAATCTCAATTAAAAACTCTTATCAATTGTATACTCAGGCTACAGCATTCACAATTCTAACCCATGTAGGAGTCATAAATACTTGCTTTCATGTGTATAAATGTTTTACACAAATTACCTTCTTGAAATTTTATAATTCTATATAGATAGATGCATAGATTGCCGCTATCAAAACAGATAAGACTGATCATTTACATAAACAGTACTTCATGTTAAACCAGAGGTTATTGCACTGAACTGTGATCAGTATTTTTATTGCAGTCAGTTTTATGATGTGCTACGCCATCTAGTGGACATCTTGGATTCTCGTACGTTCTACATGTTAAAGTGAAAAATCGTTATCATTTGTCTCACAATTCATCCATTTATTTAGGTATTTTATTCACGTAAATATCCAGTTTATTTTCTATATTGTGTAAATCAATAGCCACAAACAAATGTTAATGTCACCACAGTATTAACATGCAGTAGGTAATATGAGTGAACTCAACGTGAAATTCTCATCTCATTTACCAACAACTCACTAAATTGCACTAAGGAAAACGATCAGTATGTACAAGTGGAACAGAAGTACTAATGAAGTCAAGATAAACTTTCTACCACATATAGCATATTCACATGACATTCAAACAAGAAATAAATAACATTATGACATGTTATATTCTGAACATAGTATAAATAAGTAAAGTTTTGCAAACCGATTGAAATCAGAGCAAGGAAGAAACAGAATAACCGAGAGAAGACACTGATTCCCTTCGTTCAGATCTGTTTTATACAGACTGGTAAAAGTATCTGTTTAACTTGGCTTCCCATTGACGTGAATCTCACAAATGTTATGTCACTCACTTTTACGCTCTCCCTTCCTTGCTTTATTTATAACCTCATTCAACATTCATTCAACGCTTTGGTGCCCTCAGACTTGACTGATTGTGCCTCAGGTAGAAAATAAACCCTCACTCCGTTCTTCTTTTACTGTCTTCGCCAACGGTTTTGGGGTTTCTCCTTGGCTTCTGCAGCTGCCTCTTCCTTGGCTTCCCTTTTCTCTGCCAAACTGCTGAGCAAAGCCGGCAGGTCATCTGTGATGGCCTTATCGATCTTGTCCAGCAGGCATCCTCCTGTCCAGCTACAGTATGAGGAGAGGACCTTAAAGCCACCGGGAGGATTCACTCCAAAGAAGTCCCGGTACGCTTCCGGTTCTGGCAAGTCGAACTTGCTCACATTGGTCTTGGCCAGAATGGACTTGAAGATGTAAAATTTGTCAGGGTCACTGACGATATCATGGAAAACCTCATGTGGGTCACTAAACCAGCCCAACTTCTCATGATACGTCTGCAAGTAGCGGTCGACCAGGAGGGCGTGGATGCGCACGCGGATGCCGTGCTGGCGGATGAAGGCGATTTTGTTTTCCAGGCGGTTCTCGATGACCTGATTTAGGTCCTCCAGCAAGGAGATCTCCTCGCGTTTAAAAAGGTCTCTATTGGTGTCAGGATTGTAGTCCTGTGGCCAGAAGGAGCTCACGTAGACGCGCGGGGGTTCAGTCACATTAATCAGGGGGGCCATGCTCCAGAAGAGGGCGCCGTATACACGCATCAAGTCCTGGGTTGTCAGACTGTCGGCCTTGTTGAGGATGATGCGGATCTGCGACTCGCGTCCCTTCATCTGTCTGAACAGCATTTCCAGTTCTAATCCTACATCCAGTTTGGTTGGGTCAAACACCAGGAAGATGAGGTCGGCGCGGTCGATAAACCACTGGCACACTTCGCTATAGGGGTACCCTATAGGACAACACAAATTGTAAATGTCTCCAAATGCAGAATGTTACTTTTATCTTAGAATCTGATTCCTATTCAGAAATGGTTCTTTTGAGAGAAAAAACGCACACAGATCCTGAGGGAATACCGCACTAAAATACTCTGTAAAGTGAAACGATGACGCCATCGAAACGCCACCAGTGAAAACTAAAACTAGGGCCTGGTTTCACAGACAGGGCTTAGATAAAGACATTATGCCTTAGTTAAATTAAGACATTTAAATAGCTTTTATTAACATGCCTTAGAAAAAAACATTACTGGTGTGCAGCAAAACAATGGCACTGATATATTTTAAGATATGCCAGTGCAAGTTGCTTTCAGTTGAACCTGCTCACACATGCATTTAAGACTAGGGCTAGGCTCAAGCCATAACAAAACCAGCCCAATTTAGCCTGGGTTTCCCCTTGCTGCCTTGCCGCAGCACGATTTTTATTCACGCCTCTTTTCCCAAGCATGTTTTCCTTAGAAGTACTAAAATAATTATTGAAACCATTAAGGAACAGAAATGGTTAATCTTAACGACTACCATCCCTGCTTCAAATAAGCCACAGCGTGTGCGCAATATTCAATTCGGATTAAGAGGTGGGTCTGAATATCCTCTTTCAAATATTAGACTCTTTATATTTTTATATCTTTATATTTGTCTCTGTCAATGCAGTCTTCTCACCTCTCTCTTGTTGTTTGCGGTTCTCAATGATTCCAGGTGTGTCCACAAATGTGACGCGCTCCAGGAGTTTGTGCGGCATCTCGATTCCCACCAGCTTTTCCAGAAACCCCTGACCAAACTTCTCCAGTGGCGAGAAAGAGCGGGAACTGTCCGCAGCCATTACAATGCCCTCAATGTTGCGAACCTTCTCCCCGTGCATTAGGACAGTGTATTCTGAGGTTGTGGGCTCAGCCCCTGAGAAAGCAAAAGAGCGAGAAGGAGATGTTGAACTAGTATTCTCTTATGTTATAGCACATTTAATGTGGTTCTTTCATTGAACATTCATCCATTTAATGACTGATGTGTTACCAGTGTAAAGCTGTTGTGAAGAGTCATGGAGACCCAGAAGATAATTGATCATGGAAGACTTGCCAACGCTCCAGGGACCAAGGAACAGGACCATGGGCTTAGAGGTGATCTCGGCATCTGATCAGTGTGAAGAAAACAGGCCGTTTAACTGAGGCGAGGGCTTCATTTTGACACTTTTTGTGGTATAAAATGTTGTAAAACATCCATTCACCTGATACTTCATGCTGCCTGAGTTCATTGTATTTGTAGGCATTCTCCAAGGGTTTAATGGCAGTGTTGTAGACATGCTGCAGCTTCTTCAGAGCGTCTATGAGAGGTAGAGTTGATGAAATGGTTACAAAACAAATAATTATAAGCAGAATGAACTTGTTTATAATTTGATCATTTTCTGGGGACTGATTTTGGTTTGCATTATAGACATTCCTACGTATAAACATTGCAATAAAGAGTCAAGATTTTTTTCACTGTAAAAAAATATATATTGTTGGCTTAGTTACCTGGTTGCCATTTACAGTGCACATTGGGGGAAGTTCAATAAATTCTTGAAGCGGTAATATTTCTGAGCAAACAATTTATGATTATAACTTATGATATTGCACACTATGAGCTCACACAAAATTGTTTTAGTCAAGCTAAGATGTAACTGGTTAATGGAGACATAACTGGCCTGATATGGTAAATACTGAACAGCCCAGGATGTAATACTTTATTTTATCATTTTTATTTTCATTATATGACTCACCGACATATTCCCGTGAAGGTTCAGCTGTTGCAAGACGCAGCGTCTCTTCAATATGAGATCGATCTCTTGCGGCAGAACCTGAGGGGGTTGTTTCCTTCACTGCCAGAGGAAAAATAGCCAGAATAAATCCTGAATCTCATGTCATCAAAATTTTGGGTAGCCAAACCATTGATGGCCATTGACTTCTACAGTGTGGGGGATAAATACTATGGAAGTCAATGGGGCCCATCAATTGTTTGGTTACAGAGTACAGACATTCTTCGAAATACCTTCAAAAGAAGAGAAATTCTTACAGGTTTGGAACAACATGAGGGTGAGTAAATGATTTTTTGGGTGAACCGTCCCTTTAAGGAATCAGCTGTGGAATCAACAGGACTTTGCCACAGTTTAAATTCACACCTGAAGTAAACGAGATCTCTGAGCAAGAAGCTGCGTCTGTATTTACACTAGAATCACAATCACAGGAAACAATGTATTGACTATTATTCATCTTAGTTGACAAGAATAACCTGGCTCCAAAAACAGAATACAACTGTTATTTTCATGTTAACATTAAATGTTGACTGAACTATACTGTACCTTCGGCAGATGCTTTAGATGCTGGTATGTCATCTGACAATTCTTCCACCGTTACTTCTTCAGCCGTTGCAGGAACTTCTTCTTCTACAAGCTTCTCCGTTGCCTCTTTGGCCAATTCAAGAACCTCCTCAACAACATCTGCTGCAAGTTCCTCAATCTCTTGTTCAACCTCAGGAACTACTTCTTCCTCTGTTACAGTTTTCTCTTCTATGTCCTCTTCCTCTGCTACATCTTCTGATATTTTTTCCACTTGCTCCAATAGCTCTTCAGTCTGAGAAAGTTCCTCTTCCTCAACTGCCTCCTCTTCAATCTGAAGACCCTCCTCTACCTCAACTATCTCTTCTTCAGTCTTTGCCTCTTCCTCGCCTGCCTCCTCTTCAGTCTGAAGACCCTCATCTACCTCAACTATCTCTTCTTCAGTCTGTTCCTCTTCCTCACCTGCCTCCTCTTCAGTCTGAAGCCCCTCCTCTAACTCAACTACCTCTTCTTCAGTCTGAGAAAGTTCCTCTTCGTCACCTGCCTCCTCTTCAATCTGAAGACCCTCTACCTCAACTATCTCTTCTTCAGTCTGTTCCTCTTCGTCACCTGCCTCGTCTTCAATCTGAAGACCCTCCTCTACCTCAACTACCTCTTCTTCAGTCTGAGAAAGTTCCTCTTCTTCACCTGCCTCTTCCTCTTCAACAGATTCCTCAACAACCATTTGTGCCTCTAAATCGCTGTCTACCTCCTCCTCCTCCTCCTCCCTCACGTCATGTGCCTCCTCAAGAACTTCCCCCTCGACCACTTCATTGGATGGCTCTAACTCAAATTCTGCCTCCTCTTCATGTGCTTCCTCCTCAGATATCTCTTCAGAAGAGGCCTCATCTTGACTCAACTCATCAGATCTCTCTTCTGAAACTGCCTCATCCTCTTCATCCTCGTTAGAGCTGACATCTTCTGCCTCAGTGTCAATATGAGCACCCGTGCCACAGGGTTGGCAGACAGGTCTGTTTGGTGCAGGAGTGTCATTGGAGGAGCTTTGACTGATATCCTCTGTGCCATCACAGCAGTTGAACAGCTCGCCTTCAGACTTCAGCTGAAGCGGCAATAGTGGCTCAGTCTCAGACCCCACTGCATCTGCTAAGGAAAACAATCAAATAAACCAATACAACTCAGCACATTCCCACATTAATACACTTACCCAAAGGATTATTAGGAACACCTGTTCAATTTCTCATTAATGCAATTATCTTATCAACTAATCACATGGCAGTTGCTTCAATGCATTTAGGGGTGTGGCCCTGGTCAAGACAATCTCCTGAACTCCAAACTGAATCTCGGAATAGGAAAGAAAGAAAGGTGATTTAAGCAATTTTGAGTGTGAGGTCATAAAATATATTATATTTTACAAATTCCTTGGCATTGCTTGAATCTCCCCAACTACCACAAATGTGCAGCATCCACCTGGATGATGTGACAGCAGCCATATTGTGCCAGAATATACACCACACCAGCTGGAGAGTATATATATATGGGGATGATTAGGAGGCCATGATGATGGACAGATCCCAAGGGACAAGAGTCAGGACCTCGGTTTAACGTCTCATCCGAAGGACCGTGCTCTTTGACAGTATAATGTCCCCATCACTATACTGGGGATTTAGGACCCACACAAGCCCCTTTTCCACCAAAGCATTTTGAGAGCCGGTTCGGAGCCGTTGCCTGCGCGCGAACCAGTTCTTTGTGTTTCGACAGCCAAAGAACCGGTTCTCGGCCAGGAGAACTGATTCCAAAGCGGCACCAACTCTTTGCTGGACTAGAACCGTTCTTTTACCACGTCATGCTTACGTCGGGGGCTGGGGCGGGTTTAGATGTGTCCTAAACATCTTTTCTGACCATAATAAACGATCGCAAAGCCAAGAGAAACATTTGCAGAAACACGATGGAGTCCGCCTTTGTAATTGTTATGCTTGAAGTTAACGCAAGCGTTTCTATTTTTGTAAAAAAAAAAAAAGACAAGACAGGGGTACATAACTTATCAGAAAAGATTACATATCAAACGAAAAGATTAAAAGACTTACATATTTCAATTGTTTTTAAAGCTTTCTTGGCACACGAGTTAGAGATAATCCGAAAGTAATGTTGTATTCGCAAGCGTTTCTAGCTAAGACGTATGGCGACAGACATAACGACGTCGTTCCCTGGGCGCTCTAGTCAGTGAAAAAACAAACTAGTTGAACCAATTCCGAACCAACATTGAACCAGCACCAGTTCCGAACCAGTTCTTTTTTTGGTGGAAAAGGGGTAACAGACCACAGGGTGAGCGCCTCCTACTGGCCTCACTAACACCACTTCCAGCCGCAACATGTTTTCCCCGGACATCTCCTGGTACTGACCAGGTTCAACCATGTTTACCTTCAGTGGGCAACCATGTTGAGCTACGGGGTGATCTGTCTGCTGGCATAGTAAAGTTCTTCAGCAACAAGTCGCATCATGATATTTCAGACTGAAACATTTTTAAATGTTGCTGCTTTAGCTTAATTTCTGGTCTCAGTGAAGTGTAAACTGATTTTTTGAGTATTTTTGGTTGCCGAACTATTGATGCATCACCAGTACAAGTTGCATCTCTGCCCTCCTCATTACATCACTTCTCCTGAAGAGAAGTATCTGACATACAGTATAACATTAGCATTTAGCATTCTGTGTTTAAGACCACACTTTCTACAATGTCACTGTAAACAAAACACCGTGGTTACTGTCCTAAATCATGTGGGGAAAAAAACTATATCTGAAAATGTAGCTGTAATACCATTGTGTATGAACAACATAACTTGGCTGCTTTGGTGCTAATATGCAAGTCTGTGTTGATGACCCATGTCTGTGATTCATGCAGCGATGAATGTGCTCGATGAGAGCTAAATGCTTTTCATGTGAATCACATCCTGAAATAGGAAGCAGAGCTGGCAGGAAAAGAGAACGCCAAGTCTTTTCTCTTCATGTGGCTCATTAGAGCAAGGTTTATTTTTCATACTGTCCTCCGGATCTGATAAGGGTGTTAGCATGACGACTTTGTACCAAGATTTCCACCTCTAGGTTTAATGTCAAATGCTTCCACTGAAACGTACAGCTCTGCTTTCATGCAAACAATCATCAAATTGTAAATATCGGTGCATTCATTTGTGGATTAATTTTGTTTTCTGGAATAATTTTTCAGTGGCCTTCAATGCAATTCACAGAGATTTGTTATGTACTATATTAAATGCCTACTTTAGGACTGCATTTGAGTATTAAAGTGTAAAAAATGCATATTTAAAGGACAAATTAGAGTCTATAGAAGCTTAATGTGTTCCGTCAGGCGTTTCCTAGAACCTTTTGAGTTCTTTAAAACTCAGTCAAGAACCATATGGCTTCTCTATAGGAGTCTATGTCTATATCTTAAAAGACAAACCCCAAATTCATCTGTGGGCCCAGTTTCACAGACAGGACTTAGATTAGGCCAAGATTAGGCCTTACTTCTAATAGGACATTTTATAATGGGCCCTAAAACATTATTGACGTGCATCTTGAGACAACACTGGCTCTGGCTTATGTTACTAGTATGTCAGTGCAAGTTGCTTTCAGTTAAACCAGCTCAAAAATGCATTTTAATCTGAGACTAGAGTGAAACTGGGGGAAAGTGTCTTCCATACGCTTCAGCAAAATTTCAAAATCATGCTGACAGCAGAGGGCACCAGATTGGCTATAGTTAGTTCAGATAAACATGTTCCACCTTTGGCATTTGACCACTTGCTTGTAAAAATTATCTCTTGACAGGCTTGTGTGTTCCTTAGAAGTCTCTAATTGTAATATGGCCAAGTGTGATATGTTTTGCACACTTAACTTGCTCACAGACCCAGGAGAGCTTTAGGCCATATAGTCAAAAGTGTACAGTAAGTTTTAACAAAACCATGAGTGCGCTAAAACATTTGAAGGCCTAATTGGCCATGTTATGTCGTAAGAGTTACTCTTTACTGCTATTACCAGTCCAAGATTACGTTTACATCATCGCAACAACGATATAATGTGAAAGAGTACTTATAAGTAAATAGATGAATGATAATGACCTCATAATGAGGTGTTTATTTAAATGTCACTGAAATGAACAGAAATGCTATTGTCATGAATATTCAAAAATAAGTGCAGCTCTATCATGAATTACCCCAACATGAAACCAAGTTTTATATATAGCCTATATATTTGAATATATATATATATATATATATATATATATATATATATATATGTACACAAGATCATCTGCATTTTTGACCTGCTCCTCTGACCTGCAAGTTGTAAGTGACAGAGAGCAGCCCATCCCCCTTTGACAGTTCTGAGGTGAGGACAGGAATGGACAGGTGCTCGCTCCCAAGTCCCAGGTCTTCACCATGACACAAATAGCCTGCCCGCTGAGAAAGAGTTTCTCTGTTATTCTCTGCTAAAATGATATTGAGGTTCAGCTTGTATATGTAAATTCCTTTTTTGGTACCATTGACTTCCTTCTGCCAATCTACTCTATTCTACTCTACAAGTACACAGTGATGGTCGTGTCTACAGGAGTGATTTTTCAAAGACAGCTGTGGTCACTGGGCAAAATCCAATGCAATCATGTGAGACACTTCTGGAAGGTCATTTTGAACTCTCCAGTAATGACCAAAGTCATTGTAGTCTTTTGAGTTTTTTGTAAGGTGATGACTCAAGTGTTAAAGGACTTACTGGTCATTTGGATCAGTTTTCTCAAGTGCTCCCAAAACCATCTGAAGGTATTACGATTCAAAACCTTACAAAAACCTCAAAAGTTTACAATGGCTTCAGTCATTAGTAGAGAATTATCATGTTTTTCACTTTGAATACTGATCCATATAATTAGCAGTTCCTTCTAAAGTATTTGGTAATAATTGAGTCATTACCACTGATCTTTACTTTAGAATCAATTAAAGCGCATTACTCTCACTAATTATGAAACTAGTTCTTAGGGAACAATATTGATTAGTTAAAAGTGCTAATTGGCATTCAACTGAGCGCTATTACTTACTATTTCGTTAATCAGAGTTTCTTGTTAGTGTTTTAAACTAAAGGTACAATATGTAATATTTTTGTAATAATATATTGAAAAAGCACTTGCACAGTGTGATTGATATGGGCTATTTCATGCAGTTGTGTACTTACATTATCCCAAAAGTTCCCAAGGATTTGTAAATCCAGAGAAATTCCAGTTTTAAATAATGGCTCATCCCTTGTCATTGTCACTAATGAGGCATCTAATGTATATACCTATAAAACAGTATCTCGCACGCCACTGTTTTGTCGTTCAGTGAAAAAACGTCAACCGGTTTTGGGAAAAACAGAGAAATAAAACAAGTATCAATATCGACGTGGTGTTTTTGAGATGTCGACTTGGACTTGACAGAGACACCGCTCTCGCATGTGTTTTAATAGACGGCTAATATATAATAATAATAATAATATATATAATTTATTGTTTACATACCGGTATATTGCACTTTGTTTTTACTTCAGTGACTCTTTTAAACAGGTGACCACATCTATGTCAGTGAAATTATGAGATTATGACTGGTGTTGATTATTGTAAGTGTTTGTTGCCTTTTTGGAGTCCTTTATCTAATGGGCCTACCCTTTTCTCCATCCTCTCTGGGCCAGCATCCACTAACCTGGCCTTTTTAGAGAGCTTTCCTCTCGGGGCGAATGAGAGGATGCTTAATTGCTTTTTATCTGACATCTTTGAAAGACAGATGCAATGATTAATGCATCCATGGCAAGGATATAATTATAAAATATGACATGATTTTAAAAGTGAACTATAACACCGATTATGCAATACACATTACACATACAATTATTTTATTTAATGCTAATAAAATGATTAAGCCTATTTGGAGAGATAAATGTTTATAATGTGGAAATATGTCAGCTATCGTGTGATAAGGAAAATATGATTAGGCCTAGACTACTTGTTCTGAGCAGGTGTTGGCTGTAAAACTGTTGGCTAAGTTATAGACACCCATGCTAATTATCTGGGAATCATTCTCTAACATCAGTCAAGTTGTCATTGTTTGTGTCAAAGAAGTTGTGAATTTGTTGTAACATTAAAACAGAAGATCACGACTTACTCTGGTCAAAGTGATGCTCGAAGCTATAGTGGTTTCCTCTGCGGGTAAACGATACTTTCGGAAGATGTTGAAACAGAATCACGTGAACAATTCCAGGATATGCTTTTTTGTCATTGGTTGTTGCGTTAAATCTTACCCAGATACAATAGTGCTTATTTCTGATTGGATATTGAGAAGCCCCTTTCTTTTTTGTGATTGGGCAGGCTCGGCTAAGAACTCGACGGAGATGTGCTTGATTCCTGCCGGTTCCAAAGTGAGAGCGGCGTGGCCAGATAAATTTTGGGCGCTGCAGGCATTTTAAATATATTATAAATATTATAATTATTTTTTCCACGTTAGAAATACAATGTGTGGCGGTAGTGCATGACAAAAGACCGAAATGAGTGACTGTCACTCTCTATGCGAGACACTTGAGAGCCCTAAAATATTGTGATCAAACGTAATGAATCTAATTAATTACTACATGAACATGATTTGAGAATTTCATACATCTCAGGGTCGTGAAAATGACATTTGCCATCGTTCCACCTTCCTTCATAACGCCATCAAGCTTCGCCTTTTTTATTGTTTTGAAAATGCGATCTCTGGCGGCTAAAACCTACACATTGCACCTTTAATGCTCGAACAGTATTCTAAGGTTATGCTTACACGGAAACGATTCTGAAGAGAAAACGCAAAAGTGGCATTGCGTTATCACTTTTTATTCTGCGTTTAGATGAACGTTATGGGTGGGAAGTCCGCGTGCATATGGTGAAGCAAAAGTGTGTGAAATTCGATGTAGTATGCACTCCAGGCGGCTAGGTGGCGATGTGAAGCACTGCAACCTTCACTGTCTAGCATACCTTTTTACCCGGGAACGCGACGGTGGAGGGTTTTTAAGATTTCCACTCTGAAGGGTTTAAGCCCCAAAAACGCCATCGCCGTGTAAACGTAAGGCACATCCGATAAAATATTTTTACGTTTTCACCCGCGAGCGTTCACGTGTAAACAGGGCCTAAAGTGTTACTGATAATTCACATGGCATTTTGTCTGTTTGGTTTAACCTGGAATCATTTGTATGAGGTGACAATTTTATATAAATTCACATGATGTGATTTGTACGCAAGTATTAGCCTGGCTAAAGACAAACCACGTCTCATTGACATTGAGACGTGGTCTGGGAACCACACATTCATTTTCTCGTATTTGAGGCGTGGTTTACGAATGCCCAGAGCAGTTTATTGGGTGCAATGTCTAATGTGTATCAGTGTCCATCTATTTAGTGCTACGAATGTATGTAGCTCATAGCCATTCGTTTCAATTATAACAGATGACATACGTAGAGCGAAAGAAATTAAACGAGGAAGAAGACGATGGGTCAGAGATTTATTTGCGCTCTAAACTACTTGGAACAATATCTAAGGCTGCATCAAAAGGTAACTTCGCGTCTGCTGCCATGTTTGATCCATAGGTATAAACAAACTGCTTTGGTGTGTCGTATAAACATTGTCATCGTCTTGCTGCTCCCTCCCTGTTCTGTGATTGGTCCCCTTGCTAAGGCGAAAATTTGGTCCAAGGTTTCTAGACTGCCTAGCAGTGTGAATAAAATTGCGCTGTGCAAAGGCAGTATGGGGAAACCCAGGCTACATAGATATAAGATTTATAGGAAAAAACTATGATTAAAGGTCCAACCCTAACGAGTTTAGCCACCTGTTCGCCAAAACTTGCCAACTTGGCAATTTGCCGTAAGAGTGTATTGATTTGGTTTCAATTTGCATTGATCTGATTTGGTTTTATTTGTATACTGCATGTGTGGCTGTGTTTTCAAATACCTTAAGTGTGTAGGGCTTACTGATTGTATGTGTATTGTGTAGCAACATTGTTTGGTCTGGTTTGCGAGTAACGTCTGCGTATGCTGTGAGTGGACTGTACAGGGAAAACCCCAGGTACTAAAACAGGCCCCATACAGTAGGCAGGACAGAGGCTTTAAGTCCTGTTAACATAATGGTTGCCCCTACAAGGCCTGCAAGACAGAAATAAAATCTGATTGAGACAGTACCGTTGTGACCGCAGCTGTGGACTGGAAGTGTAAATGCGGGTAGAAAGTACAAGGGGGGCGTGTAAGTGGAGCTGTGAAGCATGACCACGAAAACGCCCGAGGAAGAGTGTCTGATTTCATAGTGCAGTAGGCCTTTCCACCTGACCGTACAGACACAGAAAGAGAACAAGAACAATGCAAGGACAGACAAGGATAATACTTAATAGCAAGCCGGAGGAAGCTACAGTCCCAAACAGTAATGGCTTTCTTGCACTACTTAGAAATTAGAAAGTCACAAACTGTTTCTCTTACAGTTGATTGCAATTTTGAATAAAATCATGAATTCTATAGGAGTTTTAGGATCCATGATATATCGACCAGTGGCCACCATATCGGTAGATACCGATATGATAATAGAATCATGAATTATATGGTAGTTTTTGAGAACAAGACATTTATATTTACTAGGGATCCACGATATATCGGCCAGTGGCCACCATATCGGTATCAGCTGATATATAATACATTTATTTATTTTATTTTATGATTTTATGATACATATCGTTATGAAAATTAGGCCGATATTAGACCCGATAAATAACATAGGATGGTTTTGAATAGCTTGAAATTTGATTGGAATCACTTTAAAAAAAAAGCATCATTATAATTGTGTTTTTGGGATATGGATTTTAATGGGGATACTTTTGTTTTTGTAATCAGGCTCTCAAAAAAATATAAAAAAAAATTGTATTTATGTAACCCCTACACCCGGGTCCCACTCACCCGGGTCTCCGGCATGAGAGTCAGGCGCTCTAACAAGGAGGCTAAAGACTGCAGCCTCTGGCATCTGTCGCTAGAGCGCCTATTGAGATCAGGGGAGTGAGGTTTACTCGCACAGCAACTGCTAGCTGGCTTCCGTTACACTCACCCCCCTAAACCTCACTCTCATCCGGGTCACGGCACCAATGTAACCCTTACACCCGGGTCCCACTCACCTGGGTCTCCGGCATGAGAGTCAGGCGCTCTAACAAGGAGGCTAAAGACTGCAGCCTCTAGCATCTGTCGCTAGAGCGCCTATTGAGATCAGGGGAGTGAGGTTTACTCGCACAGCAACTACTAGCTGGCCTCCTTTACATATAGATATATCGGCCAATATATCAGTTATCGGTTTTCAAATATAAAGAATTATCGGCCAAAATGATTATATCGGTCTATTCCTAATATTTATATCTGTAAGAATAAAATAAGAATTAGTTTTGTTACTGCAGACTACCTTTGTGCCAATAGCATCTCTGATATACCCGAGATGACAATGGCCCCGTTTACACCTGGTATTAAGATGCGTTTTGGTCGATCGGATAGTCGACTACCTTCCAGAGGTAGCCAAAATGCATCCGATCGGATTGCTTTCGTAGTGTAAACGCTCATGAGGTTCAATACTTTCAGTCACGAAACAAGTACCAAGCACAATGTTCTCTCTCCATTCCTGATATTAATGGATAGTATAGTAGCCTACAGTCTTTATGGATACTAAACTGTTAAGGTCTATATGTAACCAAAATGAAAAAGAGGAGTATAATTCAGAATAACTCACAATACGTTGATTCACACTCAACAATTGAACTGCTTTCATTTACTTTAACCACATATTCAAGTTCATAAATTCTGCTACCACGAAACCCCACATTTCCATTCCGTAAAAAATACTTCACCATATACATTAGCTATATGAATATGCAACCGATGCAGCTCTCATCTTCGCCAAGGGCAAGCAATCCGATCTAGGATTTCAGATTATAGTATTATGCTAAACCTGAGGCCAGTTTGTCCTAGACAAAAAGCCAGTCACTCTTAACATAGAAGTCAACTAGTTCAGCAGCCTGCCTGTGTTCAAATTTCATTTTTTTAAGCTTCTTACCTGCAGTGGTGAGGACCAGTAGAGACAGCAGGCAGCAGAAGGGGAGGAAAAGCCTCATTTTGACTGCCAGGACTGTTCAGTTCCCTTCTCTGTCTATATATACCCCTGGAGAGACGCAAGAGGGCCTGCTGAGGGTCTGGGGGTGGGGCGGCGCTCATGGACATTGAAGCCTTTGCACAAGCGTCAGCAAGGGAGCAGCTGCCTTCTCCAATCAGATGGCCTTTAACCTTTGCCTACTTTTTGGTTAAGGGGACTAATGTGGAGTTGTAAAGGAAGATTCACTTATTCGCTCGGAGGGACCGAATCCAGTGACTGGTCACTTAAACAAACCATTTTGGTGCATTTATATTGAGATCGTACTAAACAAAAAGGAATGAAACGGAAGTTGTGATATTTTGACATATGTTTGAGTGAAACGACAAAAAAGACTTCTATTGACTCGGGTCCTAGAGGGCCACTGTCCTGCAGAGTTAGCACCAATCAAACACACCTCAACCAGCTAATCAATATCTTTAGGATTACTAGAAGGGTTTTATGGGGGTGCTAACAGGAAAGTGACCCTTCAGGACCGAGTTAGTCCATCCCTGGTCTTGACTGGACACTTAGGCTAAAAGTGCCAGTATTACCATAATACACAGCTACAACATGGTATTTGTACTTTATAGCATTCATTCTATTCATTATGATTGTATGAATGTAGTAAAATACTTTTTGTTGTGATAATTTTTTCACAGAAACAAAGAGATTAAAGCACAAATCCAACGAGACCTATTTCACAAATGAATGGCTTTAAATTAGCCTAATCAACATGGAAACCTTTTTTTTTTTTTTTTACACAATGAGAGTTGAGGATAAGGTAGGCTAGGACAAGACACTTCGCGAGACAGACGTCGTCGCGCTACGTTTTCAGGGGCGGAGTCACACAGCAGATCGGGATGAAGCGAGAATACAGTAGCCTTGCCTAATAAAAGAGAGAGAGAGAGAGAGAGAGAGAGAGAGAGAGAGAGAGAGAGAGAAAGAGAGAGAGAGAGAGAGAGACCACATCTGGAGGCATCTGGAGGAAAAGAATCAACATTTAATGTCCTCCACCCTCTGTCTTATTCTCCTCCCTCTCCCTTCGTCTCTTTTTCAGATTGAGGAAGAAGCTGGGAGACAGTAGACAGGCGTCGTAAGCAAGCGATGCTCCTTTGAAATGTATTTATTTAGGAACGATTTATCGTAACTTGACATAGTATTTCCCGACAATTGTATATGCTCTTACCTTTAACGAACAGTTTACGTCTTTCAGCCTAAACAATTTCGTATTGTGCTTGAGTTAGAAATGGTCAACTGGATCCAGGAGTGTTTTTGATGAAGACATCTGGCGATTTAATCTAAGCGTTAAACGGACCGCGCGCGCTCTTGAAGTCGTCTCAGCGGGTCACGTATTTCGGAATCCGACGGAACGTCATTATTGAGGTAAACCCGCCGGGCATGTCGCGTGCATCGGGACAGACATAAAATGTATCGCCACACCTCGAGAAAAACATTAGGGTTTTGTGTGTGTTTGTGTTATTTTGCTCAAGTTTTATCCAGACAGTCTGCCTATTAGACAATGAAGCTAAAATGGGTTTGTAAAACAGACTCCGTCATAAACAGAGACCACCTGATGTTATATAACTTATGAAAATGATCATGTCAGGGTAGCTACAGGTGTGAATGGAGGACACCGGAGGTGGGTGGGTGTCTATTTGTGAGCCAGATGCTGTATCACCACTTTGTACGGCTTTCCAGAATTTCCACAATCAAATATTTTTATATAATGTATTTTTTCCCCTCAGTCTCCTAAAGATATTCTAGCTGTGCTAGTTTCCCATTTCCCATACTCTGGTCTCTTTCTTTGCACATGTTAAAATATTTCAATGTTTTTTATTCGTTAGGTGTGTGAAAAGTTGGCTAATTTACAGTCAGCAGTCCATTGTGAAATAAATCCCCTAAACATCTTACAAGACACATTTTTGTTGCATTCATGTTTATTTTAATTTTATGTTATAGGGTAAACAAATATCCTATCCTGCCTTATTGCCATATCTTGCAGCTAATCAGAAGAAATTTTCTTAACCAGTTCACGCTAGTAGGCTAAGTTAACTACTTGAACGACATTTTTGTGATTACGAAAAACATACCTGTTTAACTGTCAGTGAGTGCGACACTTGGCGTCCTTTTATACTGCGTTTTTCCCATTCACATTAGTAATCATCATAAATTAAAAAACAAAATTCATCCTGTGAAACCCTTTTTGAAATTGGAAGTTGCATTAACGGTACCTTTTAGCGGGCTCAATTTTTCTGATATCAACTTCAAATTTGGAACACAACTTGGTTAGACATGGCCTTATGTGTCCATATATTTTAGATTCCAAATTATTAAGTAAAAAATATATTTTATAAAATAAATATGATGTTTAGCTAGGCTACGTACATTTTGAACGTAATCTTTATTTACATTTTTCACTTTTTGAAGTGCTTTCACTTTATTCATGAACTACAGCAATTTAAGTGAAAGCTTTACACTGTAAGTTGATGTGTTGATTTATCCACATTTTAATAAGCCTCTGGTCCTAGATGGATGCTAGTGCTTTTTAGGTTGGGTATCAGTGATCTCTGAGCCAGTTTGTTTTGGCTTCCATGGCTAAAATACGCTGGCTACCCGAGTTTCTAAATACTTTTGGGTAAATTAGCAGTGGGCGGGATTCTATATATCATGTCTAATTTTTGCAAGCTGTGTTTACTAGAGTTTTGAATATATTGCTAGTTTATATGGCGTCTACCGTTGCATTATTAGGTATTAACTTTTACATATATCGCAGATGTGAAATATTCAAGATTGGAAGCTATCAAACGTGCGTCATAAGAATCAGTTATTGAAAAACCCATACTGATGACGGCCAATCCGAATATGTGGGTGTTTGCCGAGTCCAGCTCAGTGTCTATGGTGGTTATGGCAGTACTTTGGGAAGTTCTCGGTTCAACGCCAAGCCCAGTCCTGATGCAACAAACTGCAACATTAACAGAGAGTCTGAGGAATGGAATGAGAGACAGATTGTGTCTGAATGTGTGTGGCTGGGGAGTATGTGCATGAATGTTTCAGTGGGTCGTGAGACATTGTTCACTGTGATTTTTTCCACGGATGTGTTCGTAATACTTCTGTTTTGACTTATAATGTGGTTTTTTCACTTGCATTGAGGTTCACTGGGTTCAGCGGAGAGAACGGGTGAGGAAAGCAGAAAGGAGAGATGAAACCGCACATTCTTGTCTTGTGAAACGCCAACCACCAATGGCTGCTTCTGAAATTCTTTGTCTCCAGTAGTTCCTCATGACATTGTCCTAAACTGTACCTACACAAGAACGCTTTGTACAGAGCAAGATATATTAATTTCCAAAAGAAACACTAAGAATTCATTCCTGAGCTCCCTCCCTCCCTTTTCTCTTCATCAACCCTTATGTCTCATTCTATTCTATCAATCTCTCTCCCCCCTTTGGCTTGAGTTTGAGGTTGGACAGAGTTCCTGGAGGCCTTTACGAATCATGAGCAATTCAAGGGGAGGAGGAAAGGCATGGAAAATCAGAGCGCGCAAGAGAAAGAGAGAAATATGAGAGCGCGAGAGGAGAGAAAATTATGTCTGAAGGATTTCGAATTGCACTTAATCCACAGCGTCCATCTGATTCTCTGCCGCGTCGTTCTCTGCGCCGCGTCGCTGGAGAAACTGCGCACGATTGCCGCGCACGATTGCCGCGCTCAGCCCGCAGCTGCTTCTTGTTATTGTTTATGAGCTTGGCTCTCTCTTTGCATTTCTAATGTACACTTAAAAGCGCAGTGGAAACAAATTGAGTGAATCTGCTGTGGCCAGAGGAATGTGTGTGTTTGTGTGTGTGTCTGGATGACAGACTATACGGAGAGAGAGAGAGAGAGAAGGAATGGGGATTTTAGAGGAGGGGAGGTTATGTTGACCTTGTCCTGTTGCCAGATGCAGGGGGTGGAGAGTGAAGAAGGAGTGATGAAGAAAAAGAGAGAGAGGGAGCGATTTGGTGCTCATTGCCTTCTGTAGGATGTTGTTGTTTCTTCCTCATCAGTAATTCATTATTTAGCAGTGTTTTGCTCTCCACCCTCATCCTGTTATGGATGAATGGCAGAGAGTGTTTTTTTTAATCACGGGTCTTCAGCATAATCAGCTCAATCTGTGTCTTCCGCTACACTTTAAACTATTATATGATCAATGAGTTATGACAACATATGTTTTTACATTGTTTTAACTCATTAAAATAAGTTAAGTTATACAAGATTCAACACATTTCTTTAAAGTCAGTTTAATGTAATTTAAGTTGAAATGACTTAAACATCCAAGTTGATTGAACTTAATTTAAAGGAGTAGTTCTCTTTTAAAAAAACTTTTGCTGATAATTTACTCACCCCCATGTCATCCAAGATGTCCATGTCTTTCTTTCTTCAGTCGAAAAGAGATTAAGGTTTTTGATGAAAACATTCCAGGATTTTTCTCCATATAATGGACTTCAATGGGAACCAAACGGTTCAAGGTCCAAATGAGAGTTTCAGTGCAGCTTCAAAGGGCTTTAAATGACACCAGATGATGAATAAGGGTCTTATCTAGGACCCTTCGAGTCATGACTCGAAAAAAGATTAGTTCATTTTGATGAACGAGTTCGAACAGGAGAGTCACGAACGTGCATCACAGAATAGAGCAAGGCAAGCAATTGTGCTTATAAAATTTAAACTTTTTCATTTATTTTTGAAATGAGCGATCGTTTCGCTTGATAAGACCCTTATTCATCGTCTGGTGTCGTTTAAAGCCCTTTGAAGCTGCACTGAAACTCTCATTTGGACCTTGAACCGTTTGGTTCCCATTGAAGTCCATTATATGGAGAAAATCCTGGAATGTTTTCATCAAAAACCTTAATTTCTTTTCGACTGAAGAAAGAAAGACATGGACATCTTGGATGACATGGGGGTGAGTAAATTATCAGCAAAAGTTTTTTTAAGTACTCCTTTAAGGAAGCAACTTTTTTTTTTTTTTTTACAGTTGCGCTCATAATATCAAGCTATGTACATCAATATAAACAGTATTATCGCATAATTATGTGTAGTTTATAAAAATACGTTGATATATCGCACAAACTAGAGCCTAATAAATATACATTGTATTTGGGGCACTAGCATGCTTTTTTTCTGTCTCTCTTCCTCATGACTCTGAGATTGCAAGCTAAATAATGGGATTGCATCACTGAGATTTGTAAGGAGGGAGTGAAAAAGAGAAGTCGGAAAGGAATGATCACCCACTGCTTTTCAGTGCAAGTCAACCAAAGAAGTGAAAGGGCCAGAATTGCAGACACTTTCAAATGTGAAGGAATGAGAATCAGAACAAGAAAGAGAGACCTTGACTGCCTGAGATTACAACCATAAACGTTTAACGCTAGAAACGTAATACATTTCTAAGTGGTATTTCACGACAAATTTAAACGGATAAATAACAATATAAATAAATCTCTAGAATTTATACGCATCTTTGCGTTGCCATCAAGTGTGTTTTATGCGATATCCCAAAATGTGCATCGAAACAGGGCCGTTGAAAGGCAGCTTCTCGTTTTTAAAACCTGTTGAATGTTACCAGGAGGTCGACGTTCAGAAATGGGTGCAGTATTTGTGTGGTGTATACTGTAGGTCTCAGTGTTAGTGTGTATCTAAAGCTCAGAAAGTAAGGGTGGAGCTCGAGGAAGAAGTTGAAAACAAACCCCCATGCCAGCGACTGAGAGCGAGCGAGGGAGGAGACTAGGGGAAGTGTTCAGCACTCGAAGCTTTTGCAATACTGTGTAATATCACAGCGAGAAATAGCAAATCAGAGGAATTAGGGAAAAAAAGCATGCAGAAGTACATGAAAACCAGAAGTGTTTGCAAGAAGATGGACATTTCAACAGTTTCAAAAGGCAAATTTGGGCAATGATGGATGTGGGGGTTTTTTAAAGGTGCTGTATTTCCTCATTCCTGTGCAAGTGAAGAAAGTAGTTATATGGTTAGATGAATATTTATGTAATGCACATCAAGGCAGGAGAGAGTCATTCAGCGGGTCTGAAATAAACAATAGAAAGACCCATTTTCACTTCACACATAAATTGTTAAAACATTTTATAATAATAAAAAATGCCTTGAGATGCACAATAAAAATTGTATTTGTATTGGCCAGTATTGGATATTTTTTGCTTTTTTTCCCCCTTGTGATGTCAAAATTAATATTTTAATATCCACTCACCTAAAGGATTATTAGGAACACCTGTTCAATTTCTCATTAATACAATTTTCTAATCAACCAATCACATGGCAGTTGCTTCAGTGCATTTAGGGGTGTGGTCCTGGTCAAGACAATCTCCTGAACTCCAAACTGAATGTCAGAATGGGAAAGAAAGGTGATTTAAGCAATTTTGAGCGTGGCATGGTCGTTGGTGTGAGTATTTCACAATCTGCTCAGTTACTGGGATTTTCACGCACAACCATTTCTAGGGTTTACAAAGAACGGTGTGAAAAGGGAAAAACATCCAGTATGCGGCAGTCCTGTGGGCGAAAATGTCTTGTTGATGCTAGAGGTCAGAGGAGAATGGGCCGACTGATTCAAGCTGATAGAAGAGTAACTTTGACTGAAATAACCACTCGTTACAACCGAGGTATGCAGCAAAGCATTTGTGAAGCCACAACACGCACAACCTTGAGGCGGATAGGCTACAACAGCAGAAGACCCCACCGGGTACCACTCATCTCCACTACAAATAGGAAAAAGAGGCTACAATTTGCAAGAGATCACCAAAATTGGACAGTTGAAGACTGGAAAAATGGTGCCTGGTCTGATGAGTCTCAATTTCTCTTGAGACATTCAGGTGGTAGAGTCAGAGTTTGGCGTAAACAGAATGAGAACATGGATCCATCATGTCTTGTTACCACTGTGCAGGCTGGTGGTGGTGGTGTAATGGTGTGGGGGATGTTTTGTTGGCCCACTTTAGGCCCCTTAGTGCCAATTGGGCATCGTTTAAATGCCACGGCCCACCTGAGCATTGTTTCTGACCATGTCCATCCCTTTATGGCCACCATGTCCTCATCCTCTGATGGCTACTTCCAGCAGGATAATGCACCATGTCACAAAGCTCGGATCATTTCAAATTGGTTTCTTGAACATGACAATGAGTTCACTGTACTAAAATGGCCCCCACAGTCACCAGAACTCAACCCAATAGAGCATCTTTGGGATGTGGTGGAACGGGAGCTTTGTATCCTGGATGTGAATCCCACAAATCTCCATCAACTGCAAGATGCTATCCTATTAATATGGGCCAACATTTCTAAAAACAAAGTATTAGTATGGTGTTCCTAATAATCCTTTAGGCCTGACATGGTGCTCTGGTCCCGTTCGCTCAAGAAGGCCTTCATTATTGAGCTCACAGTACCCTGGGAGGACTCAGTAGATGAGGCTTATGAGCGGAAACATCTGCGCTATGCTGAGCTAGCTGCCGAAGCACGGCGTCATGGATGGAACACAGAAATCCGACCAGTGGAGGTGGGCTGCAGAGGCTTTGTGGCAACATCTACAATCAGACTGCTTAGAGACCTGGGAATTAAGGGCCAGAGTCAGCGTTCGGCAATCAGAGCTGTATCGGAGGCGGCAGAAGTCAGCAGTCAGTGGCTCTGGATAAAGAGAAAAGACCCCAACTGGGCCCCGAAGTGAGAGGGTCAGGAGGTATGCGGTCAACAATGCTTGACTCAGGGAGGAGGACGCCCCTGCCAAGCATAGTCCAATGGGATGTTGCCTGTCAACAACAAGGCAACTCCCATGTCTAATTGGGAATGGGACGCAAGCGCAGGTTTGATCACCCTGTCGCTGGCCGCCTTTGGAGAGGGTGTATAGTGTGAAAGGCCGAAACACCCTATGAACCAAAGGTACACTACTGACGATGCGATCCCCAAATTTATGAGGCTCACTGTTCATGAACTCTTGGGAGTGCTTGCACAAAGGTTAGGAACATCTTATCTTGTGTTCTTGGAATCATAGGTGAGTGTGTGTGTATATATATATATATATATATATATACATAAAAGAGTGATTTAAATTTTATTTATTTATTTTTCATTTAATTTACACAAAATAATACAGAATTCTAATATCGACCATGTCATGAAAATAATTATCAGCCAGCATTTTAAAATCAGAACATTCCTAATTTACAACTGCTCTAAGACTATTGATTATTATTGAATTTTTTAACTAGTGGTCTTCGACTTTTGGACCCTCTTGTCCAAACACACACATAATCCATGGATGTGGAGCCAGAGGCCCACTCTTCATCAACTTTTCCTCTGCATCACAGAAAGAGACCGAGAAAGGGGGAAAAAAATGAAGGAAAGCGAAGAACTCAGATCTATATATCTCTGTAATGCGTTCTGCATGTTTTGACTGCAGTGTGGCTGCTGGTGTGATGAACTGCTCGTGTGTGTGTGTGTGTGTGACCCGTCTGGCAGAAAGAAATGTAAATGACTTACAGTTGCTGAAGTGGAGCTGCACGTGTGTGGGAGTGTGTCTGCGTGTGTGTGTGTGTGTGTGAGAGAGAGAGAGAGGGTATTTCCTTCTAAAAATCAAACTGAGAAATCACTGCTGACTCACAGTGTAGGTGCCACTGCGATGTCAATAACATTATAATAATATGGTTTGATTTTCTCAGGATCGAAGCCATGCTGTCGCTAGACGAGCCCCTGGACTTGAAGATTCTCTCTGGCCCCGACAGGACGCTCAGAACGTCCATCTGTGCCCCGCTGCACTTTGCTCGTGCCCGAATATCCCGGCCACAACACAAGTCCACAAGCCCTGGTTAGTCAGTCACAAAAACCGCTACATAACAAAACTATATAGAGGGGTGTGAATTTTTGTGTAGAGTAGACAGAGAATTGATTTGGTTCACAATTCACAGGTTTTTAATTCCATTCAAGAACTATTTTTGCTAATTCAAAACTATTCGATTCTAGACGATTCAGGGTGGGGACAAAGATCTACATTGTTAGATCATGTTAGTTCTTAATGATGCTAAATCTCTTTCCTATTAAACATTGGGATACTGTATGTAGAAATTCACGTATGCCAAGACTTTATAAGTATTGTTAGTTCATGTTAAAGGGATCGTTCACCCTAAAATGAAAATTACTCGCCCTCAAACCCGTAAGACTTTCATTCATCCTCGAAACAAAAATTAAGATATTTTAATAGTATCTGAGAGATTTCTGTCCCTCCATTGACAGTCCATGCAACTGCCATTTTGTTAAACTGAAAAAGATTGTAAAAACTAATCCATATATGAATTGAGCGGTTTAGTCCAAAGAGACTCGATTGCTTTATATGATGAACGTATTGAATTTAGACTTTTATCCACAACAAAGGCCCTGTTGGTGGCTGGCTCGACTGTTTGAGCTGATTAATAAAGCATTGGTGATTTGAATTTTACTTCTTGGTCCTCTGTTGCAGAAAATCATGGGAGTTTATTAGGGGTGTAATGGTTCTAATTACTCGCGGTTCGGTTTTTATTAATGTTTTAGGGTCACGGTTTCGGTACGGTTCGTATATGCTATGTTCAGAGTTAAAAAGGACTACTGTAAAATAAAGACAATATTACAAATAATCTAACTACAATCAACAGCACAAATATATACAATAGAGCAAAGACACAAATAAATGAAACATTGCTTTTCAGGTTATTTAGGAATCTAATAGTAGTTTTCAATACAGAAATTGAATAAAGTAATCAAATGTAAAACAACATGATTGCATATACGTAATCTTCACTGTATCAATTAAAGAAAGATGAGTCATTATTAAAGGATTTGTTCACCTCAAAATGAACATTTTCTGATTATTTGCTCACCTCAGTGCCATTAAAATGTTCATGTTTTTCTTTCCTCAGTGGAAAAGAAATTACGTTTTTTTTTTAGGAAAACATTTGAATGGACTTCAACGGCAACCAAATCGTTGAAGTCCAAATCAATGCAGTTTCAAAGGGCTTTGGGCTCTGCACTATCCCAGCTGAGGAATAAAGTCTTATCTAGCGAAATGATCAGTCATTTTCTTAAAAAAAAAAAAAAAGAAGTATATTCTCTTCAAACAAACTAACCTCATCTCTTCTTCTCTCCAGATACAGCTGATAAAGACATGTCCGACTCTTCATCGTGCACAGCTGTGGATCTGAGTCTGTCTCCATCTTCTTCTCCCTCACCACCCTCTCCCATAGACAGCGGCGCCAGCTGGAGCCCCACAGCGCCTCTGCTGGCCTCAGTGAGTAACTCTCCCACAGCTTTTTTTGTTCTGGAACAAAATTGCTAAGTGAAAAATACACGACTCTAAAGCCTATATGCATGTTACTGTTTTTACCAGGGTCCAAAATGAACCTTTTTTTTGTCTCAAATTACTAGTAAATTAATAAAACTAATTTGTAAAACTATAAACCCAGATAGCAAACTGACATTGAATCAACGTGGAAACATGACATCGAAACAACGTTGATCTGACATTATTTTGCTCATCGAATTAACGTTGGACCAACGTCAGATGTGTCATTCTTTCAAAACGAATGGAAAATCAACTTGAAATCAACGTTGTTTCAACGTTAAACCAATTTTCGATTTCATTTAGTTTTGAAAGAATGACGCGTCTGACGTTGGTTCAACATTAATTCGATGAGCATGAGAGACGTCGTTTCCACGTTGATTCAATGTTAGTTTGCTGTCTGGGAACTCAGAATTGGGAGAAATAAACTCGCAATTTGGACTTTTTTTTTCTCAGAATTGCATGTTTATCTCGCAACTTTGACTTTATAACACAGCAATTGGAAGCTATAAAGTCAGAATTGCGAGAAAAAGTCTTGCAATTGCGAGTTTATATCTCGCAGTTCTGACTTTATAACATGCAATCGCAAAAGCGACTTTATATCACGCAATTCTGACTTTATCTTGCAGTTCTGAGAAATAAAGTCAGAATTGGGAGATGTAAACTCGCAAATGTGAGATAAAAAGTCACAATTATATTTTTAAATGTTTTTTTTTTCTCTGTGGTGGAAACAGCTTCCATAATTCTAATGATTAAAATCACTAAAAACTACGTTCTGCTGGAAGAATGACTGCCTTATGCACAGTCCCATAATTCAATTCACCTACACACTAATTCATTTCAGTCCAGTCTCACACAGTGTCCTGATCTGAACATGTTCGGACTTGTTCGAGCATGAGGTGGTCTCCTACTCCTGAACCATGATGAGTCGGGCATGATTCATAAATGAATTACTGACACATATGCTCTTCTACTCACAGGAATCCGAAAGTACCACGTATCACGAGGACAGCGCCTCTCCTCCTCCAGGTTTCCAGTTCTTTCTGCCCATTGGTGCAGACAGTGCCCTGCGCCTGCCCTCCTCCATGCTGATTGGTCGGCACTCCCCTGAGCCCTCTAGTGACGAGCAGCTGGCCTGCCGCTGGCTGAAGGTGAGTGACAGAGAGCCTGTTTTACTGTTTTGATCCATGATCATGAGGTCGATGACTAAAATGAATGTCATACATGCCATAATCGGTTTCCAAGAGAAACACATTAACAAGGACAGCGCAAACGTATTATAAAACATGAAATAATGGACATGAGTGAATGGACGAAAGCCAAAAAAATATCCAATAGACTTAAGGGCCATTCACAGCAAGAACAATAACTATAACAATTATAAGGTTTTAAACTGTACTTGCATGACTGAAATAGTTTCAAAGATGGCCGCCGAGTGAAACGACTTGCCTTAAAGGGATACTCCACGATTTTTCATATTAAACTATGTTATTCCCTTAACTGAGACGAGTTGACACATACCTCTCTCGCAATCGCGAGACACTTTAATAGCACTTAACTAGCCCAGTTCATTCATTAGGATCCAAGCAGAGAAACGACCAAACACCTCTACGTTTTCCCTATTTAAATACAGTTACACGGGTAGTGTAACTCGACCAAGAATGGTGACACAAAAACGTTGCGTTTTTCTAAGCAGAGTTATCTAAAGTGGATAACTGTAACGTATGGCGGAAAACCACAGCAAGTGCTTGGGAGCACTTCGACTCGGTGCAGTAATATCATTACATTTCTGCCATACGTTACAGTTATCCACTTTACACGCTTAGAAAAGCACAACGTTTTATTTGGCATTTTGTGAGAGAGGGAATAACATAGCTTTAATATTAAAAAACGGTGGTGTATCCCTTTAAAGGGATTTTGAAAACCACCCACAACATCCTAGCATTGTTGATGCTAATTTTGTATTGTACATTTCAAAGTAGAATAACTGTTTTTAGCTTTGTTTTTCTGAGAAACATATGTGAACTTAGCATGTTTCCCAATTCTCTGCAAACAGATTATGGTGTTTTTGTGCTTTAGTACAGTAAAACAAATATGACATACAGCACCTTGAAATATTAAAAGCGCTATTCACATGCTCCTCATCTTCCGCTCTGCGCTCTCTGTCTTTACTCTGTAGTGCCATCTGCTGTTCGAGAGCCTGCAGGATCTGGTGGACCATGTGAATGACTCGCATGTGAAACCGGAGAAGAATTCAGGATACTGCTGCCACTGGGAGGGCTGCGCGCGCAAGGGAAGAGGCTTTAATGCCAGGTCAGACAACATACACACATTCATGGGATTTAAGCATTATTTCTAAGCAAAATTAGGTCAAATTTATGCTTAAAACAAGAAAAATAAAATAGGTCAGAAAAAAAGAACTCAAGATATATTCACATTTATGTATTAGTTTTTCATAATAATTTTTAAGAATAAGAATATATATACACTCACACAATCATTCTTTAAAAAAATAATTCATGATTATGAAATTAATTCTAAAACCATCACTCCGAGATATGTTTGCTCTTTGACTGTGTGCGTGTGCAGCACAGCACTAATCCAGTATCCATTTGTTCAACGCAGGTACAAGATGCTGATTCATATTCGGACTCATACCAATGAGAAACCGCATCACTGTCCTACCTGCCACAAGAGCTTTTCCCGCCTGGAAAACCTGAAAATACACACACGCTCACACACAGGTGAGAACCACACATTTGCAATAAAAACCAGTATGGTGTACCAATATGGTACACATCAGATATATATATATATATATATATATATATATATATATATAACCATTAGTTCAATTTAAATAAGGGGTTCTAAAAGACTGAAATTCCAGTAGTGGATAGCAATATTTAAAAATGTACATATTATTATATTAAACAAATAAAGCAATGGCATGTAGCCTAAACATATTTCTTAAAGGGATAGTTCAGCCAAAAGTGAAAATTAGCCCATGATCTTAATCACCCTGAAGTCATCATAAATGACTGATGTTTTTCAGGTATCTAACAGCAGCATCAAGTATTCAAGAAACCATTCAGATATTGAAATTATAATACAAAAGCAACCAATGTTAAATAATAGTACTTTAATTTAATAATTATTCTTATTAATAATAGGAATTCAAAATATTTAATAATTAATAGCAATTAAATCAATAATTATTGTATAAATAGTGTTTTTAAAAATATATTTATTTATTTAAATGATTTTATTTTACAAAAAAAATAAAATGGTATCTTTTTAACATATTTTTATATTCGTACATCTATTTTATTTTACATTTTTATATTTGTAAATCTATATGGTTATAATTATGTTTAATATTTATATTGATGATGCTATCAGACAATATTTTGAATAGTTGCACCAATATTCTAATCAGCGCTCTGAGTACCAATTTGAGTCTGTAGAATTAATTGTAGAATTAGATTTGTATTATGTTTTTTAATACCAGAATACCAGTACTTTTGACACCCCCAAAAAACCTCTAACATTCAGACACATCACCATTTCCCCCACACAAAATGACAGGTCTCTACAGGCCTGTGCCGTCTGGTTGTCCCTGATGGACCCTGCATTCCTCCAGTGCAAGCCATTGATTATCTCTTGCTCTTCTGCCCTCTCAGGAGAGAAGCCGTACATCTGTCCGTACGAAGGCTGCAACAAGCGCTACTCGAACTCCAGCGACCGCTTCAAACACACACGCACGCACTACGTGGACAAGCCCTACTGCTGTAAAATGGTGGGATGTCTGAAGCGCTACACCGACCCCAGTTCCCTCCGCAAACACATCAAGGCACACGGCCACGCTGTAGTGCAGGAACGCGCCACCTCTCCCAGAATCAACAGGCTGGAATCGGATGGGGCATCATCGGTTGACGGCCGACGTATGGATCGATCTTACCCAGGGGCGGCTCATTTCATCTTGCCAGGTGCGGCGACAACCTTATTTGGGGCTCAGGCCTTTACCGGGCACCTTGGCGGTCACCCCTTGGATCTGTCTAGACTCGGCCCGCTTTTAGGAGCCGGGCCGGTGCTGTACCCCAGCTCCGGTGCTCTTGGGCTTGGGAAGGTGCCTATCTTACACCCCTTATTGTTGCCACCATTCGGACTCAGTGGGCATCAGTTTGAAAGAGGGGTTGAGGAAGAGGAGGATGCTGATGATGATGAAGATGAAGGCAGGATGGGAGCAGGACTGGGTCCTCACTCATGGGTCGTGATCCCTCCGGGAATGCTGTTCTTGAAACAGGTGGCGACCACGTAAAGAGAGTCATATCGCCTTGTTCACACTGCACACAACTCTGATTTGGATTTCACACCTGATCAAACTGAACGGAAGCAGATCCGATTAAAAACCCGAATGAGGCTTAAATGAAAATAAAATCTAACCATTGGGAGTTCAGATTTTGAATTGTTCACGAATGAGATGTGAATCCGGTTTGTTTCTTTTCTGTTCACACTATAAAACAAAACTGGTTTGTGTCTGATACACCAAAAATGCTTTTTTTGCTTCTGAACAAGGCCTTACGGGCTGTTTACACTAAGGACAATAACTAAAAATGTTTTAATAATTGTTCTTACTCGGAGAACATCGCAGTCCACACCACAACTATAACGATAACGACGCAGAGGAACGATCTTCGGAATCACTTTCAGAACGATTTTTTTCCAGGTAATAAATGATAAAAACATTGACAGCCAATCAGAATCCATCCTGCTTTAAAGGGATAGTTCATCCAAAAATGAAAATTAAGTCGTTAATTACTCGCCCCCATGCTGTACCAACCCCGCATTTTGATTAAATTTGAGAGCTGGATCACTGCTACATAGGCTGCCTAAGGGATTGAAACTTGACGGCCCAGAAAGTCAATGAAGAAAATGTTTAAATATTCCATGTGACTACAGTGGCTCAAGTATAAGTTTATCAAGCGACGAGACTACTTTTTGTGCGAAAAAACTAACAAAAATAACGACTTTATTCGACTATTTCAAGAGAGAGAACGCCGATCTCCTTCAACTCGCGCATGCATCGTGCAAATCTCTTGAAGTCTCGTCTCAGGCCAACAAGGAAGAAAAGGAATAGTCGAATAAAGTCATTATTGTTGTTTGTTTTTTCGCACAAAAAGTAGTCTCGTCGCTTGATAAACTTATATTTGAGCCACTGTAGTCACATTTTCCTCAATGACTTTCTGGGCCGTCAAGTTTCAATCCCTTAGGCAGCCTATGTAGGAGTGATCCACCTCTCAAATTTAATCAAAAATATCTTCATTTGTGTTCCGAAGACGAACGAAGGCCTTACGGGTTTGGTACACTAGGGGGGTGAGTAATTAATAACTTAATTTTCATTTTTGGCTGAACTAACCCTTTAAAGAGCTAGAGCGTTTAAAGCTACAGACAACAAAACACTTAGAATAAACAATGTTGTATACTGTTGGTGTGGACTCAAATATAGTTATCGTTAAAATGATCTTCATAGTACACGGAAGTTTGACACTTCAGTCAATCTCGCACACACACTATTTGGATTAGTCATTAAAGTGCTGTCTTTAAGGAGAATCATAAGTTTACATATGGAGTGATTAAATACACGTTATTATGTGGCAACATTCAAATATTGATTTTTCAGTACTTCCTGACAGTAATATTCATGAACCAAATGTGCATATTATGTCATCAAAGACGTCAGAATGTACTTAATGTGATGTCTGACGAGAAATGCCTTGTGGGCGGAGCTTCCTAATTCACAATTATGCTGCTTTGACTCGCAGTGGCCAAACAAAGTGAACAGGATGTGAATATGAAAAGCATACGATATGACACACTTCTTTACAACACCTGCTGTGAGGTAACAAGGCAATTTGTACTAAACCATTCGCTTTTTTTCCACAACTAGGACAATGAGTAGGCCGGATATGTTCAAGTAAGAATAAACATTACATGAAAACGTAAAACCCTTATTTCATTTAAGTGAATTTAGGCATTAGCATTACAATGTACAGCATGAAAAATAAACATTCCTCACTCATTCTTACTTTTAAAAGTGTGAAATGTGATACCTTTTAAAAAGATTAATTTTATTTATTCCAATAAAATAAAAATCGCGCATAACCGACACGCTCCCTATTGTTGTGTGTCTCAAACCAACTAGTTAAAACAAATCAGGAGTGCGTCTTGTTCACAAATTTTGATACCAAAAAATGAGCCAATTCGGGACATATACGAAAAGTGACTTTTGAATCATTTTGTCAAGCAAAATTTGCGATTGCTATAAATAGTCATCAGCTTGTATTTTTCATTATTAGCCATTTAATGGTGCAACTGTGTTTACGTTTTGTACATTTTCGAAGACAAGACATTGACTGTGTCAAAACTGTGTCATATGATGACATGAGTCCACTTGGACTCCACTATTTTTTATCCATTATTACGTTCTGTGGCTAGCGGATTGCTAAACCTTTATGCATGGCTGACCTTTCTCACTTAAACGGCACCATATGTAATGATGATGTATTGCTCTGATTTGATATCCGCCATGCACAACGGATAAATGCTAAGACTATGGCCTGTCACGGCCAGCGCGAGTGTTTTAATGAAATGTATTTGCACAGGATATTTTATTGAACATATTTTTATCAGTACCAAGTGCCTTCTATTGTAAGGTCGTTATTGACGAAATACAATGTATTAAATACATTTGGATGTATATTGTGAGTGTATTTTACCAGATTTAGTTCAATAGTCTATCGTAAATGTTTTCTTGACGTTGAGGCGAATGTCTCATGAAGTCTTTGCGTACAACAGGACGTCTGTCAACGTGACTGGAATGAGATTTTGAAATCGAGGACTATGACGTATAAGTCTAATAAAGAGTGCAATGACCAAAATGTGTACAGTGTTGTTTTATCTACAGGGGATTAAAGGCTTTGTCATTTATTGTCACAAGGATAAATGTTTGCTTAGTTTAATGGGAGGTTTATACATATAATCAGCCGAAGTATATTTTGCGTTATTTGTATTACACCCGAAAAGGAAGTGCTTTGGATTAACCACATATGGTAAATTTGGGGTCTGTATAACCATAAAACAATGGCCCACTTGCCCAACCCCCTTCCTCAGTGAACACCTGTATAAGGTGGGAGGGGCTAAGGCAACCTATAATTCAAAGGCAGCTTTAACTCAGGTTGTCAGCTCAATGGGCAATTGACTTCCTTGAATCCAGATATGCACACACAACAAGACATGGAGGTGAAACTCCTCAAAGGATATAGCTGGAAGAGGTGAGCTCTATCATGTGTCTTTCATGTCTATTAAATTAATATTGTTGTCATCTAGTATTTTAATAATGCACTGGTTTGGTAATTTTGTAAACTGCAACTGCATGGATATGACAAATAATAATTTTTTTTTTTTTAGAAAATTAATTTGGAAATTTAGAAACATTTGAATCTGGGTGGGAAATACCTTAAATCCAAGTCACGTTGACAAAATTGTGTAAACTCGTAAAATGTAATTTCGCTAAATCATACAGCCTAAACCTCAAAGAATGGACTATGGTTGTTGGAAAGTGACCGACAAAACATTGAAAATAAAAGTTCCGATAGGTTCTGTTGTGAACTTCTCTTCTAAAGTGTTGGAACTCGAAAGCGAAGACCGGGAGACTCGGTATCTTTTTAAGGGAGTAGTTAACTTTAAAAAAAAAAAAAAAAATTTAAATGAGAGATCGTTTCGCTTGATAAGACCCTTATTCATCATCTGGAATCGTTTAAAGCCCTTTGAACAGTTTGCAGTTTGTACTGAAACTGTCTTTTGGACCTTGAACCGTTTGGTTACCAGTAAAGCGCATTTTATGGAGAAAAATCCTGGAATGTTTTCATCAAAAACCTTAATTTCTTTTTGACTGAAGAAAGAAAGACATGAATATCTTGGATGACATGGGGGTGAGTAAATTATCAGCACAAGTTTTTTTTTTAAAAGTGAACTACTCCTTCAAGCAGGATTCTTTATTGCTGTTGCATCGCTGTAGTTTGCTTCGTCCAAAAATCTTGGCCAATCTAACTAAGGGAACTTTACATTGTGTTTATATACATTTCAAGGGGGAGAGATGACAGAGGTGGAGACCCTCTAAAACAAAGCAAATGTAAATGAGGTATACAGGTTTTTGAACCTGCTCAGCATGAGACCCGAGAACAGGATGGTGCAGGACTCCTCGCACTGAGACGGGACATTCAGGAATATCCCACTGGGGACCCCTACCGTTTGTAGAGATTTTCAGGTCTCATCATTTATAAACTTCCCCAATATAAAATACTATTGTACTGGAAATCTAAATTAAACATTTAGATACATTTGTAATCCTACAGTTCCATAGATAGTTTGTTCCCCAAAGAATATTTCAGTTGTGTTCTTGAAAGAACCATTTTATCCCCTTTAGTGTGAAGAACACAATCATGTAAAGAACACTTTTCCACTCTAAATAACCATTTGTGCAATAGAAAAGGTCCATAAATGTTAAAGGGTCTTCATGAAACTATTTAAGCCAATAAAGAACCTTCATAGAGTGTGGCGACGCTACATGACAGAGATCACATAACTGAAATTGAGGCAAACAGGTCTATTGTTTATTGTCAATATCGTGACAGCTTGGACAGAACCCAGCAAACATGTTGGCACAACCCAACCTTCTAACAACATTTTAACAACATGGCCAAAAGGTTGCTATAATTACGTTGTGGTGAAGGTTGTTTCAGCGATGTTACAATGTTGACACTGAACCAAGGTTTCAAGGCTTAAGGTTGTGCCTTGGGTGTCTCGACAACCAGTGGACGACGTGTGTCCGCCACTGCCCTGAAGCGCGAACCCACTTTTTAAATTTGGTGATTTACAGCATGCAATTTGTAGCATTTTTTATAGAATCCTAAATATTATTAATATTTCTGTTCAAAAGATTTAGATTTTTTTTTTATTATGTCACACAGACATCAAGATCCAACCTGTGAATCTCAACAATGGTGACGATAATAAACCAGGTTGCAGTGCATTCTGGGTGGCCCCAATCAAAACTCATTCATGGCTCCCATCATGCATTGCAGTATGAATAAATTATGATCTGAACTGTCCTTTGCCTAATTAAATATTTGATTTGTCACCATTGTTAAGATTCATACAGTCATGCTTGATGTCTGTTTGTACCCACCCAATTTGTTTTATTATTTTATCAGAACAAGTTTTAAGAAATCCTTTGGAATATATTGAAAATTCTGGCTTTTATGCTGTAGAATCACTGTGATGCTGCAATCGACAATATAAATATAAGTCGGAGGTTGAGCTCTAAATTAGTTTTGCGATTCAGGTAAAATTATGATTATGTCAAAACATAACCAACAACTTCAGATCACCTTTTCTCTTTGTTCATATGGCAGTTACAACTCAGTTACAACAGTCAAACAAAATCTAAAGTTAGAAATACAGTATAAGGTCAAGAGCCCAACTAAAGCACACACTTATCACCATAATGGTGACTTAAAAATAGTGATTTTCTCATTCAGTGATTCTGCTTAACATCAGGTGTCTTCAATAATCACTCAATTAATCACTTAATTATCTCATTAACTTTTATCACTGGAGTGTTTGCTGTGTTCCTTTTAGGAGAACATTCTGGGACCAAAATAAAACTACCCGCTGAAAACATTATTAGAACTTCATGGTAATGTTCCCAGAACGTTTTTAGAACAAACATTTCTAGCTGGGAGAGGCGAAGGTTCCACGCGTGTTCCGTATTTCCATTTGGTTATACTTTATTTCGATAGTCACTTTAGACGTTCTAATAATTATAAGTAACCTTTCAACTACATGTCAACTAACTGTCATTAGAGTATTAGTATATTATAGTAGACTGTCAGTAAACTGTTAGGTTATGGTTAGGTGTTAGGGTTCGGGTTTGTAGAATAAGTTTACTTGTAGTCACCAAGTTACTTATAGTCAGTTAAATGTCTGTTGAGGGACCAACAAAATAAAGTGTTAGCAGATATTAAGCAGACAGTCTACTAATACTCTAATGAGAGTTAGTTGACATGTAGTTGAAAAGTTACTTATTGTTAGTAGAACGTCTAAAGTGGACTATCGAAATAAAGTGTTACCTTCCATTTTATCTTATGTCTTAACTCGTTTCATCTGACTCCATAAAATGAAAAAGGTTTATCAACCATATCTGGGCATCATTAAATACACATTAATGTTTGACTATTTCAGCTGTAATGAAAATAAAGTCAAAGTCTGTTAGAATAATCAAATTGAACTATTTATTATGTCTGGTAAATGTATTGTTACAATTCCATAATCAATAGAAAGATAATCAATGAACAAAGAAGAACATCTTTTACCCGACCTCGTGTGGCTACATGAGCTGAGAGTCGCGATACCCTCAACCTCACGGGATCATCTGAATACAGACAACAGCCCCGAACTGTTGCATTTTCCTTATATAGCCAGATCTTATTTGATATGTAAACCATCAGTTTACAGTGGAAAGTTACTGTTCTGTTAGTTTTCTTTAACCAGTTTTCCAGTTTTTCCAGTCTTACAGTTTACCTCAGATAAATAAGATACGTAATTATTCAAACACAACCTACACTTCTTTGTCTAATGTGACATTTATTTGTTCTGTCTAACTGAAGGGACAGAACCTTAGCTGATCATTCATGGAGTCTGCGATCGTGTGTAAATTACAGTAGGCCTATTGGTGTAGGCTATGCTAACATTAGCTATATTTCTTTTTAGTATTCATCGTTTAATTCTTACCTTTAGGAAAAGTGTTGAACATATTTTGGTCAGGCACAAATTTTAACCTTATGACAAAAGTAATAATAAGCCATAATGAAGCCAAAATGACTTTAAAGATGAGTAGGCTTAAAGGAGCAGTTCATTAAAAAAAAAAAAAAAAAAAAAAAAAAAAAACTTCTGGTGATAATTTACTCACCCCCATGTCATCCAAGATATCCATGTCATTCTTTCTTCAGTCGAAAAGAAATTAAGTTTTTTTGATGAAAACATTCCAGGATTTTTCTCCATATAATGGACTTCATTGAGAACCAAACGGTTCAAGGTCCAAATGAGAGTTTCAGTGCAGCTTCAAAGGGCTTTAAACAACACCAGACAATGAATAAGGGTCTTATCTAGCGAAACGATTCTTGGTCATTTCAAAAATAAATACAAAAGTTTAAGTGGTAAATAATAATCCTAAATGATATCAAGGGATTGTACTTCATTTAATACCTTTTCTGTTTTTTTTTAATCTCTCTTAGATGCAGTTTGGCTCAGGATAAAGGTCCACTCAGGTGCCACATTAAAAAAGGATTCATTCTGTTGCTCACATTGACATTCTTATTGTCTGCCATTGTTTACTTCTCTGACTTCACTCTCAAGACCACTGCACCTCCTCCTGGGACCTGGTATAAAAACGTGGTAAATCAGATACGTTCCTTTTACATGTCTATTGAGTTCCCTTATGGCCGTGATAATCAAGCAATATTTATAGCATCTGCGCCCACACCCAAAACTCATCAACAAGTCCAGCAAAGAGCTACACAAATTTCTAAGCAAACCACAGACATTTCAGTGCATTATCATATAGCTCATCCAAGCAACTATCATTACATTCTGGATGAACCTGATAAATGTCAGGAGAGTCCGTTCCTGGTCTTGATGGTCCCCGTGGCGCCCCATCAGGTAGAAGCTCGAAACGCCATCCGGAGCACATGGGGGAATGAGAGCACAGTCCAGGGAAAAGCAGTGATGACTCTCTTCTTGGTGGGTTTGACTGGAGGATCCGACTCTGAAAAAGCTCAACAGCAGCTGGAGGAAGAGAGCCGACAACACAGAGACTTACTGCAGAGCAACTTTGTGGACTCGTACTTCAACCTGACCATAAAGACGATGGTGATCATGGACTGGTTGGCCACTCGTTGCCCTCAAGCCAGTTTCAGTATGAAGGTCGATTCTGACATGTACTTAAACCTGGAAAACCTGGTTACTCTTCTATTGGCACCCAACACACCCCGACAGAACTACATCACTGGAATGGTAATGTGGAACCGGCCTGTCGTCAGAAACAAAAACTCAAAATGGTACGTGTCAGAGGAGTCGTACCCCGAACCAATTTACCCCACTTACCTGCTTGGAATGGGATATGTTTTCTCCAATGACCTGCCAGAAAAAATAGTTGAGGCTTCCAAGGAAATAAAGGCCTTCAACATAGAAGATGCATATGTGGGCGCTTGTGTGAAACATTTGGGTATTACACCCTCATCCCCCCCAGACCCTTCACAGTTCAGAGCCTATCTGGGACAATATAAACGAGAGGATTTTCTCAGGGTCATTACAACAATCCTGGGATCCCCGCAGCAGCTAATAGACATCTGGAAGGACGTAAAGAGAGCCACATAGAGGGATCAAATTTGAGTGTTTAATGGTTGCCTGAAATTGATTTACATAAGACGCAAGACTGTGATAATGCACAAATGTTTGGGGAAAAATGCATCATTTTTTTCAGGATATTTTTTGTTTTTATGGCAGATTATCAGAGATAAAAAAAAATGTAAAAGATTAATTGTATGTGAAGGTCATTAAGTAAATAGTTATTTATAAATGTATATTTTAACTTATTTTGTCTTAGATTATTTCTTTCTAGATTGTCTAATATGTATAATAAATATTATATATAATATTTTTAAAGTGTATGAATACTGTATGTCTCTCTCTCTCTCTCTCTCTCTCTCTGTGTGTGTGTGTGTGCGCAAGTGCATTTCTTGAAAGAGTAATAATTGAAATTAAGTTAAAGACAAGAATCTTTTATATGTTGTATATAAAATAATACTAAACTTTGTCATGGCATTAAGGTACAAAATTGTGTTTAATGTTCATACTTGTAACAGAGGATGTCATTCCTATTTTAAATTTAGATTTATTAAAGTAAATAAAATACGTTTTGTAACAATGTTGTAAAATGTTTGTGGTCTCTGTGAATGTCTCCACAAAAATTTTAAAGATTGACAACCAGTGTTAAGGTGAGCAAGCATACAATGTGCAATTTAAACAAGGTTACCAACTCACACTATACGAGTAGATCGCATATGATGTAAAGGAACCAACAACACCGGCGCGGGCACAGGAGCCGACGACACCGGCTCGGGCACAGGAGCCGACGACACCGGCTCGGGCACAGGAGCCGACGACACCGGCTCGGGCACAGGAACCGACGACACCGGCTCGGGCACAGGAACCGACGACACCGGCTCGGGCACAGGAACCGACGACACCGGCTCGGGCACAGGAACCGACGACACCGGCTCGGGCACAGGAACCGACGACACCGGCTCGGGCACAGGAACCGACGACACCGCCTCGGGCACAGGAACCGACGACACCGGCTCGGGCACAGGAACAGACGACACCGGCTCGGGCACAGGAACAGAATCAAGCTCCCGTTAAGGAGGAACACCGAGGAGGGCCTCAACATGAAGACTCCACCATGCTAGAGGATACAACGATAACAATGTCCTATAATTCAAATTCAAATTTATTTATAAAGCACTTAATAAAACAACAGAGTTGACCATAATGCTGTACAGGCAGTAAAACCATAAACAGAAGAATAAAAGAAAAATGTACATCCACATATCTAATTAGGTAATATAGGCTTCATCAATCAACAACATGTATTTATAAAGAGAATAAAAAACACTAGCACCCTTCACGCTTATCTTAATCGAACGCTTTCATAAAAAAGTAAGTTTTCAAGTGACTTTTAAACTGACCGAGTGTAGGAACGTCCCTAATATATAGAGGTAAACTGTTCCATAATTTAGGGGCTGCGACCGCAAATTCGCAATCCCCTCTAGATTTCATCTTTGACTGAGGAACGTCAAGGCGTTTCTGAGAATTTGATCGTAGTGATCTCATCAACTTTTGTTCCTGGATTAGGTCTGCAATATAAGATGGGGCTAACCCATGTAGAAATTTGAATACAAAAAGCAACATTTTGAACTGAATCCTAACAGTGACAGGCAACCAATGTAGTGCTTTTAATACCGGAGTAATATGGTCGAATTTGCGAGTGCCTGTCAACAGTCTTGCAGCCGCATTTTGTACCATCTGAAGTCTATCTAAGACTTTATTTTGGGCACCATAATATAGAGAATTGCAGTAATCTATTCTTGAAGTGGTAAATGCATGAATTATTTTTTCCAGATTTTATGGGATAAAAAAGGCTTAATTCTTGAAATCATCCTCAGTTTAAAGAAGCTCGTTTTAACGATTTCATTTACAGAACAGCGTCAATGTGGATGCCTCGCCCACTGCGAGATAGCTAGCCAGCGTCTCTTCGATCAGAGGTATTGAACCCATACTCCCGCATTCCCGTCACATCAGCATAATTCGCTTGAGTGTGATGGATGCAAGCTTAATATGGCTTTCCCCAAGATACCCCCACCTCAGTGTGAAGATCTTGGAGAAAGGGAAGACTCAAATGAGCTGGACGGTTGTGTCCCGACAGGAAAACGCTCATCAAGGTGGCTACGAGGTACCTCACGCTTCTTGTGTTTCCGCATCACGGGGCATTACTTCAAGTAACTCGTCATATGCGGACCAGGCAGGCTAAGAGCGCTCGGAAGCATCATTGATCTCATCAGCCTCGTCCTGCTCGTCGTGACTCAGAGCCAGGAGCACACTCGCTCTCCTCAGCCGAAGATGAATGAGAAATATTCATACCTTTCCCAAGTTTGTTTGGGAATTTACAATTAAAGACCCAAGGATCAGATATGATTAATTAAGACCAAGAGTTAGATGTGCAGTCAATTGACGACAAGAGTCAAAATTATAATAAATTTAAGAAATTTCTTACTGAAGATAATTTGAAGTTTCATTAAGCAGGAGTCAGCTTTATGACTTACAAAGAGTTCATAGGCTGCTCTTCTTACAGTTACAAAGATCAAAGCAATTATACTCTTCCCCAAGGTCTAAGCTACATTCTTACTTCAGGTTGAAAGATTCTGATTGGCTAAGAAATAGATACATACAGTATAGTACATTTCCACACATGGACTGATAGGCAGTAGCACATCTCCATAGTCTATGCGGCTACCACCAGGACCCTGAGTTAGGTACGAATGTCCCTCCAGGGTCACAAGACTGTGTCTAGGTGCCAGCATGACGAAGAAAACTAGTCAGTCAGTATCCAATAATGCCACTTGTTCCTTAACCTGTAACCAAGAATACTAACACACAGACACACGCACACTATAGATAGCTAAGTAAAATCTCACAAGTCTAGAGAAGACATTCAACTCATTTGATATTTATAAGAAAATATTGATTAATACCTTGATTAATCACTCATTAGTTATCAATGTAGCAGCAGTGGATTCCAGAATCCACTCCCTTCAAGTTCATCCACAAGCTCCATCTGCGAGCACCACGACTTCAGTTTCCTACTCACCTTTACCGAAGCAGGTCCTGAACCGCGAGGCACAGATGGCTGTCCCGATTTCCTAGAGAAAATATACAGACGAGAGCAATGCAAGCCCATGCATATGATGCCCATACATCGTGTGTGTCATCGGGTGTCAGAAATTACTGACTCGGATGCACACACTGCCTGAAAAACTTAGCGCCAGATGCCAGTGCTAGCCTGGCATGCCAGACCTACATCAAGATGTTAGGTCTGGAAACTCATCATTGACAGGGCTCAATCCGAGGGGCGGGACACACGATTGTCTCTCAGCACGCAATTGGATAGCACTCAGAGCAACAGAGAAGTTTCCCCTGCCTGTTTCTGAGTGTTTGGATTAAAAAACATTTTCCTGGATTTCTCCATTATTGGGCGCTTCTTTGATATAGCCACCTGTGACAATCAGCTTATGTTTCATATTCAGGACTTGATTGTTGTTTCTTTCAATACTTTACAACTCAAATGTTGACATGGTCATTTTGTAACCTTCGTCTTGTGCTTTGCATGTCATGCAAATATATTGGTAAGGTGAGGCAGCAGCTTCCAGAGTATCATGATGCCTTAGATCATCAAAACATTTAGACATTAAAAGACACCGTATTTAGAACCATCTCAAATATCAGGAACTATTTTAAGTTACAGTTGGCATCAGAAAAACAATGGAAAACACTTTTCGACAGAGAGCTGAGTGGTAACAGGATTCTTTTAGTAGCAAAATGATTCTAGATCTTCGCAAACTCACTGTTACACCTTGACAGCCTCACCAGGTGGTTTTTAAAGGATACAATAGGTCAGGAAAAAGAACAAGAGGAGGAGCAAACCGGATACAGAGACTCTGAGGAGACATGTATCGCTGTTACTCTCAAGACAAGATAAGGTACTGTATGTGCGAACACTTTTTTGATTTTGATTGACAACAGATTTGATTTTGGCTTTAAGCATCCGAATTCGCATCAGGGAAATTTAATATGATTTTGTTGAAGAGCCTTTGAGCATTTAAGCGCAAAAGAACCACGGTGTCTTTGCATTTTATCAACTGTGCAACAATGACACTAAAAAAAATCTTTACATTTAAAGGGATAGTTCACCTAAAATAGGATAGATTCACCTAAAAACAGTCGGTCATCACATTCTCATCCTTTGTCTGAATTATTCCTTTAAGGTTTAAATTCAAATTTATGGAGGCGCTAAAGGGACATGGTGATGGAAAAATTATGAGATGAGAGGAAAAAATATATTTCTATGCTTTTGTATTCGCTCACAAAACTTTTGCATTCCCCTGAGAAACTATGCATTCACTCGCAAAACATTTATGTTCCCTTTCAAAACCTTTGTGTTCCTCTAAAAAACCTTTACGTTTCCTCACAAAACGTTTGTATTCTGCTGAGAACCTTCGCATTGAAAAGCATTGACAAATAATTTTTCCTCCAATTTGTTGGGACGAATTGAACAAATCGGAAATTCAGGCTAGAAATCAAACACATTTTTAAACAAAAACTGTATTTTCTTTTCAGCCTCGTTCAGATGTTCTGTAAGAGTTGGCTACTGGTTTGTCTCCTCATCCTACTTAATGTTGTATTGCTGTATTTCACGGCTTCTACCCTCGAAAGAAGAAAGGGGCAGAAGGTGGCGAAACAAATAGGGAACTACCATGTTGCTCAAAATTACAGATTTATCCTCGACCAGCCAGAGAAGTGTGAACAACAGAAGCCCTTTGTGGTGGTTATCGTTCCCGTGGCTCCGGAGAACTTCGAGGCCCGTAAAGCCATCAGGATAACGTGGGGAAGCGAGAAGCTCGTCCAGGACAGAGTGGTGCTGGTTCTGTTTCTTCTGGGCTCGCGAAGTGGTAACGAAACACTGCAGGAGCAACTCCAGAATGAGAGCCAGCAGTACCAAGACCTTCTGCAGAGCAACTTTCAGGATTCCTACAGGAATCTGACCATTAAAACCATGGTGATGATGGAATGGCTCAGCAAAAAGTGTCAACAGGCGTTCTATGCGGCGAAAGTGGACGCCGACGTGCTCCTCAACATGAACAACCTGATACAAATGCTTGTGAGTCTGAAAAAACTACAACATAACTACATTACCGGCCTAGTATTGTCTGGCAACAGTGTCTTGAGAGATCCATCCAACAAGTTTTATGTTCCTCACGATGTATATCCTAAATCCAGATATCCTCCATATCCTCTGGGAATGTGTTATATCTTTTCTATGGACTTGCCGGAGAAGATCCTACAAGTCTCGAGGCATATTAGACCTATTTTTATTGAGGACGCATATCTGGGCATGTGCTTGAAGCATTTGGGAATTACTCCTAAGAAACCACCAAATATCAGGAAGTTTGTGGTCAAACCACCGCCTCAATTCAATCGCTGTTACTATTCTGGACTGATAGCAATACTTACAGACAGCCCGACACAGCTGATTTCCTATTGGATGGATATCCACTCATCCAGCAAACCTTGCTGAGATGCAAAATTTCTGTAGCTAAAGGTTCAGTTTAATTCATTTTACAAAAGTAACCTGTTTGTTTTACCTGATAGCTGTGTGTATCTCTCTCTCTCTCTCTCTCTCTCTCTCTCTCTCTCTCTCTCTCTCTCTCTCTCTCTCTCTCTCTCTCTCTCTCTCTCTCTCTAATAAAGTGGCTGGTGAGAGTTTACACTGATACAACATTTTTTCTCCACTAAAATCCAAGATTTCACACCAACAACGATAACCACAACATTACCAATAACCATCAGATTTTAAACATCATTCTAAGAGGTCAAAGTCCAAATGAATCTGCAGTGGTCAGGTGGTACAAGTCGGAGTTCTCCGAGAATTCAGAGTGTGCGAGTTGAAACTACAGGTTCTACCGAGGACGTGGATGTTTTTCACAAGTTGGAATCTCTTATTTCAGTAATTATGGCATGGTGTGAACATAGGCTACATAGCAATCCTGAAGATTGATTATCTTGTTCAAGTATGTTTGATAAGGGTTGGAGCTATAATATGCAGGAAAGTGAACCCTGAGAACCCCTGCCAAAGAGTTTTATTTCTATCTCTTTCAAAGACATTTTGACACTGCTGATGTCATTTCCTTTCTCTTTTCTAAAATAAATTTTCATAAATTACAAGTCTTTATGTGTCTTTAGCTAGAATATAGCAAAGGGACCAGGAAGTTTGGGTGTTCATATGTCTCCCATGAACTAGAAACATGAAATCAAGTTAAGAGAAATGGAAAAAAGTTCCTTCAACTGCACAAGAAGACACTAGTACTAAACTCTACCGAAGGCACGGGATTTTGGGAAGACAGCCTGTTAAATGATGCTAAGAATAGCTACATTTAAGTGGCACAATGCAAAGACTCAGAAATCAACACGGGTGCCATTTTACTGTAAGACTCTACTAGTAAGGTTTCAACACAAAACCTTCAAAGTAAGAGCTGTACACACTGTGCCACTTTCAGCTCGACCAGCTGCCAAAGAGACAGACCAAAATGAGAAAGCAGGGCTGCCGATTTCTCACGCTGAAGTGTCAAGCCTGAAAGATGAGTTTATCTATAGGTCTATCTGTTGAGGCACCCGCGATCAACTAGTTTTACCACAGATTAGTTCAAATATCCTCTTATCTAGAGCGAGTGTGCATGCGAGACAGATGTTGAGCTCCTAACCACGCACGACGGCAGAGAGGTAAGCGAGAGACAACCCGCCCCGCCTCCTGCCAGAGAAGTCTGTCAACCCAAGCTAAATCAAAAATTGGCAGCTCTGAGAAAGACGGACAATTTCTGAAGAACTTAATTCTGTTACGAAGATGAACGAAAGAGTTACAGGGTTGGAACAACAGTAGTAGTTAGAGTAATTACTGACAGAATTTAAATTTTTGCCTGAACGAACACTTCTAATCACCAGTAACTGGCCCTGCACTGGGTCTAAATAGGTTTTAGTATAGGTCCATATAATAAAATGATGTACTTAATGGCGAACAAAATAAAATACCTCACAATAAAAATATCACAGAGATTATATACAGTTAAAAATTTTAAAGTGTAATATTGTTTTAAGTTAATCTTTGAATTGACAAGTTATAACAGATTGAAAAGAACTTTCAATTCTATGATAACTTTACCATTATCATGTGGTGTAAAATACACCACAAACAAACAAAAATTATCATAAAAGTACAGTAAAATGAATTTGTTTTCTTTTACCCTCATCCTTCCGTCCTGTTGTCCACTCCAGTCTAGTAGGTGGCAGTAATGCAACTTTAAGTTGGTTTGCCAACCGCCAATAAAAAATAAATAAACAAAGAAGAAGGTGGGTGGGAGGTGACGGTACTGGGTGCGGCCAGGGAAGGTGTGAGGACACACCTGTTGTTTTGTTCACAAAACAAATGTGATGGGAAGTTCAATTCTTTTCTGCGAACCGGTTCTTTCACCAGCCTTTTATACGTCCTCACGTAATGACTTCAATCATGCCGGCGGATACAATTATTCAAATGAAGGCATTTGTAATAATAACTTCAGGTCAATAATAATGATCATCATAATCATCTTGGATAAGTTACATACGTGAACACTGCAGGCTATGTCCAAACGCGGATGTCTTTAAATATAAGTGTATAAACTGGTCTTCATGAATTAGATTTTATTTGTTATTAAATAAACTCTAATTTGACCGAATTCGGACCCTCATTTAAGTAGCTAGCCTACTTGTTTCACCCGTGCGCTCATGTATCAGCACAGCATGCAGTTCAAGTGAAAGTTCGGTTCAGTTCAAAGTTATGTGCCATCACGCTTGCTCAGTATCTCCTGCTCATCGGTTCTCCGTACCGAACGTGTCCGAAAGAAACAGTTCTCGGTTCTGTTCTGGTGATGCGAGAACCGGCTGTACCTGTGCGTTCGGTGGTACGCGCATGCTCAGTATCAGCGCTCGTGCTCATCTCAGCTCAACGTCTCAGTTCAGTGATCCCTTGGAGTTACTAGAGTATGTAGCGGCGGTACTGGTTTATTTCGAGTCTGAGGGACTGTCAGGTATGTCTGAAAAAAACTGAGAAACTTTAGTAACTTGTGGATCAGCGCTGACTCGAGGCGCGAACGATTCAGTCCGATTTACTATTCTGCTTAGAACGAGTCACTAAAAAGAACCGGTTCAAAAGAACGATTCGTTCACGAACTGGACTTAAAGGAACCGACTGGGACACTTAACCATAGACACATTAGACATAAACACTTGAGCGGTTCGTCAGGTGTTGCTGCAGGAAACCGCGGAATGTAAGCAAATTCCTAATTTCGTGAGTTTAATTTACATTACAGTTTGTTTGTTTTTTTTGCCGTAGACTTAGTGCGCATTAGTAAGGAAGAAACTGTATGGTATCGCGAGAAATGTAGCCTATTGGAGAATGGCGATGTCTTTCTTTCCTTTCTTTTATTTTTTGCGGGAATTGTAGGTCAGAATTTTAATCAAAATACGAAAAAAAAATGCTAATCTCTTATCTTCTCGTAAGACTTGCCTAGCCTACTGATACAATAGTAAACCATTTCAGAAACCAGGAAATCAAGAGGGTCGACTCGGGGCCAGCAATTAGGGAATAAGTCTAAAAAGTGAAATGAAGATAGTTGATAAAGTATCGACTTTTTGTGTGCTGTATTTGTTCTTCTAAATACATTGTTTATTTGTAAAACATCAAAACAATTAATATTTTAAATAACTAGTGTTCCACTTTGACAATAAAGGTTAGTTTACTGCATGAAATGCTTGGGAAATTGTGTTTTGAGGCTGATATGAACAAGTTTTTTATTTAAAAATGAGTAAATTGTATGTTGTGTATATATACAGACCTTAGGGCATTCAGAATAAAAGCAAGGGTGTGAGGGATAGACTTGCCGTGTTTTCAATGGCACCCGCTGTAAAAAGCTCCTATACACTCTCAGAAAAAAAGGTACAAAAGCTGTACAACCCACTGAAGAGATCTATCCCCCACAGCCTCGCTTTCATTTCTGTTAAAAATGGCTCTGCTGTGAATAAGGTCAATATGTTGTCAAACTAATGAGCGGTATTGGATTTCAGCCAACATCTCAAATGTAGGAGTCATTTTACTGTTAAACACCTGACAGTTTCTTGTCCATCTTCAGATAAAGATAAAAGTTTGTCATCGTGACAAGGGTGTGACCCCTTGCAGACCTCATGACTGTGTGAAAAGGTCCGTTAGTTTCTTAAAATATTCAGATAACATCATGTACTTTCACAAAACGTAATGGCATTCAAAAAAAAAAAAAAAAATGTAATGTGTACTCGCATAGGTGCTTCATGCAAAAAATGTATTTCTTTTTACTTGATGGTTACGCCATTTCCAAGTCATTAAATTTAACTTTTCTTTCATTAAATGTAAAAGTTGTCATTGACATGTCTCTTTTTGTACTCTTTCAGTTTCAAAGATGTCCTCAAAGAAGAGGTCTCTTTGTGTCCTGGTTTCAGGAATATCTATACTGGCGTCTTTAGTTTATTTAGCTTATATCCCTTTGACAAAAACGTGGTTGCAAAGGATAGAGGAACCAACCCAGGAACCTTTTCAGGAAGAAGTGGGGCCTTACCATGTTGCTTACCCCAGAAACTACGAATTCATCATTGACCAGCCAGATATATGTGAACAACAAAAACCCTACGTGGTCACAATTGTCCCCGTGCGTCCTGGAGACTTTGATGCACGCAACGGCATCAGGAAGACGTGGGGTGCACAAAAGGTTTTTGGGGACAAAGTGGTGCTGGTTCTGTTTATTATAGGCTTACACAGTGGAGACGGTGGAGAGGTGTTGCAGGAGCAACTCCGGAATGAGAGCCAACAGTACAAAGACCTTCTGCAGAGCAACTTCCAGGATTCCTACAGGAATCTGACCATTAAAACTATGATGATGATGGAATGGCTCAGCAAAAAGTGTCAACAGGCATCCTACGCAGTGAAAGTGGACGCAGACGTGCTCCTCAACATGAACAACCTGATAAAAATGCTTGAGAGTCTGAACGCAGTTCAACAAAACTATATGACTGGGTTAGTGTGGCATGACAGCCCTGTTTTACGAGATCCATTCAACAGGTTTTTTCTCCCCTACGATGTGTACTCCAGGGACATATATCCTCCATATCCTCTGGGCATGATTTACATCATTTCTTTGGACCTCCCACAAAAGATTCTTCAGAAATCTAAGGAAATTAAGCCCATATATATCGAGGATGCATATCTTGGATTGTGTATGGAGAGTTTAGGTATCGTCCCCACCAACCCGCCAAACATGGAACTGTTTGTGGTGAATCTAGTGCAGTACAATCGCTGTTACTATTCTGGACTAATAGCAATACTTACAGAAAACACAAATCAGATGACTTCCTATTGGACGGATATTAATTCATCCAGCCAACCATGCTGAGGTGGAAATATCCCAACTAATAGAACATAACTCACATTATGTTTCCGACAGTAAGGAAAAAATGTTACATTGGTATACTGGTTCACATGTGTGTTAGTGTTTTATTTGTTTCTTTTAAGTGAAACCATATGCATCATGAACATACCTTCAGGACCAATTAAACAAGTGTTACATGTAAAAACGTGTTTCTTTTGTATTATCTAATACTTGTTTATTTACTCTGATTACTATTTTGTTTGAGAATTGATATAAAAAAATTCAGATATTACTTTAAATACATCCAATACTTGAATTTTTTTTGTTGTTCTCCTTATTCTCAGTGGTAATGTAATTAGGTTTGTATTGCTGTGATAAAATCATATTTACATAAAGTAAAAAAAAAAATGCACAGTTGCGATAATATTTTCTGAAATCTGAAACAGCTTGTCGAAAGGAGAACAAATGTAGGGAGTACAAATGTTCTGGCAGTAAGCATAATCAGATAAGAGATGACAAGGGGAAGTTATTTTATATCTAGAATATGAGGGCACATTACTAAAAAAATTAATTGCACAGATAAATAATTTATTATAAACTGCAATATTCCATAAACAAATTATACATTTGTGTCACGGTGACTTCCAATATGAAGTGTTAACTAGAATGATATTATAGTGTTTTTCTGAATAGCCTGCTAATTTAAATATCCTTCAAGTCATTGGTCATTTAAAGGGATAGTTCACCCAAAAATGAAAACTCTGCAAGTATTTACTCACCCTCATATTGTTCCAACCCCGTAAGACCTTCGTTCATCTTCGGAACATGAATTAGGATATTTTTGGTGAAATCTGAGAGCTGGATCACTCCTCCATACTAGTCCATAGGCTTCTTGAGGGATTGAAACTTGCCGGCCTCGAAAAGTTATTAAAGACATCGTTAAAATAATCCAAGTGACTACAGTGGCTCAATCTTAACTTTATCAAACGACAAGAATACTTTTTGTGCGCAAAAATAAACATAAATAACGTCTTTATTTCAACTATTCACTTCATTCTTTTTGAGCGTCTAGTCAGTTAAACTAGTGTAATTGTGTAGAGCTCACTATTGGCCGACGTTGGTCATGTGTGTGATGCGTGTGACGTACAACAACATTTACGCAATTACACTAGTTTATTTATGTTTGTTTTCGAGCACAAAAAGTGTTCCCGTCTTTTGATAAAGTTAAGATTGAGCCACTGTAGTCACTTGGACTATTTTAATGATACAGTATCTTTAATAACTTTTTGAGTCTGTTAAATTTCAATCCCTCAAGAAGCCTATGGACTTGTATGGAGGAGTGATCCAGCTCTCAGATTTCATCAAAAATATCTTAATTTGTGTTCCGAAGATGAACAATGATTATTTTTGAGTGAACTATCCCTTTAAACCTACATGGGCACTCCCACAGCATTTTATATTACCATACTTTCATCCACCTAGAACTGTAGCTGACTCTGAAGAACAACTTTACAGTTCACACATACTAAACATTTTCACAAAATAATTAAACTTTTTAAAATATGATCTTCAAGATGTTTTAAACTAGCTAAATTACTTTATGGTTAACCGATGAAGAAAGTAAATAATTGCAAACATGAATGAAACTATCTGGACTATTTGATTCTGGTTTGTATGCTAGTTTATAGTTAATTCAATTATTAAAGAGAATCAGTCAAAGATTAATGAGAATTAATGAGAACAAGAGTTTGGCCTGACAGTGGAAAAGCAAAGATTGAACATCAAGAATTTCCTCTTTGTGAGAGCATGCAGCTACAAAGCGAACATGACTAGTCTTGCATGAAAAACCTGTTCCAGGCCCAAATACAATAACCATCATGACTACTCTGCCTCTTACTCTCAACATGAGGACAGGAGAGAGTAAATTGCCTTAGGCTTCATTTTTGACGAAATATGTTGTTGTAAATTTAAAAGTAATGCAAATTACTTTACGAGTTACTTGGGAAATAGTAATCTGATTACGTAACTCAGGTTACTTACTAATAACATGTTATTCTTACAATGACAGTCAAATATTCATGTCATTGATTCTCCCTACTTATATTTAATTTTCCTTTCTAAAAAATGCCTACTGCTTCAGAAGGTCTTCCAGGTTTGTGCAATCACACACAGACCATGCGTCATGTTAGTCATGTGACTAACAGAAACCTGAGAACAACACAGCATTTCATCACAGAAACCATTTTGCATTGGTAACACTTTAGTTTAGGGTCCAATTCTCACTATTAGCTAGTTGCTTATTATTATGCATTGTCTGTTTATTAGTTAAAACACATTGGGTCTCATTCATGAAACATTCGTAAATATACGAGTAAATATGAGCGTGATTCGCGCGTAAAGAGACCTAGTCCCAGACGTGAGAAGAAAATGGTTCGACATTAAGCTTGACAGCAAAAAACGAATTAGTTCAATTCGGAAAAATCGTATTCAAACTGGAGAAGGACCGCCATCGATAACCAGATCTGCACTCTCATAATAAAAGTAAAAAAGAAAAACCGTATGAAATTACTGTATAAAATATTTTTTTCAAAATGCTGTTTAAATATGTACCTGATTAAGGTGAATTAAAATGCAGCCTTAATGAGCAAAACGTTCGGATGTTAAACGCACTATTTACGCGTGGCTGGGAGCAGGTCTAGATTTCTTGCGTACCAACTAACATTTGGAAAATACGAACATTTTAATGAATCCGAAAATTTACGCCAGAACCACTTTACACACACACATTCGTTCTGCTCCTGTTTCATGAATGAGACCCATAAATTCTTTATTCTGCATGACTAATCTTCTACATCATTAATATTCTACAAGGTATTGGAGTAAGGTATTGATTAATAATGTAGAATCTACATTATTAATCCTAGCCAATACCTAAACTTAACAATACCATACTATTATTAATAAGCAGTATTTAACAGTTAATTGAGGCAAAGTGTCATGTTGTCGGGAGGCCTGTGAGAAGTATAGGAAGACTCAGTACAGTGGAATGGTTTTTCAAAATGCCAGTGGTGGTTTATTTTATAAGCCTCAGCTCACAAGGTGCAGCCCACATGAAGTGCTAAAACAAAAAGAAAAAATGTTGCGAGCAGCAAAAACTGGCACTAAACAATGCTTAGTGGCACATCCACCAAATCATCAGCATGTCTCACCTCAAACATGTTCAATCAGTTGGCACAGCATACACAGGATGCAACCTCCTCAAACCAGATCTAACAATGGTTAAAATACACAAGTTTCCCACCAGTGGGACGAACCAATTGTCACGGGGTGGAACCTTTCCCCGTAACCCTCGCTAAATTTCACAACAAATTGTCACACAAATACAACTAATATTCATTAACTAATTTCTACATGCAATAATCATAATACAAACATGCATATACAATGACAAACTCAAACATTTACCACCTCACAGCACTCATGTCTCCCTCCATCTTGGAACATGGTACGTTCTGGCTATGCGCACTACCAGAACCCACCTCCAAAACACTGGCTCAGACAGGTAAGATCTAACCTGTGCTATAATATGCAAATGTATAAAATAAAGAAATAGTTTTAAACAAACAATGACTCTGTTATCATTTAAAACATTTACACATTAAACACTTAATGTTGGAATTGTCCATCCATCAAAATAGCACCAGGCTGGCACACTAGTGATGATGTCATTGACCTCGTTCGTCATCACACAAAGGTTTCTTACGACTTCCCTTTTTGTCTAGGGGTAAAATAGGGAACCATCCAGTCCCAGATTCACCAAATAACCAAACAAGTTCACTTTGTATTGGCAGGTCTGCCTTTTATTTCTCAGGACACGCACTAATCAGTGCACGGACAACACTCACGGGTTAATGAGCACGGGTGGTAGCCCTAGAGACACGTTTCGGCAGTAGATGAGGCATCATTTTAGATTGCTTGACGGTCTCAGCGTACTTCTCAGATAACGACTCCACGCAACACTGGAAAGGCCCGTAGGGCTTACCGGCGCATCCAGGAACTGCTTTTTGTCAGTATCGCGCATCCCTGATAGTGCCGGTCACAGATGGCAATGCAGGGCCACGAGACTGCCCATATTGCGGGCGATTCCCTGAGCGACCTTTTTAGACACCACCAAATCGAGATTTGCCCCCATTGCCCCCATTCCTGAGCAACTCAGGTTCCAGGCTTCCCTCATCCAGGGACCCTAGGAGTCGCGTCTGGAAAACCTGCAGAATTGCCATCGTCTGGAAGGCAGATGCCGCATGTCCAGCTCTAGTGAAGGCTTTCTCAGAGATATGGGCAGTAGTGCGACATGGCTTAGAAGGCGGTTGGGCAGTCTTCCAGCCGGGAGAAGACGCAGTGGCATCCTCGATGGGAGGCAATCGAGTGTAGCCCAATTTCTCTGCCCCTTCCACTGTAGTCAGCAGCTGGGTACCTTGTGCAAGGGCTCGGGCTAAGTAAAGGGAGTGCCATGATCTGGAGAGCTCCTCGTGGACATCCGAGAAAAAGGGGGCTGGTCTCCGCAGGGCTTCAGGTTGACGGCCCGCACTGAGGAAGTAACTATACATCCATCTCTTCGACGGCAGCTCCTAGGGTGCTCCACTCCAGCTCCTTATCCACTGCCTCTGTGAGAATGGCCATAAGCTCCGCATCCAAAGAGGTGGGGGCGCCTTTAGACAGAGACCATGCTCCTGTGTCGGAAGCACTGGTGGACATGGCGTCGTCATCGTCGTATCCAAACAAGATAATTTCCAGCGATTCTTTAGGAGGGCGGTTACAGGCCTCAGAGTAAGTCACGGGCTCTGCCAGGTGAGGATGGCGTGGGCATTGGGCAGACAGAATCCACGGATGGAGATCTCTACCGTCTCCTGATCCATGGCTTGATGGGAGCAGACTGGGGAGAGGCAGGAGACACAAGGCCGTTGTTACGTGTAACTGCCAGCCTTGCACACAGGATCTTGATGGGAAGCTCCTCACAGGCGGGACATCCTGATCCCCCGAGTGCCACCTCCGCATGGTCCCGACCCGTGCACAGCACACAAAGTTTGTGTGTATCCGGGAATTCGATGGGTCCACCACATATGCGACAAAGAGACATAATATAATCCACTGGAACGCACGAGAGGAAATAAAAACTCCTTAATATACTCTGCTCTGAATACGTACATAAAGAATGAAACAGACTCAAGTGAAGAAAAAAGATTCTGAGGTTTTTTGCCACCCGCTGTCACCTATATTGAGGAGTGTTAGCCAATCAGGTGATGGCGGGACCGCCATTGGCTATTGCAGGCAAAAGAGTTTTCAATCGGACTTCATAATTTGAGCAAAATGGATTTCCCCATAGGCTACGTAATTTCGAGAGACCGACTCGAAAAGGGAACTGAGGTGGAGAATCCGGTTTAGTTGGTCTGGCGCACCTATTCAACACTTGGCTTTTGGTTCAAGTTCAAGTTCAAAGTTGTGGTCCATGCATTCCAGAAATTCTGCCCTGGCAGAGTGTCCTGTAGTCTTTGTGTAATGCTTCCATGTTTGTCTTGTGCTTTGTCTTGCGCTTTAGGGCGATTAGAGAGCAGACTGCTCTGTATGCTTTCGAATTAATCTTGCTGCACTTTGATGCCACGCACCGATTGGTTTGCACAGAGCCGCTTCAAGTCGAACACAATACTTGTAGTTCTCGTTTGCCTCACCTGTTCCTTTTGTCCTTTCCCCCAAATTCATTGTGCTCTACACCCTTTACCCACTTGTCTTTGTCAGTTCGTTTTGTGCCACTTGTAGTCAGTTTTTAAACTGTGTCTTAAAGCTTAAAAATGCTGTATTGACACTTTCCAAGGTAAGAAGGGCCCAAGGTACCTTTGAATGATGTTCGCTTCACTTCCTGTGTCCTCCATCTGATAGATTTTTGAAGGACAGTAGATGTATCCTTCACTGCCTTTGATATCCCACAATCCTGTGCTTTCCATTCCGTGACAGTTGAGCTAAAAAATAAAGATTGGATCAGAAAGTTGGTGGTCAAGTTTGTGTGTAAAATGTACGATTTTGACCAACATTTTCCACTTCTGATGTCTTTTCTAGTGAGAAATATCACTATTGTAGTTATGAATTATTAGCTTAGTTTTAGAAAAGGTTTAGAAGGTTTTTTAGTTTAGAAAAGGAACAATGTACACTAATCAACATTCACAACAAATGTAAGTGCACCCGAGTTAGCCATGCACAGGCTAGTTTTCATCGGCAGTTTCCTTGCCAGATGTTACTAGGCTTCCTAAGATAATTATTTAATAACAATGCAATACAGTTCAATATACAGTAAACAAAAAGTAAAAATAATAGACTGTGTTAAAATCACAAATAATCAAATAAACATGAGATATAAAATATAATTAGATGTTAATAAATGATACAATTATTGTTGGTGAATTGGACCCGCATCAATGTTGACAGTGTTGATTTTCAATAAGCCATTTCTTAACATTAATCTTAAATGAGTAATAAGATGTAGACTCTCTAATTAGTTGGGGTATTGAGTTCCATTCATGCGAAGCAGTAAATGAAAAGACAGACTGACTGAATGCAGTTTTTTTTAAGTGGGATTATACAGTCTCTCCTAGCTGCAGCTCTTGTAACTCTGTTTGTATTTGATTTAAAATTGATAAGGCCAAATAAAGGAGGAGGAGCTAAGCAGTGCATGATCTTATAAACTAAGCAGACATTTCTGTATTTTATTAGGTTATCCCAACTAAGCAATTTATACTTCTGTAGGATATGGCAATGGTGATGACGAAATGGCTTTTTTTATCTAGAATTTTAAGTGATTGTTTGTATAATGACTTTAATGGTTTTAAGGCTGTAGAGTGTGCGTTGGACCAACTTATCAAACAGTAGTTTATGTGGGAGAGAATTAATGAGTGGAAGTATACCTTAGCTGCCTCAGTAGGAGGGTCCTGATATACCTGAAATTAACCAAACTGAACTTTACTTTATTACTTTATTAGCCTTGGCCCTTGTGTATTTCCCTTTTATTTTAGTTTTGTATGTAGTTATTTGCTTTTAGTTTTAATGTATCTTTTGTTCTTATCTTGTCTTTTTGTTACTTGATTCTTTATCTTTTATCAGCTCTTTATTATTTTGTGCGTTCTCTTGCTGCCTCTCCCCACTGTGTTGTCCTTGTTGTGATCTTGAGTATTGCAGGTAATATAGACACATAGGCTTTTGTTTACTATAGAGAATGACATATTTTCCGCATCACTCCCTTATTAACCGGTAAGAACTTACTTATCTCCAGGGAAACCATCCGAGAATACTGGAAAGACCGTATTTTCTGTTGATGCACCCATCTTATGCCATAACTAAAAGCCTGGCAAGTCATCACTCATCACTTATCTACAAGATGTACAAGTCTTGTCTTGTTGTGTTCTTCCTTGTGTTCACCTGGGATTTGTCCTGAGACTTCCCACTGGATTTCTTTACCTGGCAGCTATGGTATCTGTGATCAAATATCAGTTCTCTGGTTCATTATGTTCTTGTCTGGGCTTATCTGCAACTGTTTGTATTATGTTGCCAAGTCCACTCCAATTCTTAATTTCTTTTCCACTAGGGACTGGTTCCAGCTGGTTATCCTTCACTTCAGTTGTTGGGTTTTGTTTCACGCCCCACCTACTTGTGTCCTGTCTGCTGTATTGTTAATAAAATCTACTCACATTTGGTTCATCTCTCACTCAGATCCTGATAGTTTAATATGTTGCATGGTGGTGTTTTTGCGATTGGACAACTGAGGAAAAGTTTAGGTTCTCAAGTATTGCTTACTTTTCTGTCCCTGCAGGGTTTCTCAAACTGGGTCCTGGAGGGCCGCTGTCCTGCAGAGTTTAGCTCCAACCCTGATCAAACACACTTACCTGTGACTTTCTTGTGATCCTGAAGACCTTGATTAGCTTGCTCAGGTGTGTTTGATCAGGGTTGGAGCTAAACTCTGCAGGACAGCGCCCCTCCAGGACCGAGTTTGAGAAACCCTTCTCTAGCCTATTCCAGCTCCACTCTTAGCCCTTATGTTAATCCACCCCTGTGTATGTTACTGTCTGCAGGAAAGACGAGAATTACCTTATTGTGAAAGTCTTGAAAGACCTGTCATGACGACACTGCATTGCCAGTATGTGGACACACCACAACCAATGCTTGTTTATATTTCATTTCAAACCCACTGGTCACACCTGTGGTGTTTACTGCAGTGGCGTAGGTTTGATTTTGAAATTGGTGGGGACAGGGACATCAATGTATAAATATATTTAATTATACGTTTATAAGTAAGTTTTGATCGAAATTATTGCTAGGGATATATCAGTGTCACTGGATATTGGTTGTGACATCGCTATTCTATGCCCCTTGTTCACTGGAGCTCTGAATCATTTAAACATTACCCACTATTATTTTAGATGTCATATTAGCTACTGCACTACATAGTTTAATATTCAGTAAAGCTGCTCTCGCTCGAGTGATCGTTGCTTGAACTCGACAGATCCCACAGCTTCTGCAAAAACGGGTAAAAACATTTTTTTTTCTGTGTATCAGATGTCCTCTGCTGCCCTCTGCAGGTCATTCGTGACAGAGGAAAATATATTTGTGTATTAAGGGGACCACACACATACGTGTGTGTGTGTGTGTGTGTGTGTGTGTGTTTGTATGCATGTATGTATGTGTATTTTGATAGGTGAACCACACACATTTTGTCTTGTATGTCACAATGTGTACCTTATTTCTCTCCGATATGAAACTTGGAATAACACTAGAGAGTCTTGTTTCTCCGTTTTTTTTTTTTTCATGATTTATGATTACATTTTTAAAAACAAAACAGAAACATAAAACGGTTGTTTGTATCTAACATAGTTTTGTCATATATCATCATAGTATTTTTCTTCTATCATAGTATTCTTTTCCTTCTGAACTGTCCAACAAAACAAGCAATAACTAACAAGCTGAACCACCAAAATATGATTTCTAATAACTGGAACAACCGCAGGAACCCATTTTTTACTCTAAGAAGATGGTGATCAGTTTGAAGCAGGCCTGAGTCTGGAGAACTGTCTGTAGCATGACGTTGTGTTTCACATTCTGACGCAAATAGCGACATCAGTTTTTCTTTGTCCCTTCTGTCTCTTGGTATTTCAAGAGGATGTCAATGTTAGCATGACGCATAAGAAAGTCAGATCTCCCAGCGGTCCAGAATCTGCACATTTTCCTCAAAGCATGGCAAAATTCAGCCACTAGAAGGAGACAAAAGACATTTCTAGAGTCAATTGAATGGGAACGATATATTTAGAAAAGCATACCATAATTCACTAACTGTTGCTGCAGTATAAATTATACACTGCTGCCTTACATTTTTAAGTACAACCTACTTGGATGTTTAAGTCATTTCAACTTAAATTACATTAAACTGACTTAAAAAAAAATAATCGTGTATAACTTGTATGAAATTTCTTATTTTGATGACTTAACAGTGTGTTATGACAACAAATGTAAAAACATTTGTTGTCATAACATATTGATCTGATCATATATATATATATATATATATATATATGAAGAGTTCAGATGCAAAAGCCTCTAAATGCCATTTGAAATTTTCTTCTTTAATGATGATTTTTATCAAACTTGTATATTTAAGTTCAGTAATTTCACTTAAATGGCAATGATAATTACCTATTAATTGTCATTTAAGTGAAATTACTGAACTTAAATATACAAGTTTGATAAAAATCATCATTAAAGAAGAAAATTTTAAATGGCATTTAGAGGCTTTTGCATCTGAACTCTTCATATATTTAAATTAAACGATAACTATAACAATAAGTATATTAGCGTCCACACCAGCGCTGCAGATTTGTCGTCTTTCTCTTTAAATGCTTGAGTGGATTCTGATTGGCTGTCAATGTTTCTATCGTTCATTCTCTGTGCGTTATCGTTATAATAGTGGCTATTCTTTTATAATTCGAATGATTTGAAGAACTACACCTTTATTGCTATAGTTATCATCCTTGGTGTGAACGGGCCTTTGGAAGAAGGTTCTACCTTAAAGAGTTCTGCCAGGTGCTTCATGTATAGAACATTTTAAGGTCCCAACCATGGGATCATTTCATGGATTTAGTTTCAATTATTTAATTAAATTTTATTTATTTTTTTTATTTCAATGAAATTTAATGAACTAAACAACTCATAAACATGAATTAAAGCTAGAAAAAAAAATGAAACATTTCCCCTTTTATGGAACCTTTTTTGGCATAAAGGGTTCTTAAAAACTGTGTCAAGAACCCTTAGAACCTTCCTTTCTAAGAGTGTAGAGATGTGAATTAGACTTACAGTCATAAAGGAATAAAACAATAGTCTTTTTTGGCTCATCATTTGGTGAAAATGGAAATTCACCAAGATGATAACAGAGCAAAAATGTTTTTCTTCATATTCATTCTTCATGATTCTAGATCATTCTAGAAGTTTCACTGCGTATCGCATGACTAACAAAGACACCAACCTCCATCATGTTCAGCTCTACTGTGCCATTCTTGTCCTTGTCCAGCTTTTTAAATATTTCTGCAAATGAGAATTAAGATATAAATGCTCAATTTACATATCAGTCTTTATTTTAAAGTGCGCTCTTTATCAGACACTCACTGAACATGCATTCGAGACGCATAATACAGCCCACAAAGTTGTCAAAGTCGATGGTGAGATTGTCGCTGTAGCGCGCCACCAGGATCTGGTGTAGAGGGTTGCTCAGAGAGAAGCCTGTACAAAAAAAAACACACCATTAAATGATAACAGAATTGCCATGTTTGGCTTAACTGTACCTTTAAGATAAAAGATCTGACCTGCTTTCTCTACAGCTTCTCTCATCTCAGAAGAGCTCATTGTGCCTGACTTGTCCACGTCAATTTTACAGTAAATGTCCTACAGAAGACAAACACAGGCGGATCACAATCTTACAACATTTTATAACTATCTGAATTGTACAACAAATTAAAATGATAGAAGCAGAAAAAAACATACCAGGTACATTTCAATTTTAGTCCAGAGAATTTTAAATTCAATCAAGCCCAGTTTTCCACTGCCGTCTTTCTGAGACATCGATAAAGGAAAGAATAGACTAGAAATACATCAACCAAACGTTCTCCGCGTAATTTCTAATTATTTTAGCAAAACTGATCCATCAAATCTTGAGCATTTTTTCAAAAGGATACATCCAGTAAGTTGACCATGTTGCGGCAAGTGTCCAAACTAAATCCATCAGTTTTAATGTCTTTGCCTTAAAAAAAAAAGTTTAAAATTTGGTCAATAATATATATATATATATATATATATATATATAATTCTTATTCTACAATAAATAAATGAATATATATATATATATATATATATATATATATATATGATTCTTATTCTACAAAAAATAAATGAATATATATATATTTACATTTATTTACTGTAGAATAAAAATAATATATATATATATGATTCTTATTCTACAATAAATAAATGAATATATATATATATATATATATATATATATATATATATATATTATTCTTATTCTACAGTAAATAAATGAATAATATATATATATATATATATATATATGAAGAGTTCAGATGCAAAAGCCTCTAAATGCCATTTGAAATTTTCTTCTTTAATGATAATTTTTATCAAACTTGTATATTTAAGTTCAGTGATTTCACTTAAATTGCAATGATAATTATCTATTAATTGTTATTTAAGTGAAATTACTGAACTTAAATATACAAGTTTGATAAAAATCATCATTAAAGAAGAAAATTTCAAATGGCATTTAGAGGCTTTTGCATCTGAACTCTTCATATATATATATATACTGTATATATTAATTAATTAATTAATATAATTATATATTTATTTATTTATATATTGCATATTGTTTATTCTATTTTTAAAATAAATCAGAATTTATATTAATTAATTGTATTTCTTTATAAATACATGATTTACTATATATATATTTTAAAAGCTTACGTTTAGTTATCACTTTGTTCAGGATATTTTGCAGCTCAAATGGTGAGATTTCAGCGTCCTTGAGGAAGGGAAAATGATTGGATATGGTTTAGAAAAATGTATTTGAACCAAAATATCATAATTAAATCATTATCCTGTAATACTCACGGCCCCAGCAAGCTGTCCAAACAGATTCTTGAACCGGCTGTCGATATCACCCTCGTTCACATCAATCTGCACGATAAAAATTGAATGAATGCATGTTTGTGTCACAATACAGTTTTATATTCATTCTGAACATGGTGCAAAAACGTACGTCTGGAACCTTGCACTCCACAGGGTCATCAAGCTCTCTAAAAAACAAACACATTTTAGTGAGGAGACTTTCGTTAGGACTCGTCATCTTATCGTGGGCCACAATTCATGAGCCAAGAACTCACTGGAACTCTGCCTGTTTTTCGGAGAAGACGCGCACGCAGAAGTCTCCATCTTTGTTGGGCTCAAAGGTGGACGGGACGATGAGATACTCGCCGGGGGGCAGACAGAAACGAGAGCACACCTCCCGCAAGTTGATGAAGGTCTCCGAACGGGCCGCCGAGGCATGTCGCACGAAGAAGTTACGGTCAAGGTGGACGTTCCTCTTCCCGACAAACTACAACAGAGTGTTTCAAGAAATTTGATTTTTGTTCATTTTTGGGGCGTACTGTCTCTTTAAGAGGAACTGATGAAGTACTGTATTTCTGGTCATTTTGTGCTTCAGTGTGTGCAGTCCATACCTCTTGAGGAACCTGTGGACAATGATAAGAGAGATATAGTTATTTATGATACATTTATGTTTGTGAATCAGTTTTGGGCCAGAATAAGCTGGATCCGACTTTAAGAAGAAAGTCAGAAGTCTGGCTGTGTGTGTAGACAGCGTTATGCTGGTCACCTCGTAGATGGCGAAGCCGATGGTGTGCATGTCCTCTCCGACCTTTCTCATTTTGCGACGGTTCTTCTGGATCAGACCAACAACGAAGCTGCATCCCGCCTCATTATCAGCCGGGTCGTCATCCTCCTCATCCAGCTTGATCAAGAACTGAGGGTTCATAAAGAACGAGTCTGCCAGGAACAAAACGAGGTCAAAAAAATGGCTTCTGTTGGAATGAATGCTACTTTAACATATTAAACAAAAATATGCTTTTTGTTTAGTATTATTGTTTTACATTTTATCGTTGTTTTTGTTTAATATTCTTTTGTATTTACTTTTTTGCTGTTTTTATTGAGCATCCTTTTGTTTTGTTGATTTTGTTTTTGTATTCTTTTTTATTTACTTTTTTGCTGTCGTTTTTGTTGAATATTCTGTTTTGTTTCTTTTTTGCAGTTGTTTTAGATGAAAATCTGTTGATGTTTTTTTTTGTTTCATAATCATGTAAAATAATCTTTTCTTTTCGTTTTTGGGTGTTGTTTGAGTAGAATAACCTTTTGTTGTTGTTTTTTGCTGTTGTTTTTGTTTCATATACTTTTGTTTTCCTATTTTTTTAGTTTTACTATACTTTTTTGTTGTTGTTTTTGTTTAGTATCTTTTTGTTGTTTTTACTGGTTTGGTTTGTTATTCTTGTTTTCTTTTTATTTGTTTTTGTTTCTTTTTTTAGTCTTACAGTGGTTTTCTGGTTGACTACTTTTTGTTTAGTATCTTTTTGTTTTTTGCTGTTGTTTTTGTCTGTTATTTTTGTTTTCATATTATTTGTTTTTTGTTTAGTTCTTAGTTTTTTGCTGTTTTAGTTGAGTAACCATTTGTTTTGTTTTCTGCTGTTTTGTCAAGTATCATTTTGTTTTGGTTTGTTATTTTTTGTTTTCATATTAGTTTTTTGTTTTTGGTTTGTTACTCTTGTTTTCTTTTTATTTGTTTTTGTTTCTTTTTTTTAGTTTTACTGTTGTTTTGTTGCTGTTTTTGTTCAGTAACTTTTTGTTTTGCTGTTGTTTGTGTTATTTTTTGTTTTCATAGTTTAGTTTTATTTAGTTTTTTTGCTGTTTTAGTTGAGTATACATTTGTTTTGTTTTCTGCTGTTTTTTAAAGTATTGTTTTGTTTTGTTTTGTTATTTTTTGTTTTAATATTTTTTTCTTTTTTGTTTAGTTTTTTCTTTTTTAGTTGAGTATACATTTGTTTTGTTTTCTGCTGTTTTTGTTAAGTATCATTTTGTTTTGGTTAGTTATTTTATGTTTTCATATTATTTGTTTTTTGTTTAGTTTTTTTGCTGTTTTAGTTGAGTAAACATTTGTTTTGTTTTCTGCTGTTTTTGTTAAGTATCATTTTGTTTTGGTTTGTTATTTTTTGTTTTCATATTATTTGTTTTTTGTTTAGTTTTTATTTAGTTTTTTTGCTGTTTTATTTGAGTATACTTTTGTTTTGTTTTTTGCTCTTCTTGTTAAGTATCTTTTTGTTTTTGGTTTGTTATTCTTGTTTTCTTTTTATTTGTTTTTGTTTCTTTTTTTAGTTTTACTTTTTTTTGCTGTTTTTGTTTAGTATCTTTTTGTTTTTTGCTGTTGTTTTTGTTTGTTATTTTTTGTTTTCATAGTTTAGTTTTGTTTTATTTTTTTGCTGTTTTAGTTGAGTATACATTTGTTTTGTTTTCTGCTGTTTTTGTTAAGTATCTTTTGTTTTGGTTTGTTAATTTTTGTTTTCATATTTTTTATTTTTTGTTTAGTTTTAGTTGAGTTTACTTTTTGTTTTAGTTGAGTTTACTTTAGTTTTGTTTTTTGCTCGTTTTGTTAAGTATCATTTTGTTGTTTTTGCTGGTTTGGTTTGTTATTCTTGTTTCTTTTTAGTTGTTTTTGTTTAGACTTTTTAAAAGTTGTTGTGCTGTTGTGTTTTTTAATATTATTTTGTTTCCTTTTGGTTGTTTTTTGCAGTTGTTTTTTTATATTCTTTTGTTTTCTTTTTTGTTGATTTTGTTTAGTATTATTTTGTTTTGCTTTTTGTTGTTTTTAGTATTCTTTTTTTGTATTCTTGTAAAAAGATTTGATATAATATAATGTCATATATGAGGCAGTAGATTGAGTTGATTACTTGGGAAGTTCCTGCAGCCTCCAGCAGTAGATCCACTCCTCCAGTTGCCATCAAACTTAGACAGCGCCCACTTATTGACGCTGTCATCTGACAGAGCATCAGGGGTCAGATTACAGATCTCCACCCGCGAGTAAAGACGCAGGAAATCAGAGTATGACATCCTGAGTATGACAATGAAGAGATATATTTTGTCAATGATCTAAGACAACACAACAGGAAAAAATGCTAAATAAAATTTTAGAAAAATGAATAAATAAAACATTTGCAGGTTACCAGAACTCTCCATCTTCTGCTTTGCAGTTCAGTTTCTCACGGTCACTGTCACTGACCTGACGCCATTCTGTCGACCTAAAGACCAATCACATGACCGTTAATGAATTTGCAGGTCATTATATAGATAAATGATTAAATCCAGCTTGCTATTTTCAATGCATCTCTTTAATACTTTTGTGGAAACCATGATACGTTTTTTTCAGAATTTTTTCATGAATAGAAAGAGCAAAAGTGCAGCATTTATTTTAATATTACTATCAATTGCTTATTAAATTTATTCATTTAAATGAGTCAAGTGTACATAGGTCAAGTATTTTATAGTCTGTTGATTTAGCTGTGAAACGAGGAAGAGCGTGACAAGGAGGATGCGAGTCACTGAACCTGTTCTTCAACACCCGAGGGCACAAGGGCTTAATCAGAGTTCCCATAGCAACTCAGGTCTCTCCCATAGTAAACATGTCCGACAGGAGTCATGGCTGGGTGCGGTTCCTTTCCGCAACACCACCTGCATTACCTCTTCTCCTCAAACGGATTCCAGAATTATAGCTTTATGTGCTAATCAATCTCCAGACATGTCACATTGTGAGTTTTGAAGCCAACACCGGTTTACACACCCATCACTCCAGGATCCGGTCCACTCCACCTGACCCCAGGGGTTCCTGATCCGGACTAGTTTGGTTAAATTGCCACTGTACTCCACCTGCGCAGACACCGAGCAAAATTTAATCTATGCAAACCAATGACACAGAAATGCTTAAAAATCCTCCTCAGCACCGACCTCTTTGGCACCAGTAAGTGAGTAGGCGTGTCCTTTGACCAGTTTCTGACTTGTAATCGCCTCTGAATCTGCACTGTCTGTAATCTAAAGCAAGCGGAAACAAAACAGAACCAGTTACTCATGACTCAGTGAATTATGTTCACTGACAGTTAACAGATCTGGTTACAAACTGCTCATAATTGCAAGGTTATATACATAAAAATGAAGTTCCTCACGTCAATTGAGCAGCCCAGCAGTGAGCCCCAGCTCAAAGCCTTCTGGATGGTTTTGAAGAGATTTGGACTTGCTTTCGCCAATTCGTGGACCTCAGCGATGCCTCCGGTGAAATCCTCAAATCCCTCTGTGGTGGTGCCACCAGAGAGAGCTTCATAGCTGCCGTTCAGCCTGAGGACAAGGAAGACGTTTTTCCGCTTTTACTTCGGAGGAAGTCCACTCCATTTAGTCATGCTATAATACTCTTAAAAACGTAGTTTTCAAAATAACTTTTCAGTGCTAAGTTCTCAAAACAAACATTTTTCTTAGGCCGTGTTTGCACCTGGTGTTAAGGTGTCTTGTGTGACTGTTCGAAACACATTCGATCACATGAGCGTTTACACTACGAAAGCAATCCAGTCTAATGCGTTTTCACTTCATATGTTTACCACCTGTATTTAGCGCTGTCTACTTGTGATCGCATCTAAATAGCAGGTGTAAACAATACTTTTAATCTAAATCCTCACTTTGCATAGGCCTTTTCCAACAGAGCGCTCCAAAACTCATTTCCCTCGGCGGAGTGGACGAACAGCAACTCTCCATTTCTTGCAGGCAGTCGGTCATCGATGACCACGTCCACCCATTCACCGTACTGCCAGAACTGAAGAGACATGGACATATTGACAAACGTCTTCATGGAAAGTGAGAAATGTGTAGCTTAATAACGTTTACTTTAAGATCGGAGACAATTTCTCATAAATAACAACAATATTAATACTGAGTGTGGAAATAAATCAATTAATAAGAACATAAATAATGTATATTATGTTAATAGTACGCCATGTTCAGGATATCAGTTAGCAGACACTTAAAGGGATAGTTCACTTTGAAATTAATTTTTGATATGTTTTAGCTTACCTCAAGGGCATCCAAGATGTAGGTGTCTTTGTTTACGCAGTATTTTCTTAGTTTTGATATTTTTAGGTCAAACCGTTCTTGTCTGTCAGTCATATAATGGAGGTCTATGGTCACCACCTCAAAGAGCATGCACAGAAAAGTCCAAATTAAACATGATTTAATGACTCGTAAATGCAAAAGCGGTTTGTGTGAGAAAACGAACCGTTTTTATATTGTTTTTACCTCTTGTAACCACATCTGATCTGAGGGTGCAGGAACTTTATGGTTGTGATTACAAGAGGTAAAAACAATATAAAAACAGTTCGTTTTCTCACACAAACCGCTCGTGTTTTCGTGTTTTAGGCCATCAATGTGTACTTACATTTACGAGTCATTAAATCATGTTTAATTTGGACTTGTCTGTGCATGCTCTTTTGAGGTGGTGACCATAGACCTCCATTATATGAGACAAGACAAGAACGGTTTGACCTAAAAATATCAAAATTGAAACTACTGCGGAAACAAAGACACCTACATCTCGGATGCCCTTGAGGTAAGATAAAACACACCAAAAATTAATTTCAAAGTCAACTATCCCTTTAAACATTCAAATAATCCGTATTCGTACTGCCCATAAAAAAGTAAAATCAGTCGTAATATTTTTGGTTTGTTGGCTTTTATGTGACGAAAGGCTGTTAACCTGGAAATGAAATATTCCAGCGTAGTCTCCGTCAAAACTCTGACCGGACGGGACGACGCGGCCGAAGACGTCCTGGTTCAGGGTAAGAGAAGCGATGGCAGCTAGAAGCCAACAGTCACCTGGAAAACCAGATATCATGTTGTGTTCAAAACTACAAACTCACTATTGTAAGCAAAACTTCAACAGTGACATGCTGCGATATCATTGGTGAAGCGTAAATTGTCATCGACCTAAGCTTTTTGATGTTTTCCAACGCTTCGGGACAACACCCATCCTATTGTTCCTGCTCCTACAAACTTTGCAAACTCATTTGCATTCTTTATAGCCAGTATGTGGCATATACTCAGCAAATGCAGCATGATTGTGATTCTTATCAGAGGTTCAGATAGAGTGGAAAACTTTAGGGACATGTTTGTGTGTTAGAAACCCGTGGCGTTTGAAAAGTGTTTGGGTTATATGGAATAAAGCAGGTCTGACAGGGTGTGTTTATGTGTTTGTTTGTGATTTAGAGTTGCAACCAAGACAAAAAGGTTTTCGCCTTTTCCATATTCTACAATAGAAACTCTTTCCATTCTCATTTTCTCATTATTTTCATCTCAGAATAGTTCTTTAAGATATGTAATTAATATAATTCCCAGATATTAGAAAATAGACAATGTAATAATTAAAAAAAAATGGATCATATTGAAATAGTGTGTTACAAATCTGATGACCAACTCACTCAACCAGCAACAAAATGCCTTTGTGTCTTCTGATGGCCGTTCTATATGGGGCAGTTCTATACATGATCTTTTGTTATCAACATTTCTAAAGTTTCAGCAGATCAACAATAGGCTAATATTACAGGTACATGGACTCACCCAAAGCACCCTGGCAGATATCCGTTCTGGTCGCTCCTCCACTAATGAACGTTGGGTTGGACGTCAGTTGCTGGATGACAAAACATGCATTCCAAAAATATGAATCACAGGTTTACCTTAACAAGAGATGAGTTAATTGCTGAATCAACAAGATCACATGGCTCATCCATATAATAGGAAACAAAATAGGGCCAAGAAGGTAATGGGGTTGAAAACGTTGCTTACGTAACATGCAAGTCAGAAGGAGCTAGATATTTTGTTGTTATATGTAAAAATGTACAATTTAAAGGAGTAGTTCACTTTTCAAAAAACTTTAGCTGATAATTTACTCACCCCCATGTCATCCAAGATGTCCATGTCTTTCTTTCTTCAGTCGAAAAGAAATTAAGGTTTTTGATGAAAACATTCCAGGATTTTTCTCCATATAATGGACTTCATTGGGAACCAAACGGTTCAAGGTCTAAATGAGAGTTTCAGTGGAAATTGCAAACTGTTCAAAGGGCTTTAAACGATTCCAGACGATGAATAAGGGTCTTATCAAGAGAAACGAATCGCTCATTTAATAAATAAATAAATAACAAAGTTTAAGTTTTATAAGCTCAAATGCTCGCCGTGCACGTTTGTGACTCTCCTGTTCGAACTCGTTCATCAAAATGAACGAATCTTTTTCTGAGTCAAACGAATTGACTCGGAAAAAGATTCGTTCATTTTAATGAAAGACAGTGTTGTAGTACTCGAGACTCGGACTCGTCTCGGACTCGGTCTCGAGACCATATTTTAATGGTCTTGGTCTTGTCATGGACTCGTGTGCATTTGGACTCGGAATTGACTCGTACTCGAACATTTTTTTTTTTAGGACTCGGACTTATTCCCCAGTCCACTCGAGTTCAATTCAAAATATTTTTCATGATTATTAATGTATGTTAATAAAGTATTTCTTTAAATTGATTGACACGCCCAGTGATTGGTGATTTTCTAGTGCGCAACTGCGCATGACAAATTGTAATAAAATTACTTTTAACACCACCTACTATGTGTCCTTTTTACCCTAAACTGATCATATTTTTTAAACTCTAAGTAAATTCAGTTAAAAAAAAAGGGGATTTCTCTAAGTAAATAAAAGTAAATTAAAAGTAAATAAAAGACTCGAGTGAGGTGGTCTCGACTACAACAGGAGAGTCACGAACGTGCATCACAGTACAGAGCGCTTTGTTATTTATTTTTTACAGGAGCGATCGTTTCGCTTGATAAGACCCTTATTCATCGTCTAGAATCGTTTAAAGCCCTTTGAACAGTTTGCAGTTTGTACTGAAACTGTCTTTTGGACCTTTAATCGTTTGGTTCCCATTGAAGTCCATTATATGGAGAAAAATCCTGGAATGTTTTCATCAAAAACCTTCATTTCTTTTCGACTGAATAAAGAAAGAAGCGGACATCTTGGATGACATGGGGGTGAATAAATTATCAGCAAAAGTTTTTTTAAAAGTGAACTACTCCTTTGAGGAATTTGATCTTTCCGCCATTGGAAGCATTCAAATGAAATTTAAGTTTCTTTTTTTTTTACAACAGGAGGGAAATGGGGTTGCAAAATTAGCTTAAATAAAAAAAAATTACATTATTTTGCCCTCTTAGCAAATGTTGTTTCTTCTTAGGTGTTATGCTTTTAATGAATGTTACATGTTCTATAAGGGGGCAAGTCATAACAGGGTTGAAAATGTTGGATATAGCCAAAAATGAGCTTTTTCATTCGTGAATTGTTTGCATTTTAATTATTACAAATTTGTTACGATTTTCTTTACATAACACTGAATTTCAGTTTAACAGTTTGTCAAAATTATTATATTTTTGTATGATTTTAAATGATGAATACTAGGCTATCAAGACCTCTGATGGACAAGCTACTTTAATATAATAGCAGATAGTATATAATCCTAATAAATGTAATAGTTTTTACAACAAAAATGTGGGAGTTTTCTTAAGTAGCCCATATGGACACAAAAGTGTATTTGTGGAAAGTGACAAGTACATCTTGTGTTCTTCAATAGCCACAGCGCTCAAGAAATCTCAAAGGTTTTCTAATGATGTATACCCTACAGTATTTGGCAATAATAAGTAATAAGTGACATGTGAAGCCCAAGGATGGTTACCCATTCTTAAAGTTAGTTCATACACACAACCAGAGCAGTGGACAGCCATTTTGGTGAGGCACCCAGTGAGCGATTGGGGGTTAGGTGCCTTTCTCAAGTCATTTCCGACCAGTATTGAGAATCAAACCCGCAGTCCGACTCTCTAACCATTAGGCCACGATATTTATTCTAAAAATGTTTTGAATGCAGCTATACCTGGGGAAAAAAAGCTGGACACCATTCTTGAACACAACAATAACCATCCATTTTCCCAGCTGTAAGGATCATATTTACTCTAATTGACTCTAAAAGGTCTTCTGGCAACCAGTATTGCATAACACGGCTCACAAAGCAGCGCATGCAGCATTTAAAATGATAATGCACTTTGGGGAGCATATGTTCATATCATTTCCTGGTCTGTCTGGCACTGAAGCCGTTTGGTTCAGACTAACAATCAATGGCTTTACATGATCAATCGTGAAGACTTTTTGTTCTTTCATGGCTGCCTGAATGGTTTTTGAAAACACATTCATCTTTCAGTTCAATGATCTGACTGAATTACTATTGACAAGTGAAACTTGTTCTTCCCGTTCATAGTGCCTCAAAAAACAAATGATGGTGAACACACCCAGATATACAGGGAGCTCCGGAGTAATTACAGAACACTGAACGAGATGAGCAAGGTGATGCCCACTTTTAGCCTAAAGCAAAACTGTAAGAGTTGGTTACTCTTGGAGAAGAATGTTCAGTAGCCTATGTGTTACAATAGCCTACTTCAAACATGCAAATATGTCCATGATATATTGAAACATGGCTACAAAAGGTTCATTAAAAAAAAAATAATAATAAATAGCTATAAAAGGTCTGTATTACACCTACCTTTGGTCTCATCCACTCAACCCCGCGCACTTTAGAGGAGTTTGGTCCCAGTTCCTTGAATCCGAGCGCAGATATATTGGCTTCAAACATGTCATCCTGAAATAAGCGTCCGCTCTCCAGACACACGCGCTTGAGCGCCTCGTAGTCCTGGTTGAGGAACTTGAACGCTTGGGCGTTGGTACCGAAGCCCGCTGCCCGAGCCCTGTTTTGCTGGAGCTTCGCCGCAATTCCTGACATCTCTGCTCGTCGTCCGTCACAACAAACAGTGAAAACACACGCACACCTCTGCTCATACAACGCGTTAAATGGAGAGGGAGTGGCCAAGGGCGTTACTTTCGTCAATAGGGAACAATTGAAGTGTGCAAAAAACTTGGACTACTATTGAAAAAAAAAAACAACTTAATAGCACTTTTACAGTCCCGTTCCCCATGTGCATAGCAGACAGTGACTGTAATAACTACACTAACCCTGAGCCCTAAACCTGGACCTAAACATAGGCTAATGTATTGGCTACATCCTCCCCTTTTCATTGATTAACACATAGGCTATGTCAAACATGGCTACCAAAGCAAGGAAAATGCAAAACAAATGTTGTATCAATAACAGAATTAAAGATAGGCTATCCCACATAAAATACTAGCCCATATATGATTTTTTAATCCCGTTATGATAAAAAAAAAAAAAAAAAAAAAAACATTTCACTTGGGATTTTTGTGGATTGGAATAAAAGACAATTTTGCGTGTTTTATATTTATTCAAGATTTTAGAAGATATTTAGAAACCTGTATTTGTAGAAAACTTGGGTGCATGGTTTTTTTTTTTTTGTTTTTTTTTCAGAAATTACAAAACGAAAATCTACATTATGCAATTATGTCTATTTTATTAGGGAAAATTGCAAAAGAAGAAGTGGGCTTTGCAAACCAAAAATCTTTTATAAATTAGGCTATATTTAAAAATTAATACATAAATATTTCGCAACACACTTTAAAAAAAGTGCACATTCCACACACTTTTAATCAGTTTCAGACTCTAAAAGACTTCACATGACACATCTTTACAAAATATTCAAATATCGTTCAAAAAAAATATGCTACTGTGTTGGCAGTGGTTAAAGTGGGATTTGCCATGTGGGGGAACCCTCAAATTTTGTGTAGGTGCATAGCAATACTTTTTGGGTGTTGCTGTGGCACCAAGAAGCCTGTCATTTATTTACTTGATATTTTAATGGTTTTATTTTGGCCCATCTACACTGATTTAATGACAATACTATGTTAAAATTGTTTAGGGGCCTCCCCCGAGAAAATTTTGATTTCTCTGACCAAATTATGTGCAATTTAAGACTTTTGAAGGCCAAAAAAGGGATAGCTAATAAATAGCTTTAAAACCATGTCAGTGGGCATTCGATTATTTTGTCAATAGCCTGCTCTCTTCTCATCTACATCTTTTTTTCCTCAGTCTCCTTATCCTGCCCTATTTCTTCCCCTCCTGAACTTTGACTGATAGTCTTTCATTTTCGTCTGTGTCAGTGAAGTAAATAGGCTTAACTGATAATTATATGTTTTATGAATCATTATCTTAAACAAGTTAATTTACTCAAGGCAGTATTGCCACCTTCTACAAGCTTTGGAATTTAAAAAAAATAATTTTAAATAATAGGCTACAAATTATAGGCTGTTTAACGCAGTTGGTGGAATTGGCAGATGTTCCCTCATCATGCGCTGTGCAAACGCGTCAAAGCATTCTCAGGTATAAATATGTAGCATTAAATGCACGCAGGTGATTTTTGAATAGGCTATTAATGAACGAATATTATTGTCGATAGGCCAATACAATGGTTTGTCTAAACTAATCCTGCGATCTCTTTGTAAGACCCTAGAACAGGGAAAACAAATGTCAGGCGAAATATTTCGGACCTAAAACTAACTTTACCGCGCTCAACCACCGCGAGAGCAGTTCAAGCATTTGTAAAGCCTTGTGTATAGCCTGCCCTGCTCCGACGAGTCTCCACGAGCGCGAGGCTCCGCGCGCACCTCTCCAAACGGACGAGGCGTTTATTTAGGCTATAGTTTATACTTTATGTGTTTATACTTTATACAGTTTATACTTTAGGCTATTATGGATGCATGTTAAAGCCTATTTTGATATATCGTCCTTTTATTGAGAAACTGCTTCAAAAGAATCAGAGCGTGGGTACTGTTTCTGGGGCCTCATTTAATAACAAGGTCAAGGTCAAAGTTATTGTCAATTTCTTCACATATAGGTACCAGACATAAAAAAGAAATCGAAATTGCGTTTCTCAGTAATCATCCCACGGTGAAATATAGGATAAACGCACAAAGACCAGGCGTGGACCAACGCCACTTCCATCGTATAAACAACGCATTCCTTTACAAAAACACTTGACGAGAAAATGCGGGCGCTTATGCACGTTTTGCTTCTGCAAACTCTGAGCCATGCGTTTTGGAGACGGAGCAGTTTGGCGTTTTAGACAGAAAATCTAAAGAAAATTATACATAAACAGAAAGATAAATATAATTTCACTCACCAAACCAATCACTTGAAGCAAATATCCATCCCTTCTTAAATGTCCGCGCCAGCGAGCGCATTGGGCTGTTTGTGAAACTCAGAAACTGACGCATAGATGTTAATCTAATAAATAGAATGTCCAGTAGGACTGTCTGACTAATAATAGAAACCAAAACTATTCCAAAAAAAATAAATTTGAAGGCAAATCAATGTGCGGTGCATTGTAAACAATGTGGGAAACGTGTGAGCATCATGGGATTATTTCCCAGCATTCTCATGTCGAGTGCCAGAGTTAATTGCGTATTTTTGTTCGTAAAGTCCCAGATGAAATGAAGCATGAACGCTAATGAATGCAGGCTTTGTGTTTATTATCTGTTCACACTGCAACAGGCACCGCTACTAAAAGGAGATTTATAGCATGAAAAATTCCCATTTTATTTTACGACATTCCAAATGAATTTTGTCCTCTGAATTCTTTGGATTGTGCACAAAATAACGTTCAGTGTTTTGCTGTGGTTTCTGGGATGTGACCTGGATCTTTAAGGACCTCAAACTGGTTGAATTAATTTAGGGGGCCACTGTGGGGTGACGAGGTTGTGCTGTTTCCATGGAACCAAATCCACTTGAGTCACATGGCTTCATACTAATGAATATTCTGACCACCCCTTTCCAGACCATACAGTTTGTTGGTCACTTTTGGCTTATGCTATCAGCAACATGAGCCTTACGGGGATCACTCTGTCTCTTAACGGGACGGCCTCATTGGAACCAGACGAGACAGAAACACAAGCCACTCTCTATGGTGAGTAAACTGTGTTTTAAAAATGTGCTTTATCGTTCTGTCTCAAAATATGTGCTAAATGTTCCTTAAAAGTTTATAATGCTTAATTTTTTATCCATGAAAACAATTGTCTCTTTTTCACAGAAGTCAAAGTGTTCAACATCATGCTTTCTGCAATAGCTCTGTGCATCCTGACAGTGACAGGAATCATCACCTGTATCTCATATCAAAGACACAGACGGTGAGTAAACAGACATGAAAAAAAGGCCCAAAATTATTTGCACACTTAAGCCACACTTAAGAAATAATGTTTGTAATGTCCTTGCATTAAGTCAAATCTCAGAATTTGGCAAGGAAAATATTTATTGGAAAATATATTTTTCATATAAAAATTGAAAATAGTATTTTTGTGAATTATTCATAACAATAAACATAAAAGTCTTTAGCTTTTTTATTTTTATTTTTTTACTTAAGCAGTAATCTGCCACTTCTTTAAAAATAAAACCCAAAACAGACGTTAAGTCTGCACAAAAGCATTCAAGAATTATAAGGTCTTTATAAGGAATTTTTCAGGTCTATGTAACAAATGGATAAATAAATACTATATACTTACAACTGCATACATATAATTTAGTACCATAAAATCCCCTAAAAATTCAAAATATTTAATAAAAAAACATTATCAAACCACCATTTACCATTATGGCAACTTCATTGAAATTAAAAATATATTTATTTGTAAGGGTTAAAACTAAAAGTTTGTCTTTTTTCCATCACACACGCTTTCCAAAGCATCAAACTATTGCTTTTCTTCTCACTTTTAAAAAGATTTTTTTAAGTCAACACAAAGTTGTACTGTATATTAAATATAATTTATTTAAACGCTTTTAAGTTTGTTTGCAGAAGTTGCGTTTCCCAGAGAAACATTTTTCATCCAAGCTCATTTCCATCACAAAGGTTTTGTGATTGACACTATTTCTCAATGGATGCGAATTAATTGAAATATTAACACTGAATAAAACACTGAAATATAGTTTTTTTTTGCGAGCAAATCCATAGTCTCTAAAGCAATTTTCAACGTTTCCGAAGCAAGAGAGCTCAAAAGCATTTCAATTTAGTTTCTCCTCCCATCTTACTTTCCCCTTCATCATCAATGGTTCCTTAACTGCTGTGTTATTTGGTCAATATCTTCTTATTGGATCTTAAATTGTGTCTTAAAGCTGTGATGGTACATTGTGTCACAGGCAGCATAAGAGGGCACGCATCTATGAGAGTGCCGTGGCCTGCGAGGTTCCCGAAGAGCCAGTGGGTGTTACTTGTGTGAAGAAAACCCATAGTTTCCGTAACCCGCTCACCCTTTTCAGACGACAGGAGGGGTCGAAGGACAACTCACGGATCCACTACATCTACACCAACCCTCTGCCGGTGGGACACGAGGAGGACAGGATCCCCCCTCACACTCCACTCACGCTGCAGGACTACGCCAGCGACCCCAAGAGCGGCATCACCCTAGTCCCGCCCATTTTTTACATGCAGCTGTAGATAGTCCTGGAGAGTTAGTATTTACCGTCATGTCATCCAACACCCATATCATGTACTTTCTAACGTGGAACACAAAAAGAGACGTTTAGCAGAATGTTCACGCTGCTCTTTTTCTTACAATGAAAGTGAATGACTAAAAAAAAAAAATCATGACTTCTACGCTATATTCTAGCTTAATTACATCTGTTCCTCACACAAAATTAGAGTATGGATTTAGATATGGTTAATATACGAGTATATATATATATTCAAAATATAATTTTGAATTTCAGAGAAAGTCATACAGGTTTGTAAAAACATTAGCTTAAGTAAATCATTTTTTGGATCAATTATTCCTCTGGATGAGCAAAAGTAAAAGGCAGTGTCTTTTTCCACACAGTTTTTAATTAGCGAATAAAACAGCTGAAAGTGTGCTTTACAAAAGATGCAGAAAGTGAAATATATCCACCAGAAAAGCAGAGAGAAGCGAAGACTGAAAGAGAACAACAGGGAAAAAAAAAAAAAAAAAAAAATCACTGGGGACCGTTACAACTGTCAACAACATTTTTAGACAATCGGCCGTGTTTCCCGGATCAGCCAATCCAGAGCCTCCTTCCAGCCTTGCCGCTCCAGCTCTGCTCCAATCGTCTCCAGGCATTTCCTGTGGTAGTCGTTCACCCAATCACGCTGCAGGATGACAAGTATGTATTACTACAGCAATCCACGCTTTAACAAAAACATTGTCATAGAGCATGGGTCACCAAACTAAGGCCCGTGGGCCGAATCAGGCCCGCCACACCCCTTTGACTGGCCCCCCAACCCCTCTGCCCCCCACTACTTGAACCGGCAATCCCCAAAAGTCGTCATGGCCTATTTTTTTAAATTGCTTTTTGGAAAATAATAACATGTCTGCATTTGGTATTTTGTTGTTTATTGAGCATGCTCACCTGGATAGGCATAAGAGCTGACTAGTTCTATTACTCATGTTGTTGTTATAATTTCAATGTTTATTTATTTATTTTATAGGCCTATTTATTTGACCTTTATTAAGTGCTGTACACAATTATTATAAATAGTAACAGGCCTACCTATAATTTATAATTTTTCATTCATCCTTACCAGTGCCACTCACCTCAACTAGGCAGATGTTTCTTACTTTGACAGGTTTGATGTTATTTGTATTCGAAAATAAATAAATGGAAAATCTGTGGTATTTCAAATTAAAACAAAGTGTAAAGACTCGATTACTACTTTTGCAAACAACTATTAATGATAAACAAATATGGCTGTGCCAGGCTAGTAATCTCTACTATGAGGCCTGCTGGTGGTCAGTTTGGTCTTGGTCACACAATTCTATTTTATATAGCCCGGCCCCCCATCACAGTCAGGAACAATAATGTGGCCCCCAGAGAAAAAAGTTTGGTGACCCCTGTCATAGAGGTTTAAAGGATTCATTCATACAAATGTTGTGAATTATCATTATTATTATTATTGTCCTGAATGTATACTTTGGTTTTCGCAAGTTTTCATGCGAAATAGCGCCGACACTGGACAAGAATGAAACTTTCTGGTGCGCTCTAATGTGTCGGGCACGTTATCAGTCGCTTTGGGCTTAAGGCATCTCTAATCATTTTCTTTTCAGTTGTTGTTTTTTGACTTTATTTTTGAAATAAACACTTATAAAAATGTTTGCAAGACTTTTTCATAGTTATCGTACAAACTAACAAACTAACCACTAATAATACATAAATAAATAAAAAAACTTTACATAAAGTAGTCGGCCATTATTCTCGGTCGGTTCTATTATTTATCCGTCTCAGAGATCCGAATCGGACGACAGACGTTGCCTAGCAACACGCCCCCTTTCCTCGGATTTCACGTCACGGACGTCGGACAACCGTGAGGACACCGAGCAAGAATTCAGTTTCGGAATTCAAGATGGCTGCGCCCTGTGACTTGTAAGAATGAATTGTTTTCATTGTTTTTGAACCGCTTTGGTATTTTAAATGACGATTATAATCACTCGTATTACTGCGTCCCCTGTAGGTATGGGAATCGGTTGTTGTGAGTGCAATTAGTAACGTTGCTAGCGCTGCTAACAGAAGATTAACATGAAAAACATTAAATAAAGTGAATATTATTAGTTCAATGGCTGCGTTTTGATGAAGGTGTAGTCATAATATTTTTTATTTTTTTAATGTAAGTGCCTGGTACTCGGCCAGTCCCAGATAGCAAACTGACATTGAATCAACGTGGAAATATGACATCGAAACAACGTTGATCTGACATCGTTTTGCTCATCGAATTAACGTTGAACCAACGTCAGACGCGTCATTCTTTCAAAACTAACGGAAAATCAACTTGAAATCAACGCGTTGTTTCAACGTTATGAAAGCAAACCAATTTTCGATTTTCATTTAGCTTTGAAGAATGTCGCGTCTGACGTTCGTTCAACGTTAATTCGATGAGCAAAATCAACGTTGTTTCAATGTCATGAGAGACGTCGTTTCCACGTTGATTCAATGTCAGTTTGCTATCTGGGGTGCTACCATTATAACAGCTTTCCGGGTGGCGTCCATTTTTTTTCTCCGACTCGGACACGCAAAACATAATAGAACGCTTGAAGTGTGGACGTGACGTCAAATCCGAGGTCCGAGTCAGTTCGTTGGCTATAATAGAACGCACCAGTAGTATCGGTCTGCTCTCACCTCTTTCTGTGTGAGCATGTCTGTGTTGATCATCTTCAGCTGGATGGGGACCAGGGTGAGGGGTTCAAAGGTCAGACTGCCTCTGTTCCTGTAGTTATACTGAAAAAAAATGATGTTGAAAGCTGAAATAAAAGCTCTCAAACGCAAATTAAATAGTTTTTGGTTTAGTTTGTCATGTTTTGGACTCAATACTGACACCTATTGGTGTGAAGGACTGAAAAAAGGAAGATAAAAGCAGAGCCCGTCTAACGGAGAGCCTTGGCACTTCCTATTAGCCCCGTTGTGTATCATCTTGGTTGCAGTTCTATTAGAATTCCACTGGAGGTGATCACGAGCGAGAGCAGAATGAATGGGAGTCTATGGGGCTAAACGGCTAAAAGTGTCTCTGTCACCTGCTTGTCGTTAAATCAAAATAGATTTTATTGTTGATTCCGCAAGTTCAATATAGATTATAGGCCAAAAGTCGAATGAACGAGTACTCATGTCCTTTCGATGTCTTACAGGTTAGGCCGTTGTTGGCCGGAACACGCTAGCATTCTGCTATTGTGTGACGTCATGACATTTTTGAACGGATTTTTAGAACAGATAAGTGAACTGAGTGTATTATCTTAGCCCTCCCCTTTGAATGCAACTTTCAAATTACTTGACATAAAATTACATTCTGAGAAAAGTGGATTTCTGGGGATGAAACCCCATTGACTCCCATTCATTCTGCACTCGACCGCGAGCGCCCCCGCATGGACAGAGACGCGTTGCCGCAGCCAGTCCAGAAACCGGAAGTAACCAGCCAGTGCCAATTATCTTCAATTAGACATTCTCTGATAAAAGCTGAAATGTCATTTTTAATTTTAATTTGTGCTGTTACGTCTTAGACTCAATACTGACACCTATTGGTGCGGAGGAAGCATCACGTAAATGTGACAAATATTTTTGAAATGTACCTTTGAAATGAGATGTATCAGAAAATGTATGTTTATTCTCAGCATAAATATGAATTGATTATGGAGTGGTTTGATGCAGTAGTTACTCTGGTTTTTGCGGGAACGACCAGGACAACGTTTTCCAGCCGAATGCCAAACGAGCCATCTTCGTAGTACCCAGGCTCTGGAATTAAACATGCACAAGACTCAAATATATTGAACCAACTTTACCATAAACTTTAACCACATCTGAGGCAGAGTTGCAATAATGTTGCCTTATAAAAAAACTTAAGTACAAATTAAGTAAGTGTGTTTCTGTACCATCGCTGACAATCATTCCGGCCTCCAGAGGTTCGTCTGCAAAGGTTTTATAGCTGATGCCACACGGACCCTCGTGCACGTTAAGAAAACATCCGACGCCGTGGCCGGTACCATGAAGATAGTCCAACCCAGAGTCCCAGAGAGCAGCACGAGCAAATGAATCCAACAGGTGACCTGTAGAAAACAGCACATAACCTCACTCTTCACAGCTTTCGAGCACTTCAAACTGCTCCAAAACAAACCAAACCTCAAGTTTTGGACGCACCTTTTGTACCATTGGGAAAAACTGCAGCGCTGACGGCGATGTGTCCCTTTAGCACGTATGTAAAGCATTCCTGTAGAGATCACATTTTCGGTACTGTTAGTATCTTTTCAGACTATTAGTTTGATCTTGAAGGAAATTTAAAAAAAAACATGTTTTACCTTCTCATAATCAGATGGAGTCCCAAAATGCACCGTACGAGTCACATCTGTAGTTCCATCTCTGGATTTCAAAGATAAAAATGTTCATTTATCTTATATATATATATATATATATATATATATATATATATATATATATATATATATATATATACACAGTGGTATGAATACGTTTTGGCACCCATGCTAAAGTTGCCTAAAAAGAGGAATAAAAAAATCATCTTTTGGATATTGATCTTAATGCCTTAATTAGAAAAATGAGGAAAACTCCAATCTTTAAGGACACCAATTTTCTTTGTGAATGAATAATGTATCATAAATAAATAAATGTTTTTCCTTAAAATACAGGGTGCATAAGTCAGGGCACCCTTATGTTAAATTCCCAAAGAGTCAGGCAGATTTTTATTTTTAAAAGCCAGTTATTTCATGGATCCAGGATAATATGCATCCTGATAAAGTTCCCTTGGCCTTTGGAATTAAAATATCCCCACATCATCACACACCATTCACCACACCTAGAGATTGGCATGGGGTACTTTCCATAAGATCATCTTTCAATGCAAATCAAACCAGCTATTAGGCTAACTGAAGTAAAACCATGCCAATCTCTAGGTGTGGTGGAAGGTGTGTGATGATGTGGGGATATTTTAATTCCAAAGGCCAAGGGAACTTTATCAGGATGCATATTATCCTGGATCCATGAAATAACTGGCTTTTAAAAATAAAAATCTGCTCGACTCTTTGGGAATTTAACATAGGGGTGTCCTGACTTATGCACCCTGTATTTTAAGGAAAAACATTTATTTATTTATTATACATTATTCATTCACAAAGAAAATTTGTGTCCTTAAAGGTTGGAGTTTTCCTCAATTTTCTAACTAAGGCATTAAGATCAATATCCAAAAGATGATTTTTTAGGCAACTTTAGCATGGGTGCCAAAACTTATCCATACCACTGTATATATATATATATATAAACAAATGTTTAAATAAATAAAAAATAAATGAAGCGCTAATTCTGCAGTGTTTGCAAACTTACTTGTACTGAGCGCCGGAGTCAATAAGATACACTTCATTAAGAGAAAGAGTTCTGTTGGTTTCTGGGAGAGGCCTAAACGACAGATTAGAAAGAGACAGTTTAATAATAAATAAATTAAAAAAAAAAACTTTAAATGCATGATTAAATACTCAATCACAACAGCATCCCACCTGTAATGTATTATGGCCCCATTTGGACCGACACTAGAGATGGTTGGAAAACTCAGCCCAACAAAGTCTTTCTGTTGACTAGATAGACAAAAAAAAAAAGATTTTCAATTGAAAGCAAATTTTCTTGCGGCTTCAGTGTCTGCAGTTCCCCAGATCACCAGACGGTGGTGCCACAATCTCATATAATAGAAAAACAACAAGTAATCTAGCTTTTTAAATGTACTGCCAATGATGGCATCAGTATTATGATACTGTTTTTATTTAAGTCAATTTGTGTGGGAAAATTAACTATTAGGTTCTTTTTAAAAGTCAAATGCATCATGTTTGAATCACCTGCGAAATTCTTCTGCTTTATCCGCTGCTGATATCTCTGTGACCGTACCTTTGGGAATCTATATAAATGACAAATACTCTTATATTTTCAACCAATTCAACCAATAAGGAAACTTTACTAGGAAAACAAAGTCTTCGCGAATAAATTTAGCGGATAAAATTACAGAAATTGTACACAACGATACCTCTTTCTCCAGCCAGGCAAAAAGTTGACACAATGCCACGGCATCTTTGATCTGGGATAACAAAAAAAAAAAAAAAAATATATATATATATATATATATATATATATATATTGTGATTAATTAGGCAAAAACAGTTGACGATTTCTGGAATATCTCTAGCCATGTTGACTTACATGTGCCATTTTCATGCCTTGGATCTCTGTGGGGTTCTTGACGGCTTTTGCCAGACATAAGGGTGTGTATGGGATTGCAGCTCTGTGGGCCTGGACAATTCAAATTGTAATCACACATTAATATTTATTCATATCCAACTACTTTAGATAAAAAAAATTCAAATATCTAGACTTCTTTTCCATATTAATATTTCCAAGTTTTGAGCACAGCAACCTGGTCAAATTGCAACCATAAAAAGGCATAAAACAGCATTAAAAATATAACATATTTTGTAATATGACAGTGGGTTACTTCCTATCCAAAAGGATAAGACATTTACTGTGAATATAGGGAATTTATCCTCCAAATAGGACCCTTTTGTATGCGGCGTCCCACAGGGGACAATTTTGGGACCGCTTTAATTTCCCCTCGAGTTGAATTTTTCGAAAGCATCTTAACCCACCTTAGGTATGACTTGTGTAAGAGCGCAGCTGGCTTTGTCGCAAATCCACATCTTATCTTTGGGCGCCAACGTCGCACAAACGGCCTGCAGCTCCGTGAACACGGACTCGTACGGAAAGCACTGTACGGTCAGATCCGGTTTGCCGTCCAGTTCCAGGTGCTGCCGGACCTCAGCGTCCAACAAACGCTTGGTGTCTACAAACAATCTAACATAACACATGTGGACCAGATGACAGCAATGAGCATGTTTTTGAAACGGAAATTTGCAGTATAAAGTGAAGAATCAGGAATGCAAGTTTTACCTTATGCTGCTAATGCCGATGATGGCGTAGGCGAAGAACACGGGGTTGTACTCGATATCTGACCCGCGCAGGTTAAAAAGCCCTGGAGAGAGAAAGTGAGATTTCATGTTTTGAATCCTTCAGTAATCAAGTCATTTTTAGAGGTTTTACTATATTTGTGAAAACATTGTGTGCCTCACGCAATCAAGTCTATAATTAACATCAACACAAGCTAATCTGACTCAAGAGCTCTCCTAATAGGAAAGTGGAGAGGAGAACGAGTGCTGGGTCGTGATCTGACCACTGATGTACGCTGATACGTACACGCAATCTCGTCTAGAGCCGTGACCACAAACCAGGAAATCTTCCTTTCTGCCATTTTTCCTCTCAGAGCTGTAATTTTATCTTGCCAGGTTAGGCCTACAAGGGGAAACGACAACATAAAAATGTCTCAATGTTCAGCAGCACAAATTTCTGACTGGTTATGATCAAATGTATATATAGTGTGTAATTATTCTCCATTGAGAAGTGCTGACCAGTGTATTTGAGCCCCAGGGCGATGAGTTTGGTGCTGGGCCGAGTCGGCCGATCCTCCCAGATGGCGTCAATGAGATTTTCCTGCACCGCAACTAAAGAGTGACCCGCACTGCTCAGAGCCTTAGACATGTTCTTCCACTGGTCTGAAAAAACACAATCACAGACGGCTGATGCACCACATGACGTTTAACAATGCAACCACAGTAAAAGTAAAGTAAAATTAAGTTTGTTTCTTTGTTTGTTTATAGTTTAACACCATGCCGATTCATGGCAAAAAAGAGATTTAAAAAATTTAATTTTTGTATCTTAGATACAAATTCTAAAACTAGATCTGGCCATTTAAAATCTTTCCATAAGAGTAAAATTTAAAAAAAAATATTTTGAAAAATATTCTAACAGTTCAATCTGTCACAGTTTCACAATAATAAAAAAGTCTAACCGTTTAATCTATCACAGCCCGTCAAAATATGCTTCAGTGATAATGAATAAGTAAAACTAAGTAAATACAATGAAATATACAATTGAAAACTAAAACTCTTTTTTGAATTCACTCAGTTAAAAGCAGACTAATATGCCGAAGCAACAAACCCAAAAATATTTATATTTAAAAATTAGTTGTAAATGATTTTTAAAAAGTACTTTAAAAAGTTAAATATGAATACAATGAAGTTTAAAAAGTACAATCAAATTTAGATAAAAAGATCACTATGTTGCATGACACCCCTAAAAATATGAATAACAATATCTGTATGGATAACCATGCAGAAGCGTTATGCCTATTTTAACAATTAATAATAATTTTCATTATTTATTGAATTATTAAAATGATTTCAAATTCAAAATATTAAAACAATTATTTAAATAAAATATTCCAGAATATATATATATATATACACTCTAATATGAATGAAAATATCTGTATGGATAACTATTTATTTTTTAATAGTCCAACTAATATACAGAAGCATCAAGCCATTTAAAAATGAATAAATTATATATATATATATATATATATAGTTAAAATACAATAATTCATATAAATTAACTTTATATATTTGTACCCAAATAATGTTCTCCTAAAAGAAAAAGTAGCATGATACCCCTACTAAAATGGATGAAAATATTTGTGTGCATAATTATATTTATATTCAAAGGTATTATTGTCGAATCCTCACCAGCTGCAATGATCCAAGGATCAACTCCCACTCTGGAGTTTTCTGGGAGAACGCTGATGAGCCAGTCCTCCTGGGACAGTGTTTCCTTCAGTCCTGACCAAACAAAAATACAATCATATTCAAATGGCTCTCTTGAACAACGATGTATATAGACTAATCGATATAAACCTCAAGATTGATCTATGTGAAGTAGGTGGAATGTGGCTCAATATAAAAGCCAAGAAAATATTCTAATGAATGTATTTTAATGGCTTATGAGAAGCGGCACCTTGGCCAACATGCTTCCAATAGCAGCGATCTGATAACACATACAATGACCTTGCAACTGCATATCATAAAATTAAGCAAACATGCACTGTACCCATTTTCATCAGAGTCCAGTTATTGTCCATCTGTTGGCTGGCCTGCAGGAAGTAGCGCCCGTCGGTCCACAAAGCTGCATGCTGTTCTGTGACTATAGCAGTCCCTGAAATAACAATCATGAGTATAGCACTTAACTAAAGCCTGCAAACATGCGCTTTTTTGTTTATTATAAATTTAGGCAAAAATCAGAAGTACTTGTTATTATCAAAAAGAAAAAAAAGAAAAGATTTGTACATTTTTTAATGTTTTTGTTCAATTATTCTGAGATTTGTAATTATTATTATTCAATTAAAATAATTCATTTAAAATAATAATTATGATTATAATTGTAATTTAAATATGATTAACTAATAACAATTAGATTTACACTTAATAAACAATAAAAAATTAAATACTAAAATTATAATACTAATATATATATATATATATATAATTTTCCCACCTCCCCTCTGGACGTAGATTTAGAATGCCCCGAACTAAAACTAAACGACACATCACTTCATTTGTGCCAAGGAGCATTCAACTACTTAACGAATCATCCATGGGCACATAGATTGATTTTGAATGTGCATTATTGAATATATATCTATTTATTGATTCTTTTAAGCTGCGGAATATTTTAGAGGTTTTTTTTTTTTTTTTTTTTTTTTTTTTTGAAGGGTATTACTGAATATATATATATATATATATATATTTTTACTGATTTCTTAAGTTGTCAAATTGATATATTCCATGTCACTTTTGTCTTTATTCTTCTTTATTTATGTTTATTTTATGTTTTTTGTGGTTATGTTTATTATGGTTCCCATGAGTGTAAAACAAATTCCCCTTTGGGGCAATAAAGGTTTCATTCATTCATTCATATATATATATATATATATATATATATATATACACACACACACACACACATACACACACACACACACATATATATATATATATATCTCCCAGGTGAAAAGGACGTATTTAGACAATACAAGACAATTAAGTGTATTAAAAATGTACTTAAATATGTTTTTAGTACAATACAAATATAATGTAAAGCATTTTAATACACTTAATTGTATGTCTTTTTTACCTGAGTGTATGTATATATATATATATATATATATATATATATAATTATTTATAATTATTGTTGTTATTAAAATTTTAAATGACATTTTAGATGACTGTTATTCTTATTCAATTATAACTTTTTTGTTACTTTATTATAATTATCATAATTATTATTAGAAATATTAATTACAATCATTGTAATACTGTATCATATAATATATAATAGTTATTATTAAATTATATTGTATATAACAATATTTGATATATAATAATATTATATCAAACTAATTAAAAAATAGATTACATTATTACTAAATTAATACTTTAATAATTTATTAATTTAAATTATTAATTTATTGTTGTTGATTTATATTAATTATATTAGTTATTATTATTATTATTATTATTAAACTTTTAATTTTAATGTAATTATAATTAAATTATTACTTTTAAATTATGTACGATTATAATTGTTATTAGTAGTATATGAGGGATGTTGGGTTATGCTTCATGCCACTCCTGAATGAGTCTGTTCCACACATTGACCACCGCAGTCAAAGCTAAATTTGGTCACACACTCTCTCAGTAATAAAATATGAACCTCATATCCTTGTTTTACTTCCCCATTCTTTGGGTGAATGAGATTGAGGTGGGGTGAACGGCACTTCTTGTAGTTGCAATGTCGATAATTGTGTGTGTTTATCTGGGATTACATGTCTGACTGATTTATCTCTGTTTATGCAAGTAATCTATATCTTGTAATAAACATAATTGTTCCAATATGATGTTTGCGCAACTCTATAGTTGATAAATCTCCACGGTGACCCAGTTAAAGGGGTATTGTGATGTTGCAATCCTCTAGATTCCAAAATTCAATAAACTTAGAGCAACACCTGCAGAGCCGTTGAATCCGCAGATGAATTCCCGACGGCAGTCACATGGAGCGATGTATTCACTCTGCGGGATGGACAGATGCGGCGGGGGAAAGAGAGAGAGACGGAGGGAAAAAGTGAGATCATCTCTGTCAGCAATCAGTCCTAATTACAGCTAATTTAACCATCCAGCCGAATGAAAGAAAACACTCAGCAGGAGGACACACACACACACAATCAGAGGAGAGAGGAGGGGGTGAGGAAAGCCCATTCACAAAATAGAAATCAAACGACTCAACATGACTGAGACACTATACACACACATTGAATGTTTAGAATGCAGCATTTTTATACATCACATGCAGTATGCTTGTACATTTAGAAATCACTGGTTGTCCATTTAAATCACAGGTTGAATGTTTATAAGGTGTAATGTTCAAAAAAGTCACATGCCGTATGTTTATAAATCTCAGGTTGAATGTTTTTAAGCTGGGATGTTTATAAATCACATGCAGTACAGTTATAAAGTACAGACAGACTTCATGTTTATTAATCAAAGACTGATGGAGCGTCCAAAATTGCATACTTGTGCGCTATTCTATGCCATTTGTACATGTTGTATAAATAGTGTGATAAGTGCGTTCACACTGAGATTATAAATCACATTCTGTATTTTTATATATCACAGTCTGTCTATTTAGAATTCATTGGTTGAATATTTAAATAACAGGTTGAATGTTTAAGTTGGAATCAAATGATTTTTGTTTTGTTTTTTTAACAAAAATTTCAGGCTGTTTGTTTACAAATCACAGGTTGAATATTTATTGGGCTGATTTTTGTGAATCCCAGGCAGTTTGTCATTAATCAAAGACTGTGTGTTTATAAATCACAGTCTGTACATTTGTAAATCAAAGGTATGTTTATAAATCAAAAACGCTATGTTTATAAATCACGATCTGTATATTTGTAAATCACAGTCTGTATGTTTTTAAAAGACAGGTATGTTTATAAATCACATTATGCATATTTGTAAATCACAGGTATGTTTATAAATCACAGTCTATATATTTGTAAATCAGAGACTATATTTTTAAATCAAAGATATGTTTATAAAATTAAAAAACGCTATGTTTATAAATCACAATCTGTATATTTGTAAATCACAGGTATGTTTATAAATCAAAAACTGTATGTTTATAAATCACATTATGCATATTTGTAAATAACTGGGATGCTTATAAATCAGTCTGTATGTTTATAAATCAGTCTATATATTTGTAAATCACAGACTATATTTGTAAATTAAAGATATGTTTATAAATCAAAAACTGTATGTTTATAAATCACAATCTGTATATTTGTAAATCACGGGTATGTTTGAAAATCACAGACTGTATATTTGTAAATCACAGGTATTTTTACAAATCAAAAACTGTATGTTTATAAATCACATTATGCATATTTGTAAATCACTGGGATGTTTATAAATCACAGTCTGTTTATAAATCAGTCTATATATTTGTAAATCACAGACTATATTTGTAAATCAAAGACATGTTTATAAATCAAAAACTGTATGTTTATAAATCACATTATGCATATTTGTAAATCACTGGGATGTTTATAAATCACAGTCTGTTTATAAATCAGTCTATATATTTGTAAATCACAGACTATATTTGTAAATCAAAGATATGTTTATGAATCAAAAACTGTATGTTTATAAATCACAGTCTGTATATTTGTAAACCACAATCTGTATATTTGTAAATCACAGGTACGTTTATAAATCACAGTTTTTTTATATTTGTAAATCACAGGTATGTTTATAAATCAGTTTGTATATTTGAATATCACAGGTATGTTTATAAATCAGTTTGTATATTTGTAAATCACAGGTATGTTTATAAATCACAGGCTGTGTGTTTATAAATCATAGGTTGAATGTTTATAAGGTGGAGAGTTTATAAATCACAGACTGTGTGTTTATAAATCACAGGTTTTGCATTAGTGGAGCACAGCTGGTGTGTTTGTAGAGCAGGTTCACCTGATGTGCATCTCCTGACGGGATGATGTAAGCCTGGATGGGCTCTGCGATGCACTTGCCGTTCCTCATGGCCTGCCGGAGCTGCCGGAGCAACTCCACCGTGATCTTTGGGGACATAGCGTCTGTTCAGAGAGAAAAGAGAGAAAAAGATCAGTAGCAAAATTTACACAATGATGAATACAATGTAAAAAAAAAACAATCAGTAATTTGCCAATGTAATATTTTAGGCGAAATTGAATTCTAATACACATGAACTTTTCACTTTCAGGCCTATGCTAATCAACTATACTTTCAGTTCGAATGATCCCTGTTTGAAATCAAAATTTATATGCAAACTAAACAATTAATTTAGTAAATCTGTTTGTGAATTTTTCAACTTTGATATAAGATTGTAATAAATTAAAACCACTGCTAGACTACTTTTTAATACTTCAGTGACATCAGATCAATTTCCAAGTCTATCGAAATGAAATCAACAAGTTATTATAGTGTCGACAGAAGTTAAACGGTTTCAGGCTGTACAGTGCATATAAAGGCTTTTGTGAATTACCTGTAGCCATTTTCCCTCTGTGAACCTGAGGTCTTACTGTTAACGTGGAGCTCAAAGTTGGAAAGATCTGAGATTGTTAACCTTTACCTTGCACAGACTGTCTCTCAGGTGGCACAATGTGTCCATCCCATAGTTAAAGATTTACTGTCAACGTCTTATTATTTTGTCATTACGCAACCATTTACTGACAGCGAAATTGAAGAGCTTTATTGGACTTTTGCAAAAGACTAACACTAAAAACATTGTTTTTCAAAGATAAAAGATTCTGTCATTGTTATCAATGAATGTAGGATTCAAATGAGTGAATAAATAAATATTCTGATTTTCTATGAGAGACTATTATTGTAATTCATTATGATTTTACAGTATATATAAAACAGCTTACTATGCCTTTTTAGTGGACAGTACGGTTACTTTAATCCTTCTTTGTAAGGCTTCCTGGAAACTGAATTCACAGATATTTTAAATATATTACAGTTCATTTTTGTGGATAGATAATTTAGCCGTGCTCTATTCATTCACAAATAACATGCGCTTTTTGTCAAAAAACTACATCACCGAGAGGTAACTGTTCCATCATCCAATCACTGCAAAGGAATTATCATATCGACAGCTGATTGGGTGAGCGGGCTCCACAGTTCAACAATATAAACAATATACAGTCAATTTACGAGTATTCATCTATTCTAGACGAAATATTTGCAGCGTACGAGGACTTACCAATGTATCAGTAAACTTAAATTAAACCAAAACAATAGTAAGAATTTATTTGAATAATATTTTATCCGTGGTAGGTGTGGCAGTACCGTACTGTTAATCCAAATACAATTTGTTCGATTACAGAAATATGACTAGTCTGCAAACATATTTGGGTTTATTTATTTCGCACGCACATTGATACATTTTTTCTATCTTATCAAATGAGCGATTGTGTGGTGCGCGCAGACGCTTCCTCGATTATCAAAACACACGCATGTTATGCAAGCGACAACAATAACACTCGTCTAGGTCTCACGCTGCTCAAGCCACTGGCGCTTTCTGAACATGCAGCACATATAGTGAATGACTGACATCAAACTATTTACCATTTACCTTGGAGAAGCGAGTCCTGAAATGTAAACTATTGGTAAAACTCTGCTGTTCCTTGTGTTAGTGTGTGAAGGAAGCTGCCATTACAGTGATGACGTGTGCGGGCACGTGACATGCTGCCTCTTCCAGTCACATTGCGGGCGGCGCACATGGGAATCTCCTACTTCTAGTCTTTGATTTGTGATTCACAGAAGTCTAGTGGGCATGTATTGCCATGAAGACCAAATGAAAACTCAAGTCAAGTTAAACTATATTATATGGAGTTGATAGAAACAGCCTCTGACTACAGCATTCATTTGTTGGTCAAAAGACTGAATAAAAATAACATTGCATGAGTTCTAATTTATTGACAAATGTCTCTGTGAAAGCATAGGGGCCAAAAAGGATGACTTCTGTCTGTGCATCATTTAGCTGAAGAAAGAACAACATCCATATTCAACATTCCTCAAGCAGTCAAACAGACACTGTTAACTAGAACAACCGTGGAATGTAACGGAAATTACCAACGAGCATCGTCTGGACAACAATGAAATGAGATGTTTTATTTTGTAAAAATTGCATATAAAGGGAGGAGCATGTATAGGGACAATAAAACTGGACCCAGAATTGAGCCCTGTGGTACCCCACAAGACCGGTGCACGAGATAAAGAAAAATCTCCTATTTATATTGTGTTTTTAAAAGAAGTATCTGAAGCTCACAGTGGCTATGGGCCTATTTATTTAATCAGTACAGTAAAAACTGTAATATTGTGCAATATTATTCTTAAAACAATTCTAATTGAATATGTAATTTCTTCCTGTGATCAAAGCCGAAAAGTCACATCCTTCATTTTATGCAGATTTGCTGCTCAATACACGTTTCTTATTAATATCAATGTTGGAAATTGTTGTGCAGCTTAATATTTTTGTGAAAACAATGATAGTTTTTTCCAGGATCCTTTAATGTATAGAAACTTCTGAAGAATAGCATTTATTTGAAATACATTTTATTTAAACAATGTAAAAGTCGTTCCTGTCACTTCTGACTAACTTGTTGAAAAGTATTTTTATTATTATTCAAACTTACACCCCCACCCCCAACATTTGAATGGTTGCTTTATATATTTGTTATTATCTTAGTAAGTCACCTGATATCCACAAAACCACATACGCGCGCACACACACAGGCTCAAATAACAAATAATAGCCTAGTCATGTTGCATGAAAGCCAGGGCTGTGTTGTTTTCAAGCGGATTGCATCATAAAACATACACAACAGAAATCTGAGTTACATGGGAATAAAGGATCGTAATGTATTAAGTTAGGCTTATGAGGAATTTACAATGAATTTACAAAAAATGTACAGCAAGTTCAAAAAGTTTGTGAAACATGATCATATAAACTTCTTAAATTAATATTGGTGTGTAAAATGCACATGATAAAATGAGATATGTTCTTTAACAGAAATATTTAATTAAGTATTAAATTTATGTGTGTTTATTGGATTGTACAGTTTTTAACAACATGCCGATTGTTCAGCAGATGAAACGTTTTTCAAAAATAAATAAATAAATTCAGTAGACAAAACCCAGTGCCCATGAATCCACATGTACCAGATGTGGCCCGGATCTGGGCCGACACTATGTTGCTGTCTGTGTTTTTTCGACTGAACGTTTATTTATTTATTTTTATTTAAAGACGTTTCGATATGCTGTTAAACCACAATTTGACGGCTTCTTAACAATGGGGTGAACCGGTCCTGGTTTATTAAAGTATAGAAGTAAAAGCAGTGAGATCATTGAGAGTCCATCTAGTGCATCAGTAACCCGAGCAGAAAGACTGCAGCCGTTATGACGGACAATAACATCCTGCAGGGGACCAGCATCAGTCCTGCATTTCCACCTTAAAAAGGAAGATATAGCAGGTTTAAAAGGGTAAAAAAAAATTCCATGATGTAAATGTTGATAAACACAGAGTTCAGGCTTACTTGAAGAGCACATCTTTGTTTCTTTGAACGCACCCATCTTGTCACTGGTTTTAACTGAGTTTAGCTTCTGCTGGCTTACTACACCTGGAAAACAGATTATTACAACATCATTCTTTCTGGACAACAGTAAAATGAGATGTTATATTTTTTCTAAAAATTTAATTTAAAGGGAGGAGGGTGTATAGTAAAAATAAAACTGGACCCAGAATTGAGCCTTGTGGTACACCATAAGACCGGTTTTCTTAAGAGGTTTCTATCTTTCTGTCTATTTAATATTTGGTCATTTATAATTATTCCCCCCACAGTTTCAACCTAGTTTGTTCAGTTTTATGACCTACGTTGATTTTTTTCTAATTTAAAGGCAAGACATCTTGTGAATAAAAAAGGAACTAATAGATATCATCATACTTCACCAGTTGATTACAAGTATGTTTTTCTATAAGAAGATATGTTTAAATAATTAAATGTGCACTTATTTGCATAAATTCCCAGAACATAAATCTGAACATTGGATAAAGCCAGGTTAAAAATTCTTGTTTTTGTTTTTTTTGACACATCAAGACTCACCAAAATGTCAAGAGTTTTTACAGAAGGGATTTTTGATATATATTCGTATCACTCAATAAATCAGAAAATACCGTCAACAGCCAGAAATAATTTGTTTGCACTAGGAATAAATATTGTATAAAATTAAGCAAATGTTATATGAACAAACCCATCAGTAAAAACCTTCGTAATATAGATAGAAATAAAACTGTAAAGTTTGGTGTATTGAATGTGGATGAGAAGAAAAATTATTTTGAGAAAACAGTCTTTTAAAATACACGTTGGCCTATTGCAACTGAAATCTACAGATGCAAACAGATAGAAGTGCAATAAAATCAACCCTTAATGTACCAAAAATCTCAAAACTGACCAGTGCATGAAAAACAATGTTTTGCCAGTAGTGTTTTAAAGTTTTTGACCAGTCAGCTTAAAATATGACAACGATCTTTTCAACTATGCCCTATTGAGAACTACAACACTATTAAGTATGCAACCACATAGCAACCCCCCACAGTTTCTTTAGTTTCTATCATGTCTTCTGTTGTCCTTGCATGCCTGTGGTATAGACCTCTGTCATATACCGCTCTCCTGTTTCACCATGTCTCTATGCTCCACCAGCGCATCAGATTACAGCGCAATTTCCCTTTTTTTGTGTCTTTTGAATGGACTGGATTGTTCATTGTTTTGATAGAAAAACCATAAGTCAGTTCAGCAGAGGACAGCAATCACTTCAATAATATATGAAGAGACACCCCCAGACCCTCAAAAGATCTAACACAAGTTTGGCTCTTTTCTGTCAGCTCTTCTCCTTGACTATATGATTATTATTATGGTAACACTTTACAATACGGGTGCACTAAAATGCATTAATTCATACTTAACAAATGCACAGGTAATCACGAGTTAATGTATAACTCATGAAGAACTAAACCATTAATTAATGATTACTGCATGAGCAACTAATAAAGAGGCTATATGATTAATAGATTAAGTAATAGATGAATTGCTATTGTGTTATTGTGTATTAATTCCTTAATAACATATTTTATTAACTAATAGTGTAAATTAATGTGTTAATTATCACAATTAGTTAAAGCTATGCACTCCAACTTCCAGTTGTCTGCTTTAATTAATCATTACTTAAAGATATGCAAAGGTATCATTATGTTATGACTTTACTTGTTGGGGCACGTCATTATTAACTAGTCATTTAGTAATTGTAGTAATTTGCACATGAATTTGCACTAACAATGAAGTAATTCATCATGTATTAATGCATATTAGTGTACCTGTCATGTTATCTGGAAGTTGAAATACAAGGTTTTGGCTCATTTACATATTAATTAACACTATTAGTTAAAAAATTAGTTATTATGGAATTAATCCACAATTACATATTTAATTAATAACAATTAATGTATGAACTAATACAGACTCTTATATTGTTAGCATTATTAATATATCATTAACCACATGAGATATTTTTAATCGTTAGTCTATGAAAACATGCGTGAAGCTGAGGTAAAAACTTCATGTTCTTTTGTGTACCTGACACCAGATAATGAACCTCGTGGCATTTCCCATCAGACCTTTGTGAAGAAGAACCAGGTAAGATGGAAACTCTGGATATGTGGAGGTTTAGCACATCTGCCACTCTCTTACGGAAATCATACCTGCACACAACAGTCAACGTGGCATAATAAAACGTATTGCTGGTGATTTTTTTCTCTTTTTTGGAAATTGATATTCTAATGAATGAATTTCGATTATTTGTATGAGATATAATGGAACCAAATATCAATATCATCACAACACATACTAAAAACTTTTATAAAAAGGTGACATCATGTGTTAAAGAAAGCCAGGAGTCATTGTGTAATGTCAAGAGTCATTGTCATCTGTAAATAAGTGAATTTTAATAAACATTTCCCATCCATGACATTTTTTGATTGTTGACTTAGTTTTGTGGTTTCTATTTTTACACACAGAAATGAACAGATTTTCTAAGTTTTGTTATTCCTTGTTGATATTTAGTTTTTCTCTGTGAAATTTCCAGTAAAAAATGCTGGGTTGTTTCAACCCAAAGTTGGCTCAAAATACGGACAAACCCAAATGTGGAGTTAAAAATGTAATTAAAAAATGTACTGCTGAAAATGAAAGTTGAAGTTGGGTTAAAATTTTAAATGACATTGTTAACCTAACATTTGGGTTTGTCTATATTTGACCCAAATTTCGGTTGAAACAACCCAGCATTTTTTAGAGTGTGCTATTCTTAGTACAGTTATTGATATATAAACAGCAATTTATATCATGATTCATATGACATGGGCCATGATATGACAAATTCAAGTGGTTGTTTGATACAGTGAAACATTTTACAGAACTTTTACCTAATCTAGTCCTTAAAACTCTATTTTTAGCAGTCAGGTTAATACAGTTACTATTTTGAACAGATAAATTGCAAGTTGCTTCTGTATTTTGAACGCACCTGCTAAAGGACGCCATGTAGGGGAACATCTGCATGGCAGAAGGGGATTTTGGGTGAATATCTGCACAAGTAGTTGTGTTGCTATTGAGTCTGAGAACTAGTGACCTCTGGAGAACTGGGG